TGTCTTACCAAATGGAAACAAAACAGACATTATCATCTCCATTTGATCTAATTCACAGCATTTTGTGGAGATGATTCCAAGCTTAGTAGTGCACTCTCACTTTCAGTGCATGGCCACATGGCAGTCTATGGTATAAGCAGGTTGACTCTATTCAGCCATTTCCTCAATGATGGGCATTTACTTTGCCTGGAGTTTTACCACTCTATTTAAAGGCTGCTTTGGTCTCTGTGGGAGAGATTCCCAATTTGCTTAGGGATCACAGGATAGAGTTCTTCATATGTTTGCATAAGGGGCTGACTGGGAAAGGCTGGTTGGCTGCATAGCCACTTCTCCAAATGCCTCAGAGAGTGGCATTTTCCAGAGTTAGAAATTCCAGTGTTGAAGGCCTGTCGTTGACCCTAAGTTGACCTATCCTTTCCTGATAACTTTCAGTAGCCGAGTTTACTTGGTATCTTAGGGTTTCTATCACTTATAAAACATCCTAACCAGAAGCCCCTTGGGGAGGAAAGGGTTTATTTCATTCTGCAGTCCATCATCCAAGTAAGTCAGGGCAGGAACTGGTGCGCAGGCCATAGAGGAATGCTGCATATTGTCTTGCTCCCTCTGACTTGCCCTGCCCCTTCTTTCCTTCCTTCCTTCCTTTCTTTCTTCCTTCCTCCCTCCCTCCCTCCCTTCCTCCCTCCCTCCCTCCCTCCCTCTTTTTCTTTCCTTTTTCCTTCCTTCCTTCCTTCCTTTCTCTCTTTTTCTGAGACAAGGTTTCTCTGTTCAGCTGTGGCTGTCCTGGAGCTATCTCTCGTAGACCAGGAAAATGTGTAGCCCAGCTAGACCAGGAAAATGTGTAGCTTTAACTCTTGATCCTCCTGCCTCTGTCTCCTTCAGCAAATCCTACTGTGCACACCACAAATGCTTTCTTATACAACTCAGGAACCTACCCAGGGATGGCACAACCCAAAGAGAGATGAGCCTCTACCATCAACCATTAATCAAGAAAATGCCAGCCAGACTTGCTTAGAGGCCTTCTGATGGAGGCGTTTTCCCAATTGAGAGTCCCTCTTTCCACATGATTCTAGCCTGTGGCAGGCTGACAAGAAAAATTGAGAAACACACTTGACATACTGATTGATTGATGGTGTTTCTCATGATGGCAATTCTTTCCTCTTTTTTGAAGAGATGTCTTACTTTGCAGACCAGACTATCTTTGCAGTCACAGAGCTCTACCTGCTTCTGCTGTAGGACTTGTTACACCCTAGTTAGAAAACATTTACAGCAACTTTACCAGTCAAACTACAGTCCGTACAATAAATATAAGGAATTGTTATCTAACTTATTCACTTGTTTAGGAAACGGTTATGGATGTATCAGACCTTGTCCTAGGCACTGGGGGAAATCTATAAATAATTAAAAAAAAATCCCTGTCTTTGAAGGAAATGGCAATGACCAACATAAACAAGAGAGTGAACTGCTTATGAGGTCACAAGTTCTAAGGTTAAAAAAAACCAGAGGAGCATGTAGGATGTTCCTATTATGGGACAATTAAGTGCAGCCACATTGCAGTTTTGATGTTTGACAGACAGCTTGAAAGCGGTGAGAGAGACGGGGGTGTGGCTTGGTGTGGTGTTCACTATAAAGTAACTAGCAGTTGCAGAGAAACAAAAGAAGCTCATCTGATTCCTTGAGGAACTGGGAATGTGTTAGCATGGTGGTGCGGAGTAGTAGAGTAACAGACAGACAGGAGGTAAAATGACAGAGGTGAGGAATAGATAGCATTCTGCCATCCTCAAGTGTTCTGGTTTTATTCAAGATGAGAAACCATGTGGCATTTTGAGCAGAGAAGTGACATATGAGATTCCTCTTCTAGGAATCTCAGCATGGTCCTGAGGAATGCTTAAAGACAGGTTCAATCAGGAGGCTGTAGCTGTGTTTAGCAGAGTTGTTGGAGACTTGACCAGGCTGATACAACGGAAATGGGAAGTAGTGCTTGGATTGTGGATTTGTTTTAAAGAAAGCATTGATTTTCTATGAATGCATAAATCACCAACCTTTGCAGCTTCAATCAACTCTAAGGTGTAATTTCACAGTTTCTGTTAGTTAGGATCCACCCATGGCCTTGCTGGCTTCGCTGCTCTGGGTTCAGCTCACTGAGCTCCAATAGACTGGGGAGTCCAATTTAGGACGAATCTACTCTGACCCTCATTCTGGTGTCAGTGGAATTTATTTCCTCATGGTGGGAGAACTCTCCAGATATGCTGCTTTGAGGTTAGCAGGGGATGTTGATGCTGTGGCTAAGACCTTCTTCTGTGTCCTGAAGTGCAGTACCAGGTCATATAATCAATCACCCATCACCTTCACCTAATCCTATTCACTAAAAATGTCACAGGTTCTTTCATCACTCAGGGGAAAGACCTTTCAGATACCAGAAGGCTAGAATTATCATATTTGCCCTGGGGCTTGTTTAGCATGAAAACCAAACAGGAACCAACAGTCTTCTGCCTGGATATTAAGAGACAAAAAAAGGAAGCAGCCAAAAAGCTGGAGTTGCTACTAGCTTAGCCAGAAAGGAGGCAACCAGGAACTTAATTTGGCAACTTAGGGAGCGAGATGCTTGACACACACTTAGGTGAGAATGACAAATAGAAAAATGTGAATGACTCTGGAGGTCAGGCCTGGGCAGCGGGGGAGGAGGATCATTGCATGCAAATGCTGTTCAGTTCCAAGAAATATCCCTGGGGAATGAGGAAAGGCACAAACAGGTCCAAGGAATGGACCCTAGTGCCCAGCATTAAAATGTTAGCTAGGGCCTGGGGAGATGCCTCAGAGAGCAAGGCAAGCCTGAAACCCCAGTTTGACCCAGGGAACTCCATGGTGGAAAGGCAGAACAAAGTCTCGTAGGGTGTCCTGTGACTCCACACCCGCACACATACCCACATATATGCAAATAAGTAAGTGTGGTTCTAAAAAACAGCAGAGGTATAAGAGAGGCCGAGCAGGTGTGCCAGGAGGAGGAAGCCATTGCAGCCTCCAGCTAGCCCAAATCTCAGAACGTAGTTTTCTCCTCTATCCCTCGCTCCTCTCCCTGAATGACTCGATTTTCTGTGTGATCTTGGATGACAAATGGAAATGGTAAAATGATTTGACTTGGTTGTGAAAAATTCCACAACCAAATTTGCATTTTTACACAAATAAGCCAGTGTAGCTTGAGTGTGGACAGCATGGTCAGTGGGAGTCTGTGAACAGCTTTATTTTAGGACTGACATCATTAAAAACAGGCCGATCTGTACCGCTCACACCCCCTCAGGTAACACAGGACAGACGCCATCTGTGAAAGGTTTCAAATGACATGGGACAAATGTCCCTTCAGTGTATTAGAGGTGGACCCTACAAGGCATTTGTAAAATCAGGACAAACACAATTTTTTTTTTTTTAAATCAAAGACATGATCTCATGAAACCAATGCTTTGAAACCATTTCATCTAAAATGTTTGTGGTAAAGATAATGAGAAACACCGCGATTTTCAAAAGAAAAAGAAAAAGGCTGTGGTTTGAGAAATGCTCATTGTGCCCAGCTGGCTCACCGTCTCAGTGGGTCTGGCCTCTGATGATGATGGGACTTTCTTGCCACTTTCCCCTAAGCCCACACAAGGAGGCATTGTTGTCCACACCTCCTACGGGCCCCCATGCTTTTCCTAGCTTCCCCACTGTGCCTGTACATCCCTTCTGTTCCTAATGCGGAACTAGGCACCATGTGCAAAATTGTCAACAGGCTGAGTTTTCCTCCCATTGGCTGTGGTTTCTTCAGACTTCTCTCACACATTATAAGAAAACTACTTGTCCAAGTGTTCCGAAACTTTATGATGAGGCTTTTGCTGTCACAAGAGGTGACCCAAGCTTCTTGGCCATCCTTAGTTTTACTTCCTTGAGGTGATCACCCAAGCCTTTGCTGCCACTAGCTGTGTGCTTCTAGAGCTGCTGGGTGGTGGCCTTGGAGGGCGTGAGTGGGTGTGCATAGCAGGCAGGGCAGGGATCCATATGGGGATGGGGGTGGGGAGCAGTGCTATTGGATTTTTGTGTACATCCACTGACACATTTCATTTTCATTTATTCATTCTATAGTTCATCCGTGGCTCAAAGTGAAATTATGAAGGTGTAAGTTTCTAAGGCAAGCGCTCTACCACTAAGAACCTGGTTTAGAGTGAGGTGTTCCCATGGACATAGCAAACTACCACTAGTCATCTAAATGTACTCCGGCTTTCGGGATATGTTATAATACATTTGTTTTTAAAAATGATCATGATATTGTGGAAAGCAATGCAACTCCATCTGAGCAAGTGTAGTATGCTATGACAGAATTAACCTTGTAGAAGAGGATATAAATGCATGCCCATACAGTGCCATTAGCTGTGTAATTCGAGCTATGTCATTCTTTCTTCAAAGTCCCATTTGTGTATAAGCAGTACCTTGAAAGCCTCTTTAGAAAAAATAAATAAATAATGATTTCACCATTTTCCACTGAAGAGTCTCTTAGGTGACCTCATTGCCCTTCTCAGTTCGCTGGGAATTGTTAGGCTTACTTCTTAGCTGGGTTCTATTGATTTTGAATTACCCATGTTCTCAAACAGTGTACAGATACTGCTACCAGATTTCTGGTACAAATTGGAGTAGCCCTCATTTAACAAATAGGGAAATGAAAGCAAAGATCACCCCACTTGCACTGAGTTTGGACTGCTGCTGTGCTCTAGCAATCAGGCAGGGGAACCCTGTTAGACCACACAATTGACATCCCACGAGGTCCATTGCATCCGGAAGCAACAGCTATAAGCAGAGTAATGAAATGGCTTCCTTGTCTTTCCATTGGGCCTGAAGGTCAAGTTAGTTTATTTGCTTTTAATTTAACTGAAATTATAGGCCAGCTGAAAGATCCCTTTGTTGGGAACGGTTCTTTAAATAGCTGTACAATCCTTTGGTTTCTCTCATTTTCCTCCAACCTCTTCTCCTGTTTGCAGGATTAGGAAAGCACTTGGGAGGCACATTAATCTTGCCAGCGTTGTCAGGAGCGATCAGCGAGTTTTATTACAAAGCCCTTATTGCCTGAAAGGCCTCCTTGTGTGAGTCTGAATGGAAGGGGCATGGTAAGGTCTCGGGGCATGCTATCAGGACCCCTGGTCTCACCCCCTGGACTGTGAGCTGACACTCTGGGAGGAAGTACAGGAGTCCTGCTTTGCTGAGCAGATCATGCCTGTGGACAGAACTGGCCCTGGCATCATGAACTCTCCAGGCTGTACTGGGCCCAAGGCCCTGCTGTTCTTGCTGCTCCAACTCATTTTGCTGCACCTGGACCCAGCCAACTCCACCTTCATCAGCATCAACTGGGGGCTGAGGGTGATGAAGGGCAGTTCTGCCTTCCTGTCTGAAGATCATTTGAAGTTTGCCATCCCCAAAGAGAAGGATGCCTGTAGAGTGGAGGTGGTGATGAATGAGCCGATAACCCAGAGGGTTGGGAAACTCACTCCACAGGTAGGTACCATTGTGTGTGTGTGTGTACAAAGTGTGGGAAGTAAGGCATAGATAAAGGGTTTCTCAAGCCATCATTATGAGTATTGTATTGTCTTTGAAACCAAGTCATTGAAAGGCACAGTCATCATCAAAGTCTGTCAGATCATTTGGGAGGTGGGATGGGGAGATGGTGGGGGGAGTGGGAGGATGGAAGGGAGAGGGAACTGGAATTGGTGTGTAAAATAAGATTGTTTTTAATTTAAATTAAAAAAAGAAAGGCACAGGCGTGGGATACTTTTGCTTTTCTCAAAGAGGTGGAACATATTTTTGACTACTTTGAAAACTGTATTTATTTGTGTGTGTGTGTGTGTGTAGACATGAGCATGCTACAACATGCTTGTGCAGGTTAAAGAACAATTTTCCAGAGTCATTTGTCTTCTTGAGCCGGTCCTTGGGCTTGGTGGCAAATGCCTTTACCCTCTGAGTTATCTTGCCAGCCCTATTTTTGAATAGTCTCAATTGGACTCAAATGTAGTAAGCCCACATTGACATGGTTTAATCTGAATCTAGCATATTGCAGGAAGTAAGGGTTAAACTCATACAGATGTGTGTACACCTTTCCTTAATAATGCACTGTTACCAATAAATCTTCCTGGTGTCTCTTCACTTTGCAGAGAATTTCCATGTCTTGTCAGGCGCCTGGCCCTAGAGAGTAGTTATTAATCCAGTGGGGGAGGGGGAGAATGTAAGAAAATTACAGGTTTTGGGACTCTTATTTTAGGGGAGGGGAAGAGAAGGGGAGAAAGGAGTGGGAAAGAGAGAGGCTGAGAAGGAGATGTTGAGAAAGAGAGAGATGACAGAGAAAGAGAGACAGGCCATAGTGAGCTGTCACTTGTAGGGTGAGCTGTGACCACCCTTAAAGGGTTATTCTGGTCTCAAATTCTCTCACTTATTGCAAGTGAAGCATCTTTGGAGAAGACCTCAAGATTTCTAGGCTGATTTCCTACTTGGATCCTGTTAATTTTGAGACATTTTTAGGTCATATTCACAAATCATGATGACATTTTCATTGTGTAAATATGTTACAGAGTGAGAACTTCAAGTCTTTTCCGTGTCAAACTTTCTCTGATTTTAAGGCAAAAGTCTAGTTATCAGGATGATAATATGCCTCCGAGGCAACAAAGCACCCAACTAGATTAGGGAATTCTTGGATGTTCAGAACACCTCCAAGTGCTCTTGTCATCTGGTGTCTGCTGATCATTTGAAGAAAGTCCAGTATGGTACTGAATGCATGTGTGTGTGCTTCCAAGAGTAAATATGACACAGCAAATGGATTTGCAGCATCTCAAGTGGATGTGCGATCCTTACATTCTAGATTTTATTTCATGGTAGTCCATTAAAACTCCAAGCTTCATTACCAGTTTATTATGTGACATAGATATGCTTACAGAAACATTGTTTCTCTCCACTTTTTTTCTAATTTTAAAATCTGATCATTTCAGCAAAGATAAAATTCCCAGGTAAAGTCTGGTTTGAGGAAAATTCATGCTTGATTTAAATCCAGAGTGTTTCAGCTCTTCCCAGGGATTTATTTATTATGAGTTTTTGAAGTAAGCATAGCTAAGTGCATAGTGCACATGTACACACACACACACACACACACAGAGAGAGAGAGAGAGAGAGAGAGAGAGAGAGAGCTAAATAAACATTATTCCTTAATAGAGCTTAGCAGTAAGCTGCTTGCTAGGCTTATGTGAATCCATTCCTAGCAAGACTATTGTATTAACAACACCCTGCTGCGTAATGAACAGTTTTGTGGGATTTGCACAGAAATGTTTTGTTTAACATCTGTTCAATTAGTGTTTTCATTTCATTACTGAAGTTTGTCTTAGAACCAACAGGTTCATTCCCATTGCATATTTGGAAAGACACTTGCGTGGGTTCAAGCTAGTGCCTTCTGTCTCCATTACCTCCTAGATAGCCACTTAGACAGATCAATGGCAGTGTGCTCTCAGATTTCAGGGCAACATTTCCCCCATCTCCAGCACTCCACACCTGGGCCAGAGGAAACGTTTCCTGGGTGGAAAAATCACCTTGGTTTAGTGCTGAGCTTGCTGTTTTTGAATCTGAAATACAGCATTAAGAAAACATCTCTAGTTTGAACCACTTCACTGTCATTAAAGTGAGTAATGAGTCAGGAATGTGTGACAATTTAATTATAAATTGTAATTGAAAAGCAGTTGAAGTGGAAAAAAACAAAGCTAGACAGTAATTAGAAAAGGATTTAGCTCTCCTTTGTTTTAGTTAGTAAATTTATGGTCAATCATGGTTGTCGCCTTTTATAAAAGGAAAACATATTAGGAAACACGGAACAGATGTTTCTTTTAACAAAGCAGATTGTCTCTTTATTACCGTGGCTATTTGTCAATGATATGGGAAGGGCTTCTCTTTATCTTCTTTGTGGTTGTCAATTCAAAAGAGGACTAGAAACTCATTCTTACTAGTGAGAATGTCTTCCCAGGGCAGGCTATGTTGTCTGGCAGTTTCTGAAGCTGTGAAAGGTGCCTGAGTGCCGCACGGTGATGTGTGGATGCACACAGGGATGTTTCTTAGAACTTTGCCACCTGGGTCAGGGCAGGGCAGGATGGTGACTTGGCAGAAATCTTAAAACAAAACAAAAACAAACAAACAACAACAAAAAATCTAGGGTCCTAATGTAAAACAGTCATCTCTTTAATGATTCTGAATGCAGTGCCTGGCTAACTGTAACTTTATTAAAGGAGAGTATTTTTTTTTTTAAATTCTCATCAGTCATTTGGTTTTTCCCCATAACAAAGCAGTCATTTGCAAGAGCGGGCAAACAACTGTAGGCCCTGTTTGGCTCTCATCAACACAGCAGTACACACAGCCAGTGCCTCCATTGTAGAACATGAAGATTTTATTTGAAAAGAAAGAACAAAAGCCACAGAGAACAGCATGTTGGTGGTAAATGTATTTTCCAGTCACATAGAAAGACCTCTCTGATTCAATTGTCATAAGCTCCTGAAGGGGATAAATATTCTTTTGATGAATAGAAGATACTTACAAAACATTATAGTTTATAGACTATAGTTATTTAGAGATGTGGCATCCATTAATTTGTTTGTTTGACCTGTTTGGATTATCATGATTTAGATATCAACAAAACAAGGCACAATATGGCCATAAGGGTAGGGAAGAAGGGGTTGTTGGTTAAAAACAAAACAAAACAAACAAAAAAAAGATACCTGCATCCACACCATTAATAGAACATAGGCACTTCCTTGACCTCTCCCTCTCTTCTTCACCTCCCTCTTCCCACCTCCCTCCCCATTCCTCCCCCCTTCTTTTTTTTTTTTTTTCTTTTGTAGCCCAAGCTGAGTTTGAACTCATGCTGATCTTCCTGCACCAGCTTCCCAAGTGCTGTGATTGCATGTGTGCATCCGCACAACCAGCTAGAGTGTAGTTCTTCAGGTAATACTACAGGGCTAGAGAAGTAAAGCTTTACACTGGTTTTCTCAGGCATTTCCTTCTTTATGTGAACTAGGTCTTTGATTGCCATTTCCTTCCCAACGAAGTACAGTATGTTCACAATGGATGCCCGATTCTTGATGAAGATTCCGTGAAGCTTAGGCTTTATAGGTAAGTGGTACAGAGAGCGTTATTTATTAATGTTTAATTTAATTTTGCCAGATAGTCATGCTGTGTACTTCTTGGGCATTTCCTATGACTTGGGCATTTCCTAATGACACCAGGGAGTCATTAGAATCCAGTAAGAAAGTGACCAGCAGAAATTGGAGATGTGAGTGAGTGAGGCAACCATTGCAGCCAAGCTTCAATTCATTTGTCTCTGCCTCCTTGGCCTTCTACAGATTACTAACTTCATTCTGCTTCCCTCCAGTCTTAGGCAGTGATTCTCATTACTCCATCCCATTACTTTGGTAGTCCAACCCATTATTATGGTGAAAATTACAAAAACAAGTTTCTTATGAGAATCTGACAGACATTTATTACAAAATTGAACAAAACCCTTCTGTTTGATTGCCAGCTGCTTAGTTATAGGGGGTGCAGCATCGTCCATTTCTGAACATTAAATGGTACAAGTTTGTTTAAAACCAATTATGAAATTAAACATAGATTGACCATAAAATCCTGTAAAACACTTTCAACCTATATACACAAGAGAAAACCCATGCTTACAAAAGCGTATATGAAATGTTAATAGCGAAGCCTTATTCATAATAGTTAAAATGTTGAACAAATTGAACCAGTGAATGGTATAACTGCACAACAGAGTATTAGCCATGAAAACTAATGAAGTCCTGATTTGTAGAATATGAATTAACTCTAAAATCATTATGCCAAGTGAAAGCAGCCAGCCACAAAAGGACAAGTATGCTATGGTTCCATGTATACGAAATATCGTAATAGGTGGGCCCATAGAAACAGGGAGTAGATTAGTGGTTGAGAGAAGCTGGAGGAGGGGCAATTGGGAGTCACTAGAGTTGCATCCAAACAAAATGATATTTTCAACTAGTGAAATGGCACCAAGGATTCCCTAGGAAGCTACAACATTAATATGAAGGGGGTGTTTGGTCTTTCCAAACTTTAGGGTCAACACCAAACCAACTTCAAACAGCTTGCCAGGGAAGGCAAGGAAGCTGGCACACTCTACAGGCTACCGGACCCTTCAACTTTCTAGCATGTAGGAAGATCAGGAAAGCGCTCATGCAAGGAGGGTTAGAGGAGCTTCCACACACTTGGTCTTGAGGACATTTGAAATAGAGCTTCCAGAAGGGCTAGAGGCAAGGGACCAGGGAGCAGTTTATTCCCTCTTAATCTCCCTTTTAGCCTCTTTGTCAACCTTTTTGACTTCTCTATTGCCTATTGCAAGTTCTATGCAGTTGGGGTGAAGGCCTTATTAAAACATCTGGACCAGATTTCGAACGCATCAGTTCAGAGTTGCATCATCAGGTGCATTCATCATTTATTACCTCTGTCGCTTCTATAGCATGCTATTCCATCTCCAGTGGCCTCTGCAAATGCCTCAGAACAGAATCACTGTGGCAGTAACATTACTCATTTAATTTACATGGTAAATGCTAAGCTGAACATCCAAATTAGATTTAAAGAACCATCCGTTCATTGCCATTTCTGAAGACAAAAGTTCTTGATACTTACCACTTCTTCACTCTTAAACTGAAATTCATTCCATAAACTATATAGCCCCTAAGCTTTTAAATCATGCACATGGTAGAAGTGGGACTCTGGGGTCTCAGAGTCATTAGATATTAGGATGGATGGTGAGTTTGGGGGCAGGATTTAGAAGAGAGATAGTAGAAGAGCAAAGTGGTAAGAAAAAGCACGGATGGGAAGGTAGAGACGAAGCTGTGGGAACAGGGAGGCCAAAAGAAATGGAACCAAACTCCATCTGAAGTACACATTTTGTGAAGGACAATTTTTGTTATTTTTGTTTGGCCTTGATTTTTTTTTGAAATAGGATCTCACTAAATTTCCCAGGCTTGCCTCAAATGCAGTCTTTAGCCCAGGCTGTCCTCAAAATGGTGATAAAACCAATCAATGAATTTTATTAAAAAGCCTAGATCGCCTGAAAGGACTCCCTGTCTGAGTGTGAGCAGAAGGCCATGGTAATGTCTTGGGGTATGCTATCCAGACCCCTGATCTTGCCCCCTGGGCTGTGAGCTGATGCTCTGGGAGGAAGTCCCTCAGCTGGGAGTAGAGGCATACATCACCATACCCTGCTCACGAAGGGCAATCTTTAAGATGAGTGTCCAAGTCTCAGAAGAGTCTGCAGACCAGTGAATATGCCCTTTACTCTGTTTTCTCTCCAGATTTACGGACACAGACACCTTCATGGAAACCTTTCTCTTGCAAGTTCATCTCGTGGAACCAGACTGTAATATCATCCGTCTAAGCAGCAATATGCTGGAAGTGACTGAATTCTACGGCTTGTCCCAAGCCATTGACAAGAACCTGCTCCAATTTGATTATGACAGGACAGCCCACCTGGACTGTACCATCAGACTGGATCCAGTGGGGACTCAGCTGCCAGCCCACGGCAAGCTGGTTGTGCTGCACCATAAGCCAGAGGGACCTCGTGGAGATCAGCCACACAGCTTTTTTTCTGAGACCCGTATGTACCTCTTAACAGTTAAGGTTACTAAAACTGACCAAAATGTCTGTAAACGTCCATCTTTCACTATGATGAAGAGTTCTGCTTAACAAATACAGTTTTTTTTTTTTTTTTTTTTTTTTTTTTTTTTTTGGCTTGTTGAAAATATGTGAGATGGTTCAGTGGGTAAAGGCACTTGTCACCAAGTCTGATCTGAGTTTAATGCCTGTAACTCACATGGTGTAAGGAGAGAACCTATGCCTCCAAATTGTCCTCAGATTTCTAAACTCTTACTGCAGCACAAGTTGTTTTGGACACACACACACACACACACACACACACACACACACACACGTGTCACAGGCTAGTGGGATAGTTTGGTAAGTGGCGACACTGGCCTCCAAGCCCGCTGGCCTGAATTTGATTAGCAGGCCTACATAGTGGAAGGAGAAAACTGATTTCCACAAAATAAATAAAATTAGAATGTAACTAAAAATGCATTTTAAAAAAACAAAACTAAATGTAGGTTATTAAGGTTGTGAATTTGGAGTTAAAATCAGAAATGCTTGGGTCTGCTGTTGGTGGTTTCCTTTGTTTATTTAATTATCAATGGGTTTAAGCCTCTGTTAGATGGGAGAAGAGAACAGCCATTCTAGTGTAGAGATGGAGTAAGGGCATAGTGTGCTTAATGCAGGTCTGGCCCATTACAGCGTTCATGAGTTTCCAGTTATGATTACAGCAATGGACAGCAGAGGGGAGAGTAGTTTGTTCCTTACTGAGTATTACTGGGTTGTGTTCTAGTAATGAATGTAGGTAGCAGCCAGGATTGAAACCCAGGATGTTGACTGAATTGAATTCTTCTTGCAGAATTCACTTAGTTACTATATTTTACAGAGCTCCTTGTGTTAGTCATACAATCAGGGCATTTTGAACACTTTATATCTGTATTCTAGCAACTATGGGAAGACCTAGAAATAAACATATTATTGCCTGGTATTTTGGACAGAAGCTTACAGCTAAAGTTGAACATCAGTCATGTCAATTTGTCGTCACAACCGCTGGATTAAGAAGTAGAGTGACTGTTTCATATATTACGAAAACAAGAGTCCCTGAGCATCATTCGCCCAACAAGAGTGAAAATACAGCTGGGAAAGTCAGAGTCTTTTAGAGACTGCTGTGGGTTCAAAAACAGGATGGTTCAAGGGGCCAGAGAAGGGTTAAGGGGGGGTGCTAAAAAGACCAACCAGGGCTGGGGAGGTGGGATCTCTGTGGGTAGACAGTCCACATGAGGTTGTCTAATGTAAAAGGAAACTGGCTGGGCTGTGAACGTCTATGTTGAGCTGCTGGCATATTTGTCAGTGATAATCAAATACCACAAACCCCTCTTTAATTATTATTTTTTTTTTTTTTTTTGGTCAACCTATCTTTTGGTGGGCAAAGACAGACGAGACAGCTGGACAACCGTTTTTGTTTTGTTTTCTGTTTTTTCAGTAAAGGCATTTATGACCTGTCAGAGCGATGACAATGTAGTCAGTGAATAATTGGAAGGTACATACATGTGTGAGTGTCCTGGGGGCAGTGAGTGAAGATGTATCCAAGGCAGGAAGATGGGTTTTGGGTTTGTACAATCATTGTGTTCAAGCGGCTGTCTCAATGCAGTGCTGTGCATTCTAGAGCTGGGAGCAGGACTGAAGTGTCCAGGTGGCAACTGTGCCCTGGGGTTGCAAACTGTGGGAAGTCTGAAGACGAGCTGTGAGGAGTTCCTGCTGATGGGACTTCACTACCAACACACACACCCCCCTTCACCCAACATTGATTATATAGCCATCCAGCTGGACCTCACGGACAGAAGGAGTCAAGCCACGTACAAGGTAGAGTTTGGAGTTACATCGGCATCCTCAGATGGTTAGTTGTAAGAAAGCAGTTCTGTGGAGGTGCCCAGGCTGGTGTCTATTCAGAAGAGTTCCTATGCTATTAAGGAAACAACTTCAGGCTTGTGGGTTGGTTGTGCCTGAAAGTACTTCAACCAGAAGCTTTGGCATGTAAAATTAGCATGTATTTCCATCTTTGTTTCTTCTGTAGCTCTATACCATGAGGAAGGGACTGGGGCTGTTTGCATGTTAACTATCTTACACACACACACACACACACACACACACACACTGTATATGTGTGAGTGCAAGCATGTACACACATTGAGAATTGAACCTGAAACCTTGTGTATGGCAAGAGTGGACTCAGCCACACACCTACACCCTAGCCCATTTCGGGGGGGGGGGGAATGACTGTTTGTAAATGCCTTTTCTAGGGCTCCTTTGTTCCTCCCTGACATCAAAGCATCTGCTCTGCAAGGCCACATTTCATATCTGCAGCTAGTGTATCACTGGTGCGTTTTTCAGAACTTAGGACAGAGGGCTGGATCACTTAGGGGAGGGGTTCCCAGAGACTCCTGCGTCTTTTTCTGTCTTCATTTTCTTTGCACGCACTCCTTTCAATTTTTTCACACTGGAACCTGGCTCTTAGTAAGTGAGGCAGTCCTCATAAAGTGCCTGCTTCAGAGTTTGGCACGTGCTTATTACTGTTAAGCAGCCACCAACAGAAAGAACTTGTGATCAGCCAGGTTTGAAATAATAGTGTCCAGCTTCCTGTTCATAGTGGTGGCCTTGCTATTTATGTATGGCTGTCTTATGGCTGACAGAATCAAAACTGGATTCTGCTGCGCTAACACATATTGTCTGTTTGTTTTGTTACAAAACTCCTTTCATTACCAATGATTTCTTACCCCCTCAAAAATGTTAGAGGTCTTTCTTTCTGTTTTTTTTTTCGTAATTGTTCCCTCACTGTATCAAAGGCTTTATTTGGGCTTTTAGGTCAGTTTCATCGTTAGGCTGTCCTTCTCAATGAGTTTCTTTTTTTTTTTTTTTTTTTCATTTTGAGAAGTCATGAAATGCGTTCATTTATAAACATGGGGGTGGTGTGTCCATTGAGAAAACATTAAAAACATGATAAAATAAGAAAATAAAACTGATTTTATTGATAACGATTTTCTTACACACAGTGAGGACCATAGATCCCAGAGTTCATTTTGTTTCATGCTATCAACTTGTCCGGGGAGCTTTGAGTCTTGTCCTTTGGCTAGTCTTGTGCTTGCACAGATCATTCTTGCCAATGGATTAAATGCTCACTCACTATAATTTTCTCTCCTACATTAATTAATAACTCTTAGCATGGAGGCTTTCATGAGTGCTAGGCAAGAGCTCTACCCACTGAGAGACACCCCCAGACCAATGTCTTCTATGCTTTTAAAGGCTATTCCTTTCACATTTGTCTTTGCAACACCTAAGGCAGTTTGACTGCACAGTGAAGTGCGTGCAATTATTATTCTCCATGTAGCCAACCTGCAGAGAAATTTGTCAGAAGTATGGACTTGTTCCCTATGGACTGTATACAATCCTTCTGCTGTATAAATGACCCATAGGCTAACTTTTTGTCCCCCCCCACCACCACCACCACTTCTTTCTTTGCTGGTACCATGCCACTCTAAGTCCTACAGCTGTGTGATCTGATACAGTGAAGGTCATCTTTAGACTTTCCTTAGCCTTTCTTACCTAATTGGTTGCAGATAAATAATTAAGTAGGTTTCATTTACAGCCTCTAAATTGTTTGTTTTAAATCAGCATTAGGTTTACACTGAAAGTTCTTTGGAGAGGAGTTGGGATGTGAGAACTTTGCCATCCCGAGTCTCCTCATACAGAACGGCATGCCACTTTCCACCGAACAGGTGTCGTTCTCATGTCTATGGAAAGGAGACTTTTCCTGTGTGAGTCCCTCGCACTTAATAAATGCAGTCCTGAGAAGTTCTTGTGAAACTACCAGGAACAGCATCTTTTCCTCTCATGGTGTCTTTTCATTGGTTATTGATGGTAAATAGGAATGCAACTTTTTTTGGTATAATTTTCTTTTATCTGGCTTCTTTCCTAACTTCAATTATTTTAAGAAATTTTCGATTCTCTGGGCTTCAAAAGACCATAATTATATCTTTACTAATGATGATAATTTGGGCCTTTCTTTTCCTGTAATTATTCCTTTCACTTCTGCTCTCTTCCCCATGAGTTTGACCAGAACAATACTAAATATAATGTTGCTTGTAGGCATTTTCTGTCTCGGGCAGTGCATCTATTTCAGCTGTACACATTGTCCTTTTCAATGCTTCTTGCCTTGATTCAGTCTATTTGAAAAGAATGTGGCCACTCTGGTCCTTTTTCACATCATACGTTTGGGTTACACTTTTATTTCCAATCTTTCTATGAATCCCAAGCATCTTTTAGGTGAGGTCTACATGACTGGGCATTTCTTGAAATTTTAATTTTTTTCTTGATTAAGGAAATACAAACTATATTACAGTAATAATGGATACATGCAGATATTTTCCTGTCATCTTATTTATGTATTCTTGTCAGTAAAAAGGAAATGTCTCTTAACATGTTCAAAGCTTAGATTTGATTCTCAATATAACACACACACCCTACACAACCATGTCTTACAGAATATATTGTATTTCATTTGACCTAATTTTGCATATTTGAATGTCCTTTCTGTACTTCATATTTTGTTTAAGTTTAAAAAGTATTCTAAAGGCTGGAAATAATGACTTAGTGTTAAGATGCTTTTCTAGCATGCACAAGGTATGGGTTTGATCCCCAGCACAACAAGAAAGCAAATAAATACTCTTTAACTTACATTAGTTTATTTAAAATCCATAATTGCAGAGGGTTTTTTGACTCCTTCCTATGCTTGGTGAAGATTATTCTAATAGCCTTTTCTTCTGGCAGTTCCCATGCTCTATTAACACCATTGGCAATTTCATTTCTACTGTAAGGTTTACTAATTCTTATAGCCTCTGTCTTTTAAGTAATTAAGTACTATTGACATTTGTATCCTTTTTTATTTTCCTTTTTGACATTTCAAAGAATGCATTTATTGCTGGGCTATGGTGGCACATGCCTTTAATCCCAATATTTGGAAGGCTGATCTCCCTGAGTTTGAGGCCAGCCTGGTCTACCAAATGAGTTCCAGAACTGCCAGGGCTGTTACACAGAGAAAAACCTGTCTTAGGAAAAAATAATGCATGTTTTAGATTCTATTTCTACACTTAATTGGCTTCAGTGTTGATTCCTAGTCCTTTAAAACCAAGATTTAGCTTTACTGTTGTTTTCCAGTGACATCTACCCCAGAATATTGCTTTTCTTTGTTACTCTGCTGTGGGGAAAAGCTATGGTTCTCTTTTGAGTGTCTCTTCTACCAGATGTTGCTGGCAAGTTTCTGAAACTTTGGGTGGTGCTTGGGCTGAAGGATTGAGAGAGGGTGACTGTGGAGGGAGGTCTTACCTGCTCAGGGACCCATAGAAGATGATTTCACGCTCTCTGAGTTTGCCAGATGTTTCAAGCTGCTTTGTTGTTTGGAGCAATTTCCTGATTTCTCTGGAAAGCTCCATCTCAGAGCCTCACCCTTTGTCCCAAAAGGGAGGGTTCACTCCTCCCTAGGCTGAGCCACCTCCTGCAATGTTTCCTGCAGTCAGTAGAATATGATTTATATCTCCAGGTTAATGCAGCTAGACTTTTGTCTTCTGAAGGATGGTCTTCATAGGTCAGGATCCAGGATGACCCCAGAGTCAGTCGTCTGCCCCACGGGGCATGGGAACACTCACATGCCTCTTGCTGATGTACACAAGGACAGGTTGGATCTAAACAAGATCTCTAACTCTTATTCTCTGGGTCTTCCTACTTATAAATTGAAATTCTGGACTTCCAAATATTAGAGGATTAGCTACCAGTATTCTGCTTCTGGCCATTTCACTTCCTCCAAGGTGAGCCTTGAATCAGCCGTCTGCATGCCTGAGCAGTGTAAGGCTCTTCAAGGAACAGTCTGTCCTGATGTCTGAGGCCAGGGACATGGTGTTACCCCAGCCTCAGCCTTCATGGGCTTGGGGGGCATGGCCGTGGAGTTAGCACAGCACCTTTCTCCCCAGAAAAATCTTCTCTATCTTTTTTGATGTGTTTGTATTCCTCTTATAGTAAACTAGAGTGTTCCAGAATCTGCAGCCAGCAGACTCACATACTTTTTGAGCATAGTATCTTTCTTTAAATTCAATGTCTCTGATTTTGCTTGCGCACGCGTGTGCATGAGTGTGTGTGTGTGTGTGTGTGTGTGTGTGTGTGTGTGTGTGTACTTCATTGAGACTGATGTAGGATACCATCTCTGAGTCTTCCATCTAAGAGCAAGTGAAGAAAAACTTGCCTGAACATTCTCTCCTTACTCCAGGTCTATTATCGAGAGTTCTGGTGTGTGGGGCAGTTGTGATTTTGATAACTGAACCTGCTCCTCTCAACAGCGGCTCACATCAGTGCCAGGACAGCAAGGGTCTACTGCTCTGCAGGCTTCTTCCTCCCCATCCCCCTCATTAAGACCCCAGTGTCACACCCTTTGCTGAGTGTGGAGGTCTCTCACTTGTGACTTTCTCATATGGGGAAGATGCATGTCACTTTCAGTGGCCACTTGCAGTTCCCTTGTTCTGTTAGGCAACTGGACAATCACCCTTCAGTTGCACAAGTACATAGGGATGAAGACAGAGACCTTCTCCTCTGCCTTCCCCTGGTGTTTGAAACCACATGGCCTGAAGAGGTTACTGGTGGCTGTGACAGACACGGACTGGTGCTTTACTTTCATAGTTTCATTCAATACACAGGTGTCTAGAGTTTCCATTTATAGATGAGAGGGTCATGGGATGTAGGAACTGTGGAACTTCTCTAACATCGTACAAATAACAAGTACTGAAGATGCAAGCACAAGTCTCAGCAGTTAAGAACTCTGGTCTTGGAAAGGACCTGAGTCTGTTGCTATCACCCACATAGTGGCTCACAACAAGTTCTAGGGGATCCCAGTGCTATCTTCTGTCCTCCATGGGCTCCTATGTGAACAACAAACACACACACACACACACACACACACACACACACACACACACCACGTAGTTCTTCCTGATACCAAACAGATGCTTCATTCCAAATCTTTTGTGCACATTGGAGTGTTCAGAAAGCTCCAGATTGTCAGTTTCTAGTTTCCTCCTTGGGGTAATTAAGTGAACCCCTGAGGTAGTTGCTGGTGGTCAGCAGGTGATTCTAACAGGAAGCTGGTGGTCACAGCTGCCATCCTTTGGGCTGCAGTGTCATTACATGCTGTGGCATTAACCATGCACATTATAACCATGTCACTCTCCTTTTTATTTTTCCTCTCCTCTAAAAGTCAGAGAGTGTGTGGTTGCCTGTGCATATCAGAGTTGGCATTCCTAACCAGGCCCCAAGGGCTGCATTCATGGCCATGTTTGTACTGGAGGTGGATCAATTCATACTGACACCCCTGACAACCTCCGTTCTGGACTGTGAGGAAGATGAGACCCCCAAACCCTTGTTGATGTTCAATATCACTAAAGCCCCGCTCCAAGGCTATATGACCCACCTGCTAGATCATACCAGACCCATCTCTTCGTTTACCTGGAAGGATCTAAGTGACATGCAAGTTGCCTACCAGCCACCAAACAGCAGCTATCCTGAGCGGAGAAATTACAAGGTAAGAAGAAAGGAGGAGTAGAGTCCAGCCTGGTGGACTTCAAATAAGTATTTGAAAGCCTGCTTCCATTGACCCTTGGGCCTGCTAGTATACTCCATTTCTCAAAGGAGACTTGATTTCTGCAAGTCATAGTGCAGTGCAGTTCAGGACTGCCTGAAGAGACACTGGTCAGACAGATTGAAGAAAGGTATTTTATTGTGGTGATGAGCACCTTTGGTTCCAACCCATGGTTGCCATGTTGAAATCCAGGTGGAATACATGTGCTGTAGTCCTCAGTTGTCCAGAGATATGAGAAATTCTGCAATGGTCTTATAGTCCTGGGGGCCGTGGAAAAGGCAGAGACAAGAAATTGCTCCTAGCCAAGCTCCAGGTTCAGTAAAACTTCCTATCCCAGGGGAGTAAGGTAGACAGAGTAGGACACAAAACCTCTTCCTCTGGTCTCTGAGCACACCCAGGCTGTACCCATGAAGTGTACATGTTCTATATATATACTGTATTCTTACATACACACACACACATAATAATAATAATAATAATAATAATAATAATAATAATAGTAATATAAATAACACTAAAGTATTTGTTTCAAAATAGCTAGTAGGGAGGATTTATATGTTCCCTACATTGGGAAATGGTACATACAAGAGTTGATAATATATGCCAACTACTCTGGTCCACTTAGGGTACAGAGTGTAGATATGCATGTCTGTGTGTATACCATACAAATATGTACAATTGTGATCAATTAAAGGATTAAAAACACAAACCAAAAATAATACCTAGGAAAGAAATGAGTGATCAAATAAATATGTTACTTCTTATAATAAAATAACACCCTTTTTACACGAATGTTTTAGTTCAAAATAGCTCCACACTGGAAATAGTGAGATTATATTTAAGTGAAATTTCTAGAAAGGGCAACTGTATATAGACATAAAATAGATACTGGCCTTGGTCGGCTGAGTGGTAAGAAAGGGGATCAGCACCAGGCATGGGGACCTTTGGTGTAATGGAAAAACAGTTCACTCAGAGATGATTGTACAACTTGGAAAATTTTTGTGCTCTTAAAAGCAGTGATTTATATGTTATGATTTTTTTTCTCAATTGGTTGTAAAATTAATTTTAAAAATAGAATTAAATGTAAAACAAGAGAGAACAGCAACACCAAATCTGGATCCATTGTGTGTGTGTGTGTGTGTGTGTGTGTGTGTGTGTGTGTGTGTGTAGCCCAAAACTAATAGGACTTTAAGCCTGAATTTGTCTGTATGTGGCTCATGTGAACTCATTTGTGTCCAGGTGGAGCTGGAGGTGTATGACTTCTTCTTTGAGAGGAGCGCCCCCATGACAGTCCACATCTCCATCAGAACAGCAGACACGAATGCACCCAGAGTGTCCTGGAATACAGGTGTGGGTGTAGTCCTGAGGGAAATACAAGGAAGTGGGTGGGTCAAGAAAAATACTTTTATTACACTTCATCCATGAGGTAATGGAATCCCAGGCAGACCAAGGGCAGCAGATAGTTACCTGTGTCCTGCTTTTTCCTAGTAGATAGTGAGAAACTAAAATCCAGCATCCTTAAGTCCTTAAGTCCTCTGGCTACCTTCCTTCTTTAGGAGATACACCATGAAAGTGGTCCCCTTTCAGCTGAACAGAGTAAGAAAGTGGCTGCTTGCGATACTACTGAGTGAGGGTAGGACTGAGAAAGAAGAGGTCTCTGGCTCAGAGTTAGCAGAGGAGTGGGAGCCAAGTGCAGCCTGGGACCTGTTGTCCTAGTTTTTGTTGGGTTGCATGGAAACCAAAATAAGTAAATAAGAACTTAAGCAGCTTAAAAAAAAAAAAAGCTTTATACTGCCACTCAATTTCAAGTAGACTGGGAATGTGATTTATATATTTAGATCAGATGCAAATGAGGAATGCAAATGGCTTTTCCTTCCTCACTAATACCATCAATGACATTCAAAACATACCTTGGAGCAGTGCTGTCGGTCATGTTAAGAGGGATGTATCCATGTCTGATTTCAGTTCTAAGCTTAGGCTTATCATTCTGTCTGTTCTAGGGAATTATGAGAGAAATGAAGGGCTCATCAACCAAAGTCAAGTAGCAATGCTACTTTTGTGTAGATTACTGTGTTTTAGTGAGATGGAATCATCTGTCTGTGCGATAGATACCTGATGCTCAGATGCATCAAGGAAGCTTCAGGTTTGGGTCTGGCTGCTGTGGACAGTACAATCCTTTTCAAAATGACTTTTTACTTGTTATGAACTTTGTATCTGCTATTATTGAAAAGCTAGAGAATGTATTAAATAGAAGGATAACTCTTCATCTTCTCATTATATATATATGTATATGTATATGTATATGTATATATATTATAGTATAATTGCTGTTAGCATTTTGATGTGTCAGTTGACTTTTAGTCTTCTTGGATGTTCCTCTGATGTATCCCATGATGCCGTGCATGTGCTGTGCTGTGTGTGCACATGCCACTTCAAAACCCCTGTATCCATCCTCAGCACCACCCCAAGAAAAGGAAGCTTTTGGAGCTCATTGGCATATGCTTGTCTTCCTCTTATCCACATCCTCCCTCTCTCGCTGGCTCTTTCCCTCCTTTTTTATTCCCCCCTCCTCTCTTCCTCCCTTCTCTCTCTCTTCTCACTTCTTCCTTTCTGTTTTGTTTTTTCTTATACTCATAGTTGTTTTAGCCCAATTTCCCCAGGAAACAGATTTTGAGGCAGATCCCGTATCAACCCTACCCTGAAAAGGAAGAGAGGGAGTGGGAGGTGGGGTTGGGGGGCATTAGTCTTCTCTCTCTGTAACAAATACCCAAGACAACCAACTTATAAAGAGGACAGGGTTAGCACAGATCTAGAAATTCAGTCCATGATTAGTTGGCCCCATGCTCTGTGGCTGTGATGAGGTAGTAGCACATCATGGTAAAAATGTGTAGGGAAGCAAAGCTGCTTACTTCATGGCCAGGAAGCAGCAAGACAGAGGGTGAGGAAGGGCCTGAGTTCCACAGTCACTTTTAAGGGCATGCTCACAGTGACTTAAGATCTACCCCTTTGTCAGACCTCCTAAAAGCACTATCATCTCTCTTTTTACTGTACCCTGCAGACCAAGCCTGTAAGATGTAGGCGTTTTGGTGATGTTTCACATTCCAAGCTATAGTAGATGACATGGTTGAGCTGGCCACAACTTTTTAGTAAGATATATGGATTACTCTGTTCTGGTGTCCCCATGAAGCAGACACAACCAGTGTACCTGAGAAGAGTCTGAGCAAAGGGTGAGCTATCTATCACCCCCATTTCTACTGAGAAATAAGAATGCCTGGTGGCCATGAGGAGCTTCATCCAGAGTCTGTGTTTTTCTCATTACCAGTGATCAAAACTACAAACTTCCTCTGACATACTGAGCCTAAGCAAAGGTTTTATTTCAATCCTTTAGTTGTATAAATCCATCTCTAATTAGAGTTTACACTAATGTGTGTTTTATTTCACAAAGTGCCAAGCACTCCACATCTAACATCCAGGTACATCTAACATGCCAGATACAGTGGCTCTATATAAGCATATTGAAGTACTATGTATTCCCTATCCCATGGGATATGTATGTTCTTTTGAGTCATAGGTAAATCCCTTTCTAACTCTTGTCCTTTTAAACCATATAGGTATGAGTTCTGACAAGTTCCCTGTGGACTCATTGAAACTAGGGACCTCTATGAGCTTAACTTCTGCTTTCCCCTTCAACATTTAGATTCTGGTATCATTGTGGCTCATAGGAAATCAGTTGTCAGGTTGAAATCAGAGCAAAGTTTACTAGAACACAAGCTGTTCTTGAAAAGCATTTGAAGATACAGCTTTGAGATAGATTTATGAATGAGAACTCATTACCCTTAAGTGGATATGTTGTAGGTCATGTTTCTGTGTTTCCTTGTAGGTCTGAATCTCCTGGAGGGACAGTCTCGGGCCATCACTTGGGAACAATTTCAGATTGTCGACAATGATGACATTGGTGCTGTGCAGTTGGTCACCATTGGTGGCCTGCAGCATGGACGGCTTACAGTAAGAGGTCAATGATTTATCTGTTCAACCCAAAACTGGATCCAGGGTCTATTTTTGTCCAAAGGAAATCACATCATGGGGCTAGGGAAACAACTCATTGATAACACATGTTCCAAGCAAGTGTGAACACCCGGGTTCAATCCTCAGAGTTTCATAAAAGTCCTGTGTGGTGGTGGATGCTTTTAGTCCAGCCCTGGGGCTTCCTAGTCAACTAGCCTAGCCAAATCCATGAGTTCCAGATCTCAGTGACAGATCCCTCTCAAAAGTGGAAGGGGCTAGAGAGATGGCTCAGGGGGTAAGAGCACTGGCTGGTTGAGGAGGACCCAGGTTTGATTCCCAGCATTCAACAGTGGCTCACAGCTGCCTGTGACTCCTGTTCCAAGGAATCTGATGTTCTCTTCTGACCTCCACAGGGACCAGACACACACAAAAAATAAATAAAGATAGCTGGGCAGTGGTGGCACACACCTGTAATTCCAGGACTTGGGAGGCAGAGGCAGGCAGATCTCTGAGTTTGAGGCGAGTCTGGTCTATAGAGCAAGTTCCAGGACAGGGTCCAAAGCCACAGAGAAACTCTGTCTCAAAAAACCAAAGCAAACAAACAAATAAACAAATAAATAGAAAACTTAAAACAACAGCTATAAAAACAAGATGGAAGCAGTTAGACAGGTGACTCAGTTAGTTACAATCACTGGCTGTTTTTCCAGAAGGCCAAAGTTTAACTATGGACATCCACCTGGCAGCTCAAAGTCATCTTTAACTGCAATTCCAGGGGCTTCTGACTCCCTCTTTTGTCTTCCACAAGCACCAGGGATGCATGTGATACATAGACATATATGCAAGCAAAACATGTGTATATATAACACTTAACATTTTTTCCTTAAAACAATGAGGCATAGGGCCCCTATGGAATGAGAGTTGAGATTGACCTCTGGCATGTGCAGCATCTCTCCTTCCACTCATATACATGTAGATGCTCACCCACATGAACACACACACACATATACACACACATGTGTAGGCACACACATATTTAACAGGGTATGTGTATCAATTATTGGATGTCTTCCAAATTGAAACCATTATAGTCAATTGACTATGATGACTTTGTAAGATGCTCACATCCTTGATGAACTATGTCTTCTACTTGGTCATTACCCAGACTTCAGCTTTAATTTATGTGTGTTTCCAGCTGGAGGACAAAATATTTCTCTGTTTCAAAGAAATACATTGTAAAACAGAAAGAAAAAAAAACCCAACTTCTGAAAATGCTTCAACAATAATGATGCTATTATATTGTTATTAGTTACCACACTTTAAATTTTGAAAGACATGAATTTGTAATGATAAGGATGATAGGTAAGAAGGTAAAAGCCCTTATAAAAGCAGTGTTCATGTGATGGTCAAAGTCTGTTCCTTATAATGTGCTAAGAGGATTTAATCCAATTATCCTCTTAGTAGCTTAATTATAAAGAAAAGGGAGAACTTTCATTTATCATTGTTTGTAATTGGGGGATTCAGGATTAAAAAGAAACAGAGTACAGTAAATTCTACCGGATTCCAGGACAGTGGGTGACAGTTGAAACCTGAGTGCGGCCGTCAGGACCAGGGGTCCGTCACAAACCATGCTGTTGCAAAATATCACAACCAGTGCTATTTTCTTTGTGTCTGTCAACCAGGAAGAGCTAGAAAGAACAAAACAGAAGTCAGAACATATAAGCTTGCAGCCCTTAACAAGTTTTTCAGAGGCCCCGTGCAATGACTTGCCTTTCTGTTGCAATAGTCTGTGCAGGAAATGAAACTATGTTTATTAATGCTACAAAAGTGGAAATTGGGGTGGTAACCCATAATACAGTGGCGTTCTGGAATCAGAGAGGAGAAAAACTCATACTAACATTTGTCAACCATTCTATATGCTTTTGTTTGTTTTCCTCACCTTACTTCTATGAAGTAAGATACTATTATTGATCCTATTTTACAGACAACCTGCAATTTTGAAAACTCATCTCACTTAAGGCTATACACCTAGGCAGTAACTAATGTGGATTTATACCTCTGCTTGAATCAGGCTCTGGCCCTGGTTCTCAAACTTCAGCATGTACCCACCCTTGGGGTGGGCTTAGTCAGACATAGGTTGTTGAGTCCCATCTCCAGAATTTCTGATTAAGTAGGCTCAGAGCAGAGACCAAGAAATTGCATTTTTAATAATTTCCCATTTGGTGCTGATGCTGCTGGTTGGAAAGATTGCTTCCCTAGGCGCTGCTGCCATGCTATGACAATGACCTGAGAGTTAATCAATATTTATCAGAGGCTTGCTATTGTTTGAGTTCTCTCATGTTGCCATGGGATATCTGCATCCATATTTATTTATATCTAGTTATGTTTGTCAGAATCAGTCAAAGAAATGAAAACAATAGAATGCACACAAACATATAAGGAGAGACTTACTATGGGGAATGTGTGTGTGTGTGTGTGTGTGTGTGTGTGTGTGTGTGTGTGTGTGTGTAGACTGAGAAACCTCATGATGTGTTTGTGGAGAGAACTGTATGTCAAGAAAAGCCAGTCGAATAAAGCAGTCCTAAACCAAGGCTTGAGAACTAGGGTAATGATGAAATAATTCTCAGTTCAGCCCAAGGTCAAAACCCTGGAAAACAAGGTGGGTGACTGTCAGAGAGGTGTGAGTCTAAGTTTCAAATGCCCACAAAATCTGGGGGGGTGGTGGAGAGAAGATGATACAGAGAGAGAGATTGGGGGGGGATGAGAGATGATAGAATGCCCATCCTTCCTTTCCATTTTTGTCTTAGGTCCATAACTGCCTGGTATCTCTTAGTTGACTCCAAAAATTAATTCTAATATTATTTTTCCTGTTTCACAGTCTCAAATACTGGTCTTAAGTCCACACAGGTAGTAAGTGGGAGAGCTAGTGTTCAACACTAGACATGGCATCCTGACACTCACTAAACTTCACAGTTTAAAGACTGTCCTTGACTTACACCTTTTGTTTTGTTTACATTTTGAGGTGTCATAGGGACTACTCTATATGTGTTTGTGATAGTGTATGGGGCATAAGCTCATGGTGAGTTTAAGAGCATCTGCATCACCTTTGCTTTCCATAGCCCACTGCCTGGTAGTGATTCCTTCCTCAGCTGCTGCCTTCCTTGATCACTCAGTATCACATCTGCTCTCTTCATCAGAGGGAAAAGGATTTCTCTTCACTGTGGCTGATCTACAGGCTGGAGTTGTTCGCTATCATCATGATGACAGTGACTCTACCAAAGACTTTGTGGCTTTCAGGATATTTGATGGCCAACACAGCAGCCATCACAAGTTTCCGATCAACATCTTGCCCAAAGATGATAGCCCCCCATTTCTCATAACTAATGTTGTTATTGAACTAGAAGAGGGGCAGACCATCTTGATCCAAGGGTCCATGCTGAGAGCTTCAGATATGGACTCCAGTGATGACTACATCTTCTTTAATGTCACAAAGTTCCCACAGGCTGGGGAGATCATGAAGAAGCCAGGGCCAGGACTGATAGGTAAGTTCTAGACTGGTAATATAGTTTGAATGGAATTGAATCTTTCTTAAAGAACTTTGTATTGTGGTCAAATTTGTGTAAGATTAGATAGGCATCACATTTATGAGGCAAAATAGTATTTTCCCATCTTATACAGTAGAACTTAAGATTTACATTGTCAACCTACTACCGAAAGTTGTACATCTAGAGAGTTCTGTCACTAAACCTCGAGATAACCATCACAATATAAAAGTTAAGTCAGCCAAAAAAATTATAGAATAAATAAGTGTGATGGGAGATATTTGCTTTATTCTCCATGTTACTCAAATAGTTTCATTAATATCTTCGCTTACATTTCGGTATCAGGAGTTTGACAATATGGATCAAATAAGAGGCTTTTTAAAACTCCACATTGAAATAGGGCAATTTTAATCCATTGCTCCATATTTTGTTAAACGTATTTAATGCAAATTCTTGGCTATAAACAACACACTATCAGAGAAGATGTAGGGAGGTGAATTCAGCGTCACTAGGCCCCAACATCTGAAATTGTGTGGTATTTTGTGGCACCATTAGGGTATCCTGTCCCTGGCTTCCTTCAGAGAGACCTGTTCAATGGAGTCATTTACTATCGTCACTTCGGTGGAGAAATCTTTGAAGATTCTTTTGAATTTGTCCTATGGGACAGCCATGAACCTCCAAATTTTTCCGTGCCACAGGTGAGAGACCATTTCAGAACATCTTCACAAAGTTGTACATGCTCTAAGAGGTGTTATAAAAAGTACATGACAACTGGTTTCGAGATTCAGTGTCTGCAAAGCAATGGATCAGGCAAAAATAAGCATGCCTGCCCCCTGCCCAAGTACTATGCCCACACTTTTCTAAAGCACTTTGCAAGGTTTTATGTAGCAACTGTTTCTAAGGTTGCTTAACCATAGCACATATATAGACAACCTCACAAATTTGCTCACTTCTTAACACCCAAGAAAACATGCTTTAAAGATAGTGTTTAAATTAGAGTTGAGGGGGAGACTTCCTGAGTTTTCCTCCAGTTCTTGACATTAGCTAATCAACCTCCATTCCTCTTTATTTATTTTTCAAGCAAGTGGTAGAAACTCCAGAACAAAGCTAGTGCGGGAATAGTGACATGTTACCTGGAAAACACTGAGAAAACACCTGGTAAATACTCAAAAAACAAATGGCTTGCATTTGTTGTTTTTAGGATCTCAGCTCTGACTAGCTTTAGAGGATATAATTTAAGTCTACATTAAGCAGAAATAAGATGAAGCAAACATTATCACATAGAAATCATAAAAGATGGGATTAGTGTAGTGTAGGACCCTGCATGGACCCCCGGGGCACCTTGAGCAAGCCTAAAGCTATTGCCTGGAACATCTTGCCCCAGAGTTATTACTGATACTCTGCCTGATTTGCTAACACACATTTGCTGGGGAGGAACTAAGCCTGAGAACTTGCACGATTGACCCTTGGTTGTGTTCCACTGTGCTGTGAGTCAGTATATAAGCCTGCAGCTTCCCCTCAATAAAGGGCAATTGGCATTCCAGTATTCCTGTTGCATGAATAACCCACTGCCTTGTCTTTTATTTAAATCTTTAGGCCTTTGCCCAATCAGTAGAAAAGATTGTAGTGCGGGCGCTACAAGTGTAGCTCACGGACAACTGTAAAAGTGTGAGGAGTACAAGTTAAACTTCAAAAGGAGCCATTGAAATTAAGTGATTATGGACTTCATACACTATTGTTGCTGGTCATTTTGTACCTGCTACCTTCAAAGAATGTGGATGCAAGCAAATCTCAAGCCTATTCAAGAAACAATACTTACAGCTTGTGTCCTATTGCCATAATGGATTCCTAGAATGCCACAGCCACTGATAATAGTCAGGGTGCAAGAGGCCACATTGCACATCTGTTTGCTGACATGGCCATATTGAAGGGGGTATCTGAAAGAGGAGTGTCACAGGGCTCGAAACTGCAAGAGCTCGGTGATGTCTTTTAGGATGGGTTGTCAGGGAAGTTTAAAAAGAACTCAGTTCATCTGTGTTCTTACTAACAACTCAGCTCCTTTTAATCACCCCTCATTTCATTGATGCAGTATACCTGTTGTTTCTGGGCTGAACCTTTGCAAAAGATTGTTCTTGATTGACTAGCTCAGAATGGTAACTCTCAGCAGGATATATTTCTAAGTGTTCTGTGCATCTGTTCAAGTAGAACATCATCCCATGTTTAGAAGGCTCTATGTCTACTCAGACATTGAGATTTCAGGGCATCTTTCTTTCTTTCTTCCTTTCTTTCTTTTCCTTGTAAAGCATTTTAGAAATAATGTTCTTCATACACAAGAAGAGAAATATAGGTTATAATATAGACCAACAGAGTGAAACAATTATTTCTAAATTTGGGCAAGTAAATCAGTCTAAATTATATAGACCTGTTTATAAATTCATTCCGTATAATTGACAGGTTCTTGTATTATGACTTGCTTTTCATTTATTTACTTACTTACTTACTTATTTATTTGTGTGTGATGCATACATAAATATGTGTATGTATGTTTGGGTGCTTGCGGAGACCAGAAGAGGACATCGTGTCTCCTAGACCCAGAGATATAGACAGTTGTTTGCTGTTTGCAGATGCTGGGAATGGAGCCTAGGTCTTCCATAAGAGCCTGAAGTGCTCTTAACCAGTGAACTATCATCCAGCCCCAGAATGTTTTTATTGGTTTGTTTTGAAGAAAGCCACAATAACACATTTCCCTGCTTCTATGTTCTTATGTTTGCAGGCTAGGGAAGAGAGACAGAGTGAAAAGGCTACAAAATTTCCCTGTCTTTATGTAGCATGTTGTTTGGGTGTTCTTTTGTTTTACTTTTTTTGGCTCTTAATCACAGCTATCCCCTCTGTGTATACATAGGTTTCCATCTAACGATTCAACAATCTTATGATAGATAATATTTTTTTATTTGCCTCTGTTCCTCACATACTATTTCACTTGTTTTTCCCTAAGCCATATGGACCACTACTATTTACAACACATTTGCATTATATTAAACATTGTAAGTAATGTGAATATAATTTGAAGGACACAAAGGGATACATGTAGGTGCTATGAAAATATGCCAGCATTTTATATAAGGGACTGGGATATTTACAAATCCACAGAACTCTGGAGCCTATACGCTGTAGACACTTTTTCTAGCTCAGATTGTGTGTTTACCCCACCTCTACCCAGCATTTCTTCTTGTCTCTGTCATGAGCATTTTAAAGCCATCTTGTTTAACAATTGCTTAGTGTATTTTCCTAAAACTTACACAAAACTACCGTATTTATTGAGTGGCCAACTCTAACAATGGAAGTAATTCTTGGTACTGAGAAATAGCACTGGGTATTCTTAAACAAAGAAAAATAAAAAGCAAGCTAGAATCAGAGCTCAGGGTGCATGAAGGATCAATAATCCAGGCCACAAGAAAGTCAGATGTCACCTGGCAAAGTGTAACTTCAGAACTTGAATCCGAGGGTCAGGGTCTGACCCAGTGATATTGCATGCTGACATTTCACCTGTTCTTCTGAGTCCTTCTAAGTCTGTCTGTGTGTGTTTAGGGCCACAGGACACTGGAGGACTTGAGGGAAGCTGGAGTCCAGAGGCTGGTAACTGGTGTGAAAATGGGTTCCCACTCTGCCCGGGAGTGGGCTCTTAATAATATCTCTGTTATAAACAGATTCCAGCACAATGAGAATGCTTTTATTTCTCTGTGGAGTTTGTTAAAATGGAATTTCTCTTGCCCACAGACACACACACTAATTGTTTGAGCATGCATAAATATGTAAAGACACATCAACTTAGGCGATCATAAAGCATGTTGAAAAATGCGCCCACCAAGAATTACTACAGGGGATAAAAAGCATGCTCTTCCATTCTTCTTTCATAAAGAACACATTGGAGAATAAATTAGCATGGAAAATGGTCTCTTTGAAGGCACAATAACTATTGTTTCCTTATTAAATCCGGTTTTTCAATTAAGGAGAGCCTCGCCGATCCACACTATTGCTGTGAGAGCCCATAGAGAATTTCTGAACTTTGTAGATTAGAAAAATACTATAAGTGGAGAAAAAATCATGACACAGATTTAGGTGACTAGAATTATGATTGTCTTTATATTCTTTTATTTTGATAACTGGATTCAGTTTTTAATCACTCTAAGAAAATAACTGAATAATTTATAGACAACAGAAACATTTCTTACTGTTGGAAGACTGGGAAAATCCAGGATCAATGTAGCAGAAGATTCTTTTTCTGGTGAGGGTGATTCTTTGTTTCCAAGGTGGTACCTTGTTGTCTTGTACTTGCTCCAAGAGGACAAACTCTAGGCTCTGACAAGGCAGAACAGGATGGAAGGACAAGCGTTTCCCTTCACATGCTTTTATAGGGACCCAATCCACTCATGTGAGCAGAACCATCCTCATCATCATCTCTACTTTCACATTGCTGGTAAAGTTCCAAGATGAGTCTTGAAGGGGAACAAAGCACTCAATAGAACTGCAAGGAGAAAGCCAAGTTCAGAAACAGTTACAACAGAGAAACTGGAAGATGAATCTAAAAGATAACTGTAAGAGTGAAAATAATCGGATTCCTAGGCGCAACAAAACAAAAGAGCAAAGAAACAGTATGATAGGAATCCAAGGGAGGGGAAGGTGGTCCACCATGTGTTACAAGAATGTTGGGTTTATGTTGAAAAACAATAAAAAATAAAGTTGAAAAGTGTAGTGTGTGTGAATTGTGAGAGATCTTGAATGTCATGCTAAGGAGTTTAAATAATGCTGTCTGGGTGGTTGTTTTAAGGTTTGGGAGGAAGTGAATGAGCTAATTTGACTTATGCTTTTTAAAGTTAGTGCAAGTTAATGAAAAGTATAGAATAGCAAGTGGAGTTAGGGATGTTGCAACCATGTAAGGAAGAAATTATAAGAGTGATACAGAAAATTTTCAAGTAGAAATTTGGCAATAGGTCAGATAGGGGTGAGGAAAGAGAAACCAAGAGTGAGAGCAAAGTGTCTAGGATTAATGATGGAGGGAGCAAAGACACACAGGTTATTACTAGAAAGGAGGTTTAAAAAAATAAAATAGAGATTGGTGTTTTATATGCCCATTTCCTAACACTCCTAGCTATATTAACTAAAATTGTGGTGTGTGTGTGTGTGTGTGTGTGTGTGTGTGTGTGTGTGTGTATGCATGCACGCACATCCGCCTGGTCACACACATACATGTGCATATGAGATAGTCTCTCTCTTTATTCCTGGCTATGTAGACCATACTAGTCTTGAATTCACAGAGATCCTCCACATTTGCCTCTGGGGTGTTGGGATTAAAGATGTGTGTCACCATATCTAGCACAATGATTATATTTTTAAAACATAACATCAGATGAGTGAATCTTTAATAGTTTCTAAATCACTTGACAGAAGTATATTCTCAGCTGCAGTTTGGAGAAGTTGTCTTAACTATTTCTAGGTAATTCTGTTTGGTGTCTTCTTGTATTTCGATTTAATAGAGCAGTGTGTTTTCATTCCAGATGGTGATGATCCACATCACTCCAGTAGATGACCAGCTTCCAAAAGAGGCTCCTGGTATTTCCCGGCATTTGGTTGTCAAGGAAACAGAGGTGGCCTACATCACTAAAAAGCATCTACATTTCCTGGATACAGAATCACATGATGGGGAGCTCATCTACACAATAACACGCCCTCCATGTTTCTCCTTCAGCCACAGGTGTCTTTCTTTGTAAAGCTATTATATGTTCTACTGGTTCCTAGAGTGTCACTGTGTGACAGTGTGAGTTACTTGCTTCATTGGTCAGAGTTGAATTTTACACCACATTCAGCATTCATTTTTATCACAAATTTGTTCTTACCTTTACTGAGTGACAGCTAGTAAGTGATGTGCAGCTTATAGTTTTCAGCAGAGTGAGGCTTAAACAGAATGGTTGAAATCCCATGTTTCTCAAGTAAATCCTTATTTTTCTTCTTAATGATGTTTATTTAAGTCTGTAAAGTGTTGTTTTTTTGATATAGAAGACTACTCGGTGTTCATATTTTATATTTGCAGTTCAAAACAGCTTCATAAATATCCCTGAGGGTAGTGTCATATACATGACAGTGAGAAAATTCTTGGGATGAGATAAATGATTCCCTTTCACCATGACACAACATAAAAATCTTTGTTCAATCATGCTGAGGGTAGCATATATGATGCTACAAGCCCCCAACATAATGAGTTTCCTGGTGTAATTAATACAACCCCTGGCACACAATGGCATAATTACACCAAAATTCAACTCAAAGTACATGTCATTTCTTCTAAGAAGATGGGTTCTGGAGATAGGCTGCCAGTATCAGTTTAAGGGCCCAGGGAAGGACCTGTCATGATCCTTGGTCATATAGATTGCACAGAAATCATTTGGACTATTAGCCATCTCTGGTCCAGGTTGTGGGAGCTTGATATGGCTTGGCCCTTCAGATAACACAGATCACAAGGCCATTAATCATCTCCAATTCCCAGCCTTCTGGATGGACAAACAGGTTATAACCTTTTTCTTTGAGGGGGCAATGCTAAATGCTTAGCATTCCTGGTTTCCTTGGTGACCTGTGGATGCAAGGACCTTTGTGCTCCCAACACAAAGGGTGGGTGATTTGATTTACTTTTTCTTAGCTGGAAAATAAGTTGATATGGTCTATATTTCTCTTAGACACTTGGATGCCGGGAAATTATTCTTGGTAGACAGCATACCAAAGCTAATCAAAAATCCTGCAGTCCGGGGGCTGAGATCATTTACCCAGGTATGAGAATGTGTAAAAATGTTGACCAACACAATACATAATGTACCTTCTGAGAGTGTGTGGCCTGCCCAGTGTTGGGTCTGAGACACTAGGCAGTCACTTCTGTTACAGTGCCTTATGTCTTTATCCTTGTACTTGAACACTTCTGGTAAATATGTGAAATCTGCTTGAAAGGCTTCCAGCAAACTGAATATAATTTCACACCCTGTTATAAATCCACATAGCATTTGGCATCATCATTTTGCCAATGGCAGGGCACTGATTTCTGGCCTGTGCCGGTGTTTTTATTCCACCAACTGTAGACCATTCATTCTTCTACTGTTTTAGCTTCTCATGGTTACCATAACAAAAACACATTTTGTAATTCAAAACAAAAGCCCACTTTCCTGTACTTTCCGAAGCTAGAGGTATTGAGATTATGACATTGGCTGTGCTCTTCTGAACCCTGCAGACAACTCTTTCTCCCTGCATGTATGCATCTAGTGCTTTGTTAGCAGCCTTTGACATTCCCTGGCTTGCAGATCCAAGTGTTGTCTTCTGTCAGTCACACTGCCCCCATCTGTCTCTTCCTGTTACAAAGAGACCAGTTTTATTGGATGGAGGACCTTTGCTACTCAAGCATTTCTACTTACGTACATCTTTAATGTCTCTAGTTCTAAATACATTCACCTTATAAGGTTTTAAGGGTTAGAACTTCAGTATGCCATTTTGTGGGATTGCAGCTCATCCCATAATACTTACCACTCTCCTAAATCCTTCCCTATCCCATTGCTCTCACTCTTGTGAACTCTCCTCTGATGACCCCATTGGGGGAGAAGGGATTGTGGTATATGAATGCTAGGCATCAGATGTCTGTGGTTTGGGGCTAATTATGTCTGATTTCTTAATAGTTAGAAGTTGTAAACGTGCTAAGTGCTACTGTTTTAATAACTTTACTAATAAGGAAATAGAGGCCTCGCATGCCTACACAGTACAGTGACTGCAGGGAGGGACTGGGGAAAGTCCAAGTCTGCCTTTTGCAGAATTGGTTGGACTCCATCATTTGACATGCTGCCTGACATCCTCAGTTTTAAGCAATGTGGTTTACAAAGTAGGAATCTTTCCATCCATGTGGTGCTTACTTGCTCCATATCAGATAATTTTGCAGTGGTCTGAGACCTAGGTTGCTAAAGGATTCCGATCTCTGCAAATCAACACATATGTTCGTCTCAATTTGCTTTCCAGCATGCTGTGAACCACATGAAAGTGGCCTACATGCCACCCATGCAAGACATAGGTCCCGCTCCTCGACATGTGCAGTTCACGGTGTCTGTCAGGAACCAGCATGGAGGCACCTTACACGGAATCTGCTTCAACATAACAATTCTGCCAGTGGACAATCAGGTCCCGGAGGTATGTGGTGTTCGACATGGAGGGCCAGAAGGAAGGAGAGACAGAAAAGAGTAATGTTTTAATTTCCCAGCTGCAGTATAGGGGGAAAAAAGCAGAGGTAGGAGTGGGTGGGAGCCTCTGCTTCCCATTGGGCTTCCTATCTGACAGGTGAGAATTTTCAAGTGTTGGATTTGGCATTGTTTTCAAAGCCTTATCAACATTTCTTTCATTCTGCTGCTCTCCCTGTGTTGATCAGGGGAAGAAGATTAAATGATGGGTCTCTTAGCAACCAGAAGAACCTATTTGCTCTCACCACAGGCCAGCTATGCTGCTGTGTGATCCAAAGAAGCTTTTTAATTTTCCAAAATGAATTAGGATGGACCCTTTCGTTTTACCCCATGCTACTGCTCAATGTTTATGGCAGTCTTAAGGGGCCTGAATTTTTCTTTAAAACCAAACTACAAAGGCATTGCTACCTGCTATTTCTTCTCTCTGAGGCTATTTTGCTTTAAGAGGTTTTTTTCCCTGGGCCCTCCCTCCCCCCAGACTACTCAACTTGATTAGTGTGACTATTATTGGGATCCTTGTTTTTCTGCTTAAAAGTGGAAAGACAAAGGAATATTATCCCCCATTTGTTATAGACCATAAGGCTTCAGACCCTCCCAGCTCCATCCCCAAGAAGAGGGTGACTTTCCCAGGCATCTACCTACTTGAATCTGTTCAGCCTGGTATTTTTGTTCCTGGTGTCTCATCATCACTGTGCCTGCCCCACCCAGGTCAGCGAACAGACTTCTTACTGGAAAGCCCAAGGAAAGGCACTTACTCAATATTCAGACCTTGCTCTATGGGTCTAAATAATATTTTAAGTTGTTAAGTTGCAAACTTTAAGGGCCAAAAGATTTCCTAACAAGGCTGACTTGGAATTTCTCTTAAAAATGTAGAGCCCTAACTGCACTGAGCCCACAGGCACCATGGCTGCAGGGCAGGATGCATTGTCCATTTTCAGAGTCCCTACCATCACACTACACTCATTTGTGTCAGCGGCCCAACCTCTCAAGCTGGCAAGCTTGCAATCTGTAGCTGAAAAAGTGTTGACAGCTCTTCAACTAGAAGGCATCTGCACTATCTCCATCTGGGACCCCTTCCCTGCTGAAGACCCGGCCTAATGCTTGTGGCGAAAATAAGTCAGGCCAGCTATGGAATGAACTTGATTTTTCAGTAAGACCACCCTTGTCCGAATATCAAATTTTGATCCTGAACCAAAGCTTCCCCTACGAAAACTTGTTGAAAAATCTTTTATGCAAAAAAGTCCAAGCTTGGAGAAGGATGATCTTTGCAGGAAATTATGAGGCAGATGGGAGAGTTCTCTTCATTTGAAAGAAGATGTAATAGTTAGGGGGACTTAGGGCTACAGTGAATATTGATTTCTCTGTTTAGCAAGGGACAAATGAAATAGTATTTCAAAGAACTGAGAGTATTAGAAATTGAAGTGGCACTTTTATGATATGAAATTGAGTTGAGTGACAGTCATTAGGGCATGCTGACACCATGAAACCCTGGAGCTTCCTAAGTGTTACTCAGAATCCTCAGGATGAACTTGCTCTAAAAGAAATATTTTGAAAGTCATTTTATGTAGTAAAGTGTATCTTGTGTAATGTTTCCTATTTGGGAGACTAAGTCGATCCACCAAGAAAATGGGACTAGTGTGCATAGCTCTTGGTGCATATCCCCTCTGGAGAAGGGCTTCATTTTTTATTTCTACTTATAGTGAAGATGTAGCTGTGACAAATCAGAGGGAAGCATATAGAGATAAGTGGATTATTTTGTGTTTTTCTTTGCTGGTAGTAGTTTACTAAGGAATGAAGGCAGCCACATCCTAGTCAGAGTCTTACTTCCGTTCCAGAGTACTGCCCCAGAGATGTGCAAGAGTGTCTCTGATGGTTGTGGGATGGACTTCCCTCACACTGTGCCCCATTGGGTAGCAGGGGAGGATGCACACTAGTGTGGAGACTGTGGCCTCATCTTGCTGAGAAAGAAGATTCTTTCTGCAAGGAGTGTCCTTGCATTGGAGGTGTGCTTGTCACAGACTTTCTCAGAGGGACCCTCAGAGCACACCATTTGAAGTCCAAACACTATTTGCTATCTTTTCCTTCTATGTAGTAATATTAATTTTGGAAGCTGATGTGCTAAATAAACTCTGTAGGGTTTTCTACTATAGTCTCAGAGCCTGGAGCACAGGTATGCATCTTACAAATGTAGTAAATACATTATAGACTACAGTTTTCCAGACTTGTTTAATCAGAACATGTCTTGCCCACTCTTAGTGTGCCAATAAAATACCCATGCTTATCTGTCTAACTTGCTTTATGCCTATGATTTAATTATTAAAACTGTCCTGTGGCTTTTAATATTTAAGTTTGAATACATCTATTTCTTATGGAATTATAACTCTCTTGTCTTCAGTTTCCCCGCCCTCTGTCTGTAAAACACACAATGGAGTTTCCATCAACCTCCCAAGTCTTTAAGAATTTTTGTAGTAGTAGTTCTCAACTTCTTAATGCTGTGGCCCTTTAATACTGTTCTTCATGTTGTGGTGACCTCATCCATAAAGTTATTTTCATTGCTATTTTATAACCATAATTTTGCTACTGTTATGAATCGTAATGCAATGTAATTACATTATGTAATGCAATCTTAATGTATGATATCTAATGTGTGACCCATATGGAAGGGTTATTTGACCCAAAGGGGTCATGACCCACACTTTGAGAATCACTGTTTTAGGGTTTCTAAAGAGGTGGATCCTTCGTTACATGGGGATTCGGCAAGGCTGTGTGGATTATGGTGGAGATTATTGTCTCAGTGCACATTGCAGTGGGCTCCCCTTTGCTGGTTCTAATGCAGATGCTCTGGAACACATGAAACATAGGGCTTTCAAAACCAATGGACCTGTCCTTGTGCCTTTGTATGCACCAGTATCGGAATCGGAAGTGTGCAAGTAAAATATTTTTTTACCAAATTACTTAACTGTAACGTACCTCCTTATAAACATTCTTAAAAATCTAATTGACATTCCAGGTTGATTCTGGAAGCCTCCTAGGGATCTAAAGAACTCTGTAATCAGTGGCACCTCATGGAATCAGGCCTTGAGTGTCTCCTTTCTTCTTTCTAGGTGTTTACCAACACCCTGAGAGTGGCCGAGGGTGGTCAGTGCACCATTAGCACCGAGAACATTTTGGTTTCTGATGTGGACACCCCACTGGAGAGCATCTGCCTCTCCCTTCAGGAACTGCCTTTCCACGGCAGGGTGGAGCTGGATGGATTCCCGCTAAACCCAAGAGGCACATTTTCATGGACAGACCTCCATACCTTAAAAGTTAGGTTAGAAAATTTTGTGGTTTTTCTTGTCTTCCTTTCTATGCTGTGACTCTCTATCTAGATCAATTGTAAAGCACAGTGAAGGGAAAGAATCCTGTCTCATTCTTTCCAAACAGTATACCGCTTCATATCATTAAGGGTCAACTGAAAATTAAAGAAGTAGAAAAGAATAATTTTCTTCCAGACATTTTTTTATCTCTGGCTTACTGTAGCAGAGGGAATGAGTTTATGAATATTTGTACATCAAAAATTAATTGCCATGAATATTAATTTTGCTACAACTGCATATATCAAAAACTCTGTAGAGACTAAAATAATCTGTGCAGCTAATTGAAGTTGGCGCTAAGAAAAGGCAATTTCATAACCTTGGAAACTCAGGGGTAGAGCACTATTGATCAGCCCGATGCCTCTAATCCCAGTGCTGATGATGAGCCAGAAGGATTGTGAGTTCAAGGCCAGCCTGGTAGGAACAGAGGGAGGGGTGGTGGTGGCTAGCTTTGTCCATTTATGTTTTAAGTATAAGCTTTTATTTCATTCTACTGAGAACAGGTTTGCAGGTAAACAAACAGGGCCTGTTGATGGCTGGCTTGTTGTTCAGGACTCAGGTCTCTGAGAGACAGAGATGGAGAAATCCTTTCTGTTGGCCTCACAATAGTTCCCATTCTAGAACTTCTTCTTCCTAATATAGTTGGAAGAAACCTTTTCACAAAATCAAGTGAAATATTTCTGGGAAACACTGCAAACTACTTAAAAGCAATGGTCAAGCAGACAGACATACTAAATTTTCATTTACCAAATCTGACAAATGGAAATTTTACCCTTTTTTTAGTGAAGTGTGGTAGGACGTTTGTCATGGAATGTTTAGTTCTGAACCAGGAAGTTCCCTAGGGACTGACATGCAAACCTTTAGCCCAGTTAGATCATACTTAGAATCTTTTGTGACCTCTTTCAGTATTTACCTAATCCCAGCACTGGGGAGGCAGAGGCAGGCAGATCTCTATGAGTTTGAAGCCAGCCTGCTATACAGAGAGAGTTCCAGGAGAGCCAAGACTATTACCCAGAGAAACCCTGTCTCAAAAAACAAATTTTTTTCTTGTTTTGTTTCTTGTTTTGAAATCTCAGCTCCTATGCACATGTTAAGGAAAGACTTTTATTTAGGGATGAATGGTGGGCAGAGAAACGTAGAAATATTTGCTAGGATTCTATGTAGAGTCACCTTTCTAGAGAACCACAGTTAAGTATTTTCTAGTTATTTTACCCGAGTCATCAAGGAACATCATTTTGTTCTCATGGTTACAGAGCTAAGCACAAAGAGGTGGATGCACTTGTGAACATTTTGAAGAGTCGGGTTTTAATGATCTGCTGACTCCTCTGTTGAGCTTTCCATGTGTGCGTTCTCACATACACACAGCATGTTTGGGGATAGCAGCATCGTGAGATGGACCAGCACGCTGTAATTCATATTTACTTGTGATGAAAACAGTAAGAGGCACAGGAAAACAGAGCATAGAAGGCAGTGTATATGCAAGACAAGGGAGTGACAGAGTGTAACCTTCCCTTGCCATTGGGATTAAATCCATCACCACCCTATTGGTGACCCATCTTGATTAAAAGGAAAAGAAATACAGTCTTTCTTATCAATAGAATAATACCATATAGGGTCAACACACTGTACTGTTTTGTTGAAGCTTTTATTTTTGATTCCTAGGGGTATAATTTCATTTGCTAGTATGAACAAACCTTTGGTGTGTTTTTTTTATTTTTCTAAATTAAATTCAGGAGCTATGTGGAATTAACTGAGTACTACTGCAGTGGGCTAGAAATTGGGTGAAAGCCTAGAATTATACTGAAAATTGGCTGAGAATTAGGAGGAAAATAGGGCCAAGGTTAAGACAAACAAAAGTGTCACTCTGGCTCCAGCCACCATGCTTCTCTGTTCCATAGCTACCAGGCCATTGGAAGACTGCTTCCTGAAAATTTATTCTCAAGATCATTTTTAACTGCATGTGTGTGTTTTCAAGAACATATGCACATACACGTGTGAATACAGGCACTTAAGGAGGCCAGAGGCATCAGAGATCCTGAAGCTGGAGTTATAGGTGGTTGTGAGCTGTCTAAAATGGGTGCTGGGAGCTGACCTCGGGTCTTGTGTAAGAAGAGAACAGGGCTTTACCTTTAAGCTGTCCCTCCAGCTTCCCAAAGGCTGTTTGTATTTAATATAATTTTATTTTTGATTTGGGGGAAAGTTACCAGTGCATACAGAGTGTTTTCCCAGGTAGAGTAAGCTTGCATTTAGGGATATTGAGTGGTTACATATCTTTGAATTTATAGTTATACCACTTCTTTTCTTACTTATTTAAATGACTATTTATTTAGTGAAGTCATGACCAAGATGAAGGAGGAGTGATTGGGCCATGCAGCTTAGTTTATACCCAGGTGCTTTTAAAAGATTAGTCTCCATACTATACCTGCAGGTATCACCATGATGGATCTGAAGTTGTTCAGGATGAGATATTCTTGGAGGTCACAGATGGCACAAATTCAGCAGAATTTGTTCTACACATTGAGGTAGGTAGAAAGTCTCCTCCCTGGATCATTTGAATGTAAAGTCTCAATTCTGGAAACTTCTCGGGGTACCAAAACAACTTAAAATACACAGACGCCAAAGCAGAAGGTTAACATCCACACCTGTGTGTGTCTGGAGTTAGACAGTAGAGACAAAGGTTATATTAGTGAAACAGACATGTTCACTCTCTCTTACCCTATCCCCACCCCAGTTCATCTAAAGTTAGAATTACTCTAAGCTTAAATCTAGATACTTAATTTTAAAGGTAGTTCATTCTGTATATAAAATATATCTAATATTTTTGAAGTATGACACACAAGCCTACTTAGCAGCTGGGAAGACTGTCCAGAACCACTGGGGTTCTCTTGCTTATGGACAAAACCACGTATGTGGGGCTCCATTTGGAATGTCTATACGACAGCCCTGGCATGTTATCTGTTTGAAGTCATTTCCCTGTTTCCTTTGACAAAGTCTGCTCACAAAGTCAAGGCATGTTCAAAGGGACTTCTGAGAACTTTGGAGTGTCTCTGTTGTGTGGGTGGCTGAGTCCATGAGCACCACATAGTTGATTTGCAAATGCTCATAGATGCTGATAGAGAGGCTTATCATGTTCCCCAAAGGGATTGAGCTAACTTCCTGTGTTAGGGCTAAATTTTAGTGATATAAAATCGCTATGCATTTGTAAGATATTTTACAGCTGATCGTTAATAAAGAGTGTTAATATCTATAAATTGTTTTTAAAAAAAAACCAGACAAGAATGGAGTCATCTTTCTTTAGTTAACACTCTGAGGCTCCTGAAGAGTCTACAGCTGATTCAGAGCTGTGAACTTGATGGTGTGAAGTAAAGGCGTTCTTCCTCCTTACTTGGCCAGGCTTCTCCCTGGCTGGTATTGATTGCTTACGTGGCCAGGTTTTCTGCAGAGCCTCTCATTTTCCTTCCTAGTCCTCACAAAGGCCTGTGACCATTTCAGCTTCAAGAAGGAATGTTTTCTTTATGGCAAACGTTTATGTACAAAGAAAGATTCTCTGAGTTACTTTTCCATATTTTTTTACAGAAGGCCCTCTCTCCTATCTGTTATATATGATGAGCTTATTATGTCTGGCAATAAACAGGGCATCTTGGCAAAATAAACCATTTAATTCTACTTTTTTAAGTTAAATGACATAATCTTTGAAACCAGACAAAACAATTTTGGACAATATTGTTTGTGATTTTTCCCCCTTCACAATGGCTATTCACAGTTATCATCCATATGAACAAACTGATAACATTTCTTAGGGCCAAGGAAGGAAGATATGTTTTTTATGGACTCACACAGAAGATATTAATAGATATAATTATTCTTCATAGGCAAAGAGAGCAAACAATTACATTTTTACACATTTGATAACTAAGTTAGAGCATCTGTGCACACACCCCATTATAGGAAAGCATTAGCATAATTCTCTTGTATTTGTCTTATAGCCGTTAGCCTTTGAATGCATAGTAACAATGCAAAGTTACATTTCCTCATTTACTCATTCAACAAACACTTAATAAGCACCTCCTCTAATATATGTGGAGATCTTAGATGCATGTAGAACCATTTTGAACAAGATAAATGAGGTTCCTGTTCTTGAAGTTAACTGGATGGTTACAAAGATAACTGATTAAAATGCGTATGTGTTTCATGAACAGGAGTGTAAGTAATAGAAACTTCTCAATTAGCCTGAGTGATCAGGAAACCTTCCCTGAAACACACATGAAATCTGAGACAGAAATCAGTTGTACAAAGAGGGGGAGCCAGAATGTACTGAGCAGGCTCAAGGGGTGAGACCGGCAATGAGCGTGTGCCTGGGTGAAAGTGAAGTGGATGGTGAAGGCACCCATAGCAGGTTACACCAGAGACTCCTCAGAGAAGCATGGGGATATTGAAGGTCCCTGCAGACTAGCTACTTGAAATTGATGTTTACTAAGGTCTCTTTGGCTAAAGTATGTGGAAGGTTGCATAGGGCTGAAAGGGTACACAGGCCAGATTTAACCAAACCAACCAAATAACCAAACAAACAAACAAAACCCTGTCACTCAAGCCACTTACATGCTGCTAAGGACACATGGAAACTTTATATGTGGCCAGAAGTTGAAGGTGACAAAAAGATTTGAATCACCAAATGATTTGAAATAAAAATAACTTGGATGTTTTGATGTAGATGTGTCTGACCACTGGGCCCAGAATTCTTGTGGAATGTGTGTGTATTTAATGAAATGGGCTGCGTGTTTAAATGAGGGATGCTTTATATTGTGTTTCCGCTTTGTCTTCTGAGAACAAAGAGTGCTCAGCTACAGCCACAGACTCTCACTCCTGCCTAAACTGTCTCTCATGTGGAGCTTCCCTCAACCAATGAAGAAAGTCAGAAGACCCAGGCTGCTTTGGCCAAATTCCATGAGTATTGTTCCATGTGTCCAGAAGATGAAAAGTGCCTGTCACTGTGACTGTGAGCTGTGGTTTACAAGCAGGGACATTTGTCACTTTTTCTTATTCTTGAAAGTGTGCTCTTTTTCTCCCCTGCTTAGGTAATCCCTATGAATGATGAGCCACCTGTTCTAAAGGCTAACCTCATTCCCATGATGCACTGCTCAGAGGGTGGGGAGGTGACCATCACACCTGAACACATTTTTGCTACTGATGCAGACAGTGATGACTTGAAACTGCTGTTTCTGATTGCCCGAGAAGCTCAGTATGGGGTGATGAGAAAGGCTGGAATAGTTGTGGACAGGTTCTCTCAGGAGGATGTCATCTCAGGGGCTGTGACATACAAACACACAGGTAAGTGGCCACCTTGTAAAGTGAAGGTATTAAAAAGAGTCCAGGATCACCAGGTCACTTCTTTAAGATGGCAGCAACCCTTGACTTTCCCTCCCTACAGACCCTACTTTTACCTCCCAGGTATTTGTCGTATCTGCCTGACAGGCTCACACTTTCTTCAAGGCATAGCACAATGCCAGCAAAACCATCTAGAAGGGCTTACCATGCACTGACATGTGTAACTGCCCAAGGGCACTGTCATCTAGCATTTGTATCTTTTTCTTAACCTTAAAACCTTGTAGATTGTCCAAACGAAATAGAGTCCTCACTTGGTGTACTCAGGGGATGGGTTTCAGGAACATATCAGATTCCATGCATGTTCAAATCCCTTTTAGAAAATAGTCAAATATTTCCCCATAACCTATGAAGATCCCCACATCTCAGTAATCATTGCATTATTTACAATACTGAGGCAAATTGCAGTATTGGGGAACAATAACAAGACAATCTACATACTCAGTACAGATACATTTATCCATGCAATTCTAGTGTGTGGTTGGTTGAGTTTGCAGATGTGCCATGTGAGGATACAAAACACTTCCTGTATATGAAATTGCCATGTAATGGGTAAAAATGTTTGAACAGTAGCAACTTCAAACGGCTCAACCTAATGCATGCATACATCTGTGGTTCTCTAACCAAACTACATTTGTTTTTCTATCATTACATAGTGAAAACACACAATAGGTCTTTTGACATTTCGCATATTTTTTTTTAAAAAATGCTTTTATGGGATGCAGAATGTCTGCTTTTTCTCTGCTGAAATGCCCAGGAACTAACTATCTCACTGCAGAAATTGAATAGATGTTTATCGATGAATAACTGGTGGATAAATGTTTTAAGTCAACTTACTTTTGATCATCACTTTGAGCAGTTAAGAGGTCTCTTATTTTTATTACTGCCAAAGTTGAAAGATAATGCTTCCTTTTGTTGAATAATATTTTAATTTCTTTTTAAAATCTCATATAGTGTATTTTAAGCATATTTACCTCCTCTCCTCCTTTCCTTCCAGATCCACTCCTAGCTCTCTACCAACCTATCACAATGTCTCTATCTCTGTATGTATCTATCTATGTATCTACCTGTCTATCTGTCTGTCTATCTATCTATCTATCTATCTATCTATCTATCTATCTTCTATCTCTATTACCTATCTATCTATCCATCCAACCATCTGTCATCTATCTATATCTGTCTACACATCTAAACCTATCGAATCCAATTTGTCCTGCCCCAGTACTCCTGTGTGTGGCACCTGCCCTGCACCCTCTTTGACCAAGGGTCATACTCTTAAAGAAAACTGACCCTTCCTCTCCCAGCAGCTATCAAATGGATAGTTTCCATTGAACTCTCTAAATTTCAGCTTGGATGTTCTAGGTTTTGATCCTTAATAACTTTCTTGTTCAATTGTATCATCACTGAATTTTCCTTGTCGCTTTTTGTTTGTTTGTTTGTTTTTAAGGAAAATCATACCAAGCTTAATGCTCTGTAGATTTCACCGGTGTGTCTGGTGAGAGGAGATAATGTCACTCATCTTCTGGTCTTTTCCCTTCCCTTTCCTCTCCTCCCCTTCCCCCCCTCCCTTTCCCTTCTACTCCCTTCCCTTCCCACCTTTTATTGTTTCTCTTTCTCTTCTCTTCTCTTCCTGTCCCTTCCTCTTCCCATTCTGTTCCTTCACTTCCCCTTTCTTTCCCTCCCTTCTGCTCCCCCCCCCCTTCCCTTTCCTTTTCTTCAGAACTCCAGCATTGTTTCCTTCTTGGTTTTTTAAGAATTGCCAAGAGTCCACATTCAGAGCTTTTCTATTGCCTGGAGAACTTAGATTGTCCTGTTTGTTGGTAAGTGATGGGCTAGAGTAGAATTGTCCTGTTCACTGGTAAGTGGTGGGCTAGTGTAGATTGCCCTGTTAAATGATGAGCTAGTGTAGATTGTCCTGTTTTGCTGATAACTGATTGGCTAGTTTGTAATAAGAAGAAACACAGAAAAAAAAAATGATCAGAATGTCAATTACCTGTCTTTACACTCATCCAGAGTCCTCTGTGTCTCATGACAGCTGTGTGGTTGGTACTTGTTCATTTCTGGTGGTCAATGCACACGGAGAGATAATTATCAAGGGAACAAGGACACTTTCTGTTTCTCCCTGAGGTTGTTGCTAAAATCAAAGGGTTAGGAGGGAAAAATGAAACCATCTCTAGCCAAGTTCTGTGTCTGCCCCTTGATCATTTATGAACTATCAGACCGTTGTTAGTCCTGCTTTGCTCCTCCATATGGTGGTCTGTGATTAGCATGGATTTCACAAGAGGCAATGGATAGAAAATATTTTTGTATTATTTTCCTGACTATATTTAATTTTGTACTGATAAAATTGAGTTTCACATTTTATTCCATAAATTCCTTTCTACTCACTGTGGGCAACAAAGGTATGAATGGAGTTGATCTTGGTGCTCTGTTTTCCAGGTGGGGAAATTGGCTTGGTGCCTTGTTTTGACACCATTATATTGGTGGTTTCGGATGGTGAAGCTGGCCCTTTGGTGAATGGCTGTTGCTACAATGGACCCAACCCATCTGTTCCTCTTCATGAGTCCTTTCCCATGTACCAGCTCAACATCACAGTGCATCCAGTTGACAACCAGCCACCTTCAATTATAATAGGTGACTGTGTTTTTTTTTTTTTCCTATGAGTGTAATTGTCTTAGTGTCATACTCAAGGCTCAGTAAATAATTCTTTTAGATTAGAACACCATCAAATGCAGTTGTCATCCAGGAAGGAATCATACTGCCCAAAATACTTAATAATCCAAACTCTGTAATAAAAGTAATCACAGGGCAAAAGAATGTACTTGCTTGAAAATGTATGTATTTCCATATGTAGAGAGAATACAACAGCATATATGTCTTTGTGTGTGCATGTTACAAGGATGTTGGTGTCCTCAAATATACTGGTTTATTTCACATAGGAAAATATCATTTGCTTGCTGGAGAGAGAATAATTTATTTTATCCATAATAATTTCTATTAGAACAGAATGTGTTTACCATAGAGACTATTTATATACATTTAAGCTTATGTGCTTCTCAGAGAGTCAACTCTTCATAGGCATTATGTCTATGTCCTGTCTCACAGAAAAAAATAAGCATATGTATGAACGTTCTCGTAATTTGCTAACTATCTCCCAAGCAATGTTCTGGAAAGGAAGCATTATCCCAGCAGAATAATTAAGCACCAAGGCATGAAAAAATGTTCGTTATGAGCAATTCATAATCGCTCTCAGGCAATTAGCACTCTGACAAACAGTGGTAACGACTGATCTTGAGGAGTACATAAACTACATTTAGTGGCTTATCATTAAAACAGTTTGGCAATTCTTATTTTCATTTGTCACTTCAATAGAGACACAAGGGAAATCAGAGTTCCTTGAGAATGACTGGAGGGCTGTAGCAGAGCATTTAGCATTGCTACCGCCTTTCCATTATCATCTGGCTGGCTTGTATAAGAAAAAGTATACGATTCCATAAGTGAAATTAAATCCCACCCGTTACCCCTGAATTTTTTTACTGCAAAGAGAATTTATGCCCAAGAAAATGAGCATCTTCCATGGAAGCATGTTTGCCTGTGGGAGGGTGTCCTAGTTGGGATTGCAATCACGCCCTTCAGTTCTCACTGTTTTGATGGAGGAGCTCAGGCTGACAGAAGTGTGTGTTTTTAAATTTTATTACATTTTATTTACTTGTTTAGTGAGTGTGTGTTCTGGGGTTTGAACTCAGGTCATCAGGTCTGGCAGCAGGTGCCTTTACCCACTGAGCCATCTCACTGGCCTGTAACTTGTTTTTGTTATGCAGGTAGGATGTTCGTGGTGGATGAGGGATTCTCATCAGCCCTTACTACCTATCATTTGACCGCCAGTGACCCAGACACTGCCCCAGAAGACTTAGAATTTGTTTTGGTTTCTCATCCCCAATTTGGCTACCTTGAAAACACACTCCCTTCTACAGGTTTTGAGAAAAGTAACATGGGTATAAGCATAGGTAAGTCCTCATCTCCTGACCCGCAATGTCTTGCTAGTGTTCATGGATGTGACTATCTAGACCAAGCCTAGGAAATGGCCAAGGATTCAAAAACATTCAAGATACCATATGGATTCAAGAAATTATTATGATGATTCTAATTGATATGTTGAGTATTGTTTTTCTTTTTCACTTTTCTTATGAATGAACACTAATAACTGAAATAATTAGAAAGTTCCCTTATGAAAACCATGAATAAATACTGAAGTACTCACCTTTCCAAGGGCCTCCTGGCAACACGGCCCCGTGATAGAACTAATCTGGTGGCAACTACAGGGTCTCATTCTCTTTTAGAATTTTTAATGGATATTGCTAGAAAATACTGAGAAATATGTTGAGTGGTCCTGAAAGAGAAAGCCTGAAATGTTCAAAAATTTTTTTATTTTATGTTTTTGCTTTCTGAGACAAGGTTTCTGAGTAGTCCTGGCTGTCCTAGAGCCTATGTTGTAGACCAGTTTGGCTTCAAATTTGGAGATTCACCTGTCTCTACCTCCCAAGTGCTGGGATATCACTACTTCCTGGCTTAATTTTGAAAGCAAAATGTCTCTCAACAACCAGAATAGCTTTCAATAAAACAAAGCATAAATAAAAAGCAGAACCCAACTTTTCCAAAGATAATACTTTTAAATAATTTATTTTTCAAGTTCCTTTAGAGATTTTTTACTTTTAAATATGAGTGAGATAAGATTTCAGACTAACCAAATTGAAGGTCATGCAGCTTTTCTTGAGACTTAACTCACATCTTAGGGCACTTTTCCTATTCTGATTTAGGACTAGCTGAACACCAAGTCAACTGATTCTATTCAGGGCACTGAGATTTCGATGTCTGCTACATTGATGTGGATGTCCACTCATTTTGCCATTGTGTCAGAAGCAGCATCCTTCTTAACCCAGGATGACAAGAGACACATGTCAGAAGGACACTTTAGCCAAGGAGAGTTCTCTGTGACTTTCAGTTCAGGTGTCCAGAGAGTGACCATGAAGTTCCCTGCATCCCAATTAGTGGTTATCACAATTCTGTTCTTCCGACCTGTGGTACCTACCTTTCTGTTGATGGCTGGTGGGCATCACCCCTGTCCCTGCTGTGATCACTTACCTGCTTTACAGAGAAGCAGCTGTTAGAGACTGAAGATACCAGGGCAGTGCTGTTTATCATTTCCCTGTTCTGTCTTGGTGTGTACTAGCTTCATTCCAGTGGAGAGACATGAAGACTTTGCATATTAACTACGTGCAGTCCATGCACCTGAGTGTGGAACCAACTGCTGACCAGTTCATGGTTTATGCCACAGATGGGGAGCAACGCTCCTTAGAGACAGCATTTCACATTATCATCAACCCCACAAATGATGAAGCTCCTGACTTTGTGGTACAGAATATCAGTGTAAGAAACATACTAAAATGTTCCCTTTTTTCTTATTTTCTAATTTTTCCCTAGATAACTCTTTTATGTTGTTTTAGGTGCACCTAATATGTTAGTTTGGTGAACAATGGGAAAAGCATAATCTTATGCCATATAACTAATCACTTGTGAACTAATAACCTAGTAATAATGGTAATGGTAAAGATAGTATTGTGTGCACGTGTGCATGCATGCAAGTGTGTGTGTGTGTGTAATAGAGTACCTACTGGACTTTAGGTTGCCGTTTCCTTCAACATAGTCATAGTTAATCCTCACAACAGGCTTTTGGGGTGATGGTGTTTTTATTGCCATTTCATTACTGAAGAAATGAGGCATAAACAGGTTAACTGAGTAACCCCAGAGATTTATGAACATGCCAGAATTATGACTGTATACTATAATTTTTCTGTATGTTTTTACTTACAAATAAGAGAATCATATCCATGGCTCTATGCTTTACTTTCTAAAGCAAAACTTAAGTATATATATGTGAAATCTTTTCTTATCAATATGTAGCCTCTTTTAACTATCCTATATGATTGTTCAGTTCATATGCATGCACTGAATGAACACAGACACACGCTTTGGCCTCAAAGGAACTTGTATGTTGCTTCAAATAATTTTGCATCTTGGGCAGGTTATTTCTCTTCAAGCTTCTGTTCCTCTGTCTTCAAAAATATATATGTAATTTTCTTTGGGAGATTGTTATGGTGATCAAGTTGGCCAAACACAGTAGGTCCTTAATGTACAAGAGTTTTCAGTACTATTTAGTGTGTCATCTTTTTTTCTAATCTTGACCAAAGCCATTATTCCCCCTCATTCTTTTTGCTAAAAATAATCACATTCTAAATGTGAAAGTCTTTATTTGATTTTAATTTTCTCCTGAATCTTAACAGCACATGAGTGTGTCACCTCAGCATGAGACTTAGGAGCCCACTCCTGCCTCCCCTTTTCTTTTGGCTCATGGTTTACTCTGGAGAGCCCTTCAGTGATTATGTGAAGAAAAAAGTCGATAAAAATGATCGCTTCTGCACCTATTTCTACTGTCTTTATCTGCCTGGGGTAAGAGCTTCTGGAATAATTAGGCCTCTGGGAAGTTGTTCCTTCTTCCTTTGTGGAAGTAATCATGTCTTTCACCCATGCTTCCTGACACATACAAACAGACACAGACCCTTGGGCGCTGCATTGGCAGAGACAACTTTTAAAGTTCAAGATTTTTTGTCCTCTTCATATAACACATTTGGCTTTCCTGTGAGAAAATGTCCTTATTGTATAGATAGTTGGGGTTCTATCAAAATGTTTTGGTTTATTTTAACCCTTTTAAACATGTTTAGTAATGAATATCTACTTTTCAATGTATATTCATTTGACATTTTTATTCTCATAATGTCAAGAAAAAATTCAATATACAAAAAAAAAAAAAAAAAAAAAAAAAAAGAATCCTGTAGGGTTTTTTTTTGTTTTTGTTTTTGTTTTTTTTTTTTTTAAGAAAATTCCTTGGTAATATTGTGGATGAATTTACCATCTTGTAAATGAGATACATGACCACACAGTCAAGAGGGAAAAGCTTCATAATTAAACTCTATAAAGATGGAGAGCCATATACATTTTTAAGTTGCTTTACTAAAGTTCTTAAAGATGGAGAGAGTGAGATACTGGCATAAGATATTCAATAGGCTTATCTTTATGGATTCATCTAAGATGCTATTTTGGTCTTCAATAAAAAAAAAGGTCAGATAAGAGCAGCATTGTTTTTGTTCAAATATCACAGTGCACCCGCAGGAATGCTTCCTGCAGAGCCAGCGGGAGGGACTGGAAGGAAAAGCATAGACACTTAGGAAGTGATCCTCTCACTGTGAAGGTGGTCTTCAGGCCTCAATTCTTTTATGGTTCTTGTTTTGGAAGTTCAGCAGCTCTTCATAGTCGTTCCTTGACTACACTCATGGTAGGCAGGCTTTCCCAGCCCTTCCTGACTGAGCCGTGAGAACGTCTATACTACCTCCAGAATGTAGCAAGTGGCCTTGCAGATCCCTAGGACACATGTGTAGAATCTGTGTACTTTTATTACTTAGATCTTGCTGTATTTCAGAGCAAAACCCAAATATTTCCCTGTCCTATCCTCTCGCTGAGAAAGGAAGAAAAAAAAAATAAACAAATAAAGGCAAGGCTCTTAAGCATCAGACTGCCAAATTTTAAATGACTAAAGCTTTCTTGAAGCAATGAGAACTCCACTGTGGTGTGTGCATGTGAGTGGGTGTGTGTGTCGAAGGCTGTCGAGTGTCCTGCTCTATCAATCTATGCCTTATTCCCTTGAGACAAGCTCCCCCACTTAACCTGGAGCCAGCCTAGCAGGCAGCAAGCCCCAGAGATCTTGATTTCTCGGGCTATAGGTGCCCTCACAGCTACACCCAGCTTTTTATTGAATGCTGGCTTTTTATTAGGAGCTGGGCTCAGCTACTTGAAGTTTCACAGCAAGAACTTGTACCTGCTGAGCCAAGTCCACAGGACCTGAAATACAAAGTATCGACTATGATAATAAAAATTTAAAACACCAAATATTAGACTCAGAAGGTTATTACTAACAGGAAAAAAAGGACATGAAATTGGGAAGGATATGGGGGTTCTGCAGGGAGTAGGAAGGGATAGTGACAGATGACTATGATCAAAATGCAGTGTACAAATGTATGAAATTTAAAAACATAAAAAACATTTTTAAAAAGAAACAGAGAAATTTGCTCTGAGATGTGCAGTAGGCATTTGATATTCCCAAAGCAGGTAGAAACCTAAAAATTGTAGAAACAAGGACTTCTGAGTTAAATAACTGACTAGTGTCTGAAGTAGAGTCCAGATCCACTTTCCCTCTGAACTCTCCTGACTTCCAGATGGTAGGCAGACTTATGCTTGCTTCTTCCAGCACCAACCTTTGAATCACTAACAACATAAATTGTCTACATTTTACAGAGAATGTTTGATTGTATGTGTTTGTGCACAAATATATATGTGGATGATAAGGGGGCATGAATATCCTAGTCCAAATGTTAAGGGTGGAAGACAATTTTGTGGACCTATTTCTGTCCACTTCTATGTGAGCTTCAGGAATCGAACTCCTGTCACCAAGGCTTGTATGGTGAGTAACTTTACCTACAGAGCCATCTCAGCAGCCCCACCCACACAGATGCTTTAATCACTCCTATGTTGTGCATGGAACTAAAGAACACTTTGAATATTAGAATAGATCTGAGGAAGATGAATAGATTTCTTTTTATATTCCCGTTTACTGGAAATTTTGTTTTCTGGAACCTCATATCTGAAAATATCATGGGAAATTTGAAATCAAAAATTTTCAAATAAGTGGGGTGGATTTTTTTTAAAGAAGCTTTTCAAAAGAAATGGAGAAAAGGTCCTATTTCCCACTGCTGACTCTGCTGGCTTGCTCCTGCTCAGGTGTGTGAGGGTCAGACAACACAGCTGGATTCTTCCATCATTGCTGCTGCTGACAGGGATGTCCCGAAGGACCCCTTGCTCTTCAGTATCATTCAGAAGCCCCAGCATGGCCTCCTCATCAATGGGGCCATCAGCAAAGAATCTCCTCAGATCAAGATGCAGAACTGTGAAATTCACAACTTCTCCATGGACCTTCTCAAGACTGGTAGACCATGTTTCACTTCTATTCACCTGCTGCTGCTGATACAATGACTTAGCCTACCCACGTCTATACTCTAAAGTTGTAATAGTAGGAGCAGAAATTAGATAGGTGGGTGCCACAGGCTGGTGGGAGAGGGAAGAAATGAGCTGTTGATCAAAAGGTACAAAAATCTCAGTGTAACACAACAAGGTCTCAGCCATCCATTTGTAACACCATGGTGACAATAGTCAGTAATGTAACATGTAGTGTTGCTGGACATTAATATTATACACATGCACACATTAACAAGGTGAGGTAATATACATTAGTGTGATATAAGCGTGTAACAAGTTTCACATATATCAAAATGCCATGTTGTGTTTCATGCTTACAGATTTTACTAAAGATACCAACAAATCATACAGACGGGGGAAAGAGTATATATTATTATTGTTAATCTCTTCAGAATGAGTTACGGGCTCTTGATTAACTAGGGGCTTATAGCCTCAGCCAGACACTGTAGATGGCTGAAGCTGTGGTGGGATGTTTTCTTTGACTTTTAGAATACCATTAACAATTATATTGGTGATTATCGGTACTTTAACACAGAATTTTAATCATAATTTAAAATTTCCTTTTCAAACGATTGAGATCATGGGACTAAATTTCAAGAGGCTTGCCTGCCAAAATTTCCACAGTTGAAACAAATATAGATCCACATATAATAACCGCTCATTAGTCTCTGTGGAGATAATGTGTTCTTTAGGGAAATGGCACACTGGAGCTGCCTGAATTGTTTTTTAATTACTTTTTAAACGACCTTATCCCATTTTCCATGTATAAAAATACTTTCAAAAATTTGAGCAAGTATGTAGTTCTAGAATTAGTGCCTAATCTCATAGTCCTTTCTTCGCTATGTATCTTATTTCCCCAACCTGAAAGACCTTTCCTCACCTTGGATTGGTCAAGATGGTACCTTCGGATGCAACCCTTTCCTCCAACCTATTCTCTGGGCTTTGTTCTAGCACTTTTTGGCTGTTTCCCTACTGTCTTTCAATTATTTGTTTCGCTAATTAGAATGTTGTCTCTTTGATCCAAAGGTTATTTTGTAATAGTTGCAGATGCCATCTCATGTTTGAATCTGAAAAGCTAGTTCATAGTCTCGGTTTGGGTGAATAGTAAAGAAATAAATTCTAGTACTGCAAGGCTAATATGACCAAATCAGTCCCTGTGTGCAACAAATAATATTGTTACAAACATAAGGAAAATTGCTTAAAATCTAGTGTCAGGAAGAACTGATTTTGTTGATCATTCATTCGTTCTTTCTTTTCTGTTTTCTGAACAGGGTTAGATGAGTGCCTGTAATTCCAGCACTCAGAAAGAGTCTGAAGCAGGGGGATAAAGAGTTCAAGGCTTTCAAGGCCACCCTTAGCTACATAAGGAGAGTTTGTCTAAATGGGAAAGAGACAGCTTAATTTTTTCTTTACATTTATTTTTTTTTATTTTGTGCATTTTGGGGAAGTTGTGGGGTTTCTATATGCCATAGGTGACATGTGGAGGTTAGAGGACAACTTGTGGGGTTTAGCTTGCTCTTTCCACCATGTGGATTCTGGGGCTCAAACTCAGTTGTGAAGACAGGAACCTTCTCTTGCTGAACCATTCAAAGGCCCAGGAAAGTGTTTTTAAAAAGTAACGCTATCACGTATGCATCGTGTGCATTTGGATAGCATAACCAATCCAAACAAAAACTAAAAATTGGCCCCACGAATGCATATTTTGATGACATTTTCGAAAGTTGTGTTTTACATTTTATTGTTGGTTCACTTAGGCTATATTAAAAAGAAAACCAAACAATTTGAGTATATTCTCACAAACGTTCAGCTCCTAAATATACAGAATTTATCCGCCCGCTATCCCTCTCCTCCCCCCCCCCTGCCATAGCAGGTAACTCGTAATCACCTCATTTACATTCTAAATAGTACATGGAATACTTTTGGCAACTACAGTCTTTGGCTATATGGATATAGTTAGTATGTTACAATTTGTCATAGCTGTGTCCTACTTTAAACATTTTCCATTTCTTGGCATTAGTGGTCATAGGTCAGCAAATATTTTGCAAAAATCCCTTAGTATTTCTAGAACATTATAGTGCCTTTTGAAAATAGTAAATTAAAGTTTTCAATCGAATATTCAAAGGACCATTGGGTAGGGTTGAAGGAAACATGGTGAAAGGTAGTTTTTATAGTGGTTTTGAACTACTTAGATTTTCTTTGGTGACTGGCTCCAGATAGATCATACTTTAATTTTCCACACATAATTCACTTTCCCAGATTTGTTTAAATGCCTTTATTCTTACATGGTTTGTGTGGTTTCCTTGTTTTAAAGATGGATGCGCCAATTTACAGGAGAACATCAGGTGACTGTTCAGGTAGCGAGATGTTTCTCCCAATTCTAGAGTTTATATATTATCCTTCTGTGGTCTTTGATGGGTTGAAGACAGATAGTTATGGTTATAGTTTTCTTTAGTTAGGATTAGAGATAAGTTACATATAAGACTTTAAAAATCACAAAGATAGGATAGATAATAAAATATTTCCTTTAATTATTGATAATGTTAATGGACTAAATATTGTAATTATATTTCTTGTTATATAGATTTACTATGTTTAAATTAAAACCCTTCTTTTTATTTAGACAGGAAAGAGGAGATGATGGGGGGATGTTCTTCTGTATGCATGTTTGTCTTATCGGTTAATGAATAAAACACTGATTGGCCAGGCAGGAAGTGACATAGCATGGCAGATACTACAACTAGCTAACCATAGAGGTCTGGAGGTCTATACAGACAAGGCAGAAAGTGACATAGCTGGGCAGAATCAGAATATAAGCAGGGACAAACATCTCTTCTCTGCAGAGATGTGGCAGGCAAAGGAAATGTAGGTCTGGCATTCCTGATAAGCCAAGAAAGACCACATGAAATTCTTAGATTAATAAAATGAGTTAATTAAGACAGAGCTAGCCAGTAAGAAACCATAGCCATAGGCTAACAGTTTTATAATTAATACAGTGTCTCTGCATGTTATTTGGAGCTGACATGGCTCTGGGACCAGGTTGGTGGGAAATTGCTTGTAACACCTTTGTTCTTACGTGGTTTGTGTGGTTTCCTTGTTTTAAAGAAGGACATTTAATGGGCCATGAACGACTCCACAAAACAGAGTTCATGTCACTCTAATGCACAGACTGTTGCGCCCTGGGAGCACCAAGGCCTGATGTTAAAATGGAGTATCTGTGACATGCTGATGGTTCAACCAAAGAGAGACTGTCCTTCTCCTCTTCCAGGACTGAAGCTGGCCTATGTCCATGACGACTCGGAGAGCCTCACTGACAACTTTGTGATCCAGCTGTCCGATGGGAAACATAAAATACTTAAAACCATTTCAGTAAATATCACCCCAGTGAATGATGAGAAACCAACGCTAAGCAAGTAAGCTGCCTGGAGGGTCTCACTTCTGATTTCCACAGAGTTCTGTGGCACTGGGTACACAGTGAGAAGCAAGGCTTCCCTTGAGCCTATCTCCCACAACTTCCCTGCCACTCAGGCATCAGGAACCTTCAGTGTAAATGCTAGAAAATATGACCTAAACAATAGTCTTTAAATGATTCAACCATTCTCTTAAAGTTCAAATGAAGTATAAAAATAAAAATAACAACATATAATAGTAAAATGCACGTGTGCATGTGCATACACACACACACACACACACACACACACAAAGTACAATTTCATAATTCGACTGAAGGGTGACATTGTTAACTGCCAACAGTCCTCACAATAGATTTCATCACATTTTTAACTAGAAGAGATCAAGGGAAATACTCAGTCCCACTTAGTTCATCATCTTGGTACTTCTCTATCGATCTGTACTACATCCCATATGGATCAACACCTCACCATCACATATCAAAATGCTACTTCTTAGAATTCTAGTATTATGCACTGTAACACTTGTTGGCAACTCCCTTGCATAGGATTGCCTTTCTATAGTGCCAGCAATTTTTCTGCAATTATCAAGTGTCACAGTTTATAAACAGCAGAGATCTCCAGGAGGCCCAGCAGGACTTTAGGGTCTGGCTCTTGAGGTCTCAGCTGAGACTCCCTTTTACTTAATGGTGTAGCTATTAGCATTAAATAGAGCACTGGAGTTTCCTCAGGCTAGGAACACCTTCCCAGAAACCTTTAAACTCCAAAGACTCCTGGACTATTTTGGGAAAGACACCAGACAAATCCCTGTCTTACCCTGTCATATCTTCACCGTTCCTTCTACATGCCAAAAGCTCCATAAAAAGTGTGATGGAAAATGTTGATGATGGTGTTTGGAAGGTTGCTTCTCAGACACCAGCTCTACTAAGAATATACAGGAAGTGTCTGTGTCCTTATCTCAATGCTGGAACTGACAATTCCGACTGGCTAGGCATACACTTATAAATGTAAAAGATACTGTAACCCTGGAACCCAGGAGAAAGCAGGATGGATTCAAGGCTAGCCTGGGTGATACAGTGTGTTTGAATCCAGCCTTTCCGGAATAGTGGGGATGGGAGGAGGTTTGTTGTTATAAACCTCTTTGTCATCATCACTTGAAGAAAGGAGCAAGATGAAGGCTGATGATTTTTAAGTACTTATTAGGTGGCAGACGCTTTACTAAGTGTACTGTATTATTAACTCCTCAGCCACTCACTTACCAAGACCAGAGAAGGAAAGGAGTCCGTCCACTGCAAAGCCACAGCCTCACTGCTAGACCTCAGCAACAAAATCCCCAAAATCTCTCTCAACCCTACTTCAGAACCCCTCCTTTGAAAAAACAAACAAACAAACTAATTATTGTAGTCACTGAACTATTTGTGGACCACAGTGTGACAGTCAATACACATGCAAGAAGTACAATAATTAGATCTGGGTGACTGACCTGCCTGTCACATCTGACATTGATCACTTTCCTTTTCCTTTCTCTTCCTCTTTCCTTTCCTTCCAAGGATGGAAGCAGAGGTTCTTCCTTTGTCTTCCATCTGCGTTGTTTAGTAGGACTCTTACTTCTTATTCTTTGTCTCCTCCTTCATCTCCACCTTTTCCCATTTCTTTTCCTCTGTAGCCCAGTGGTTAAGAAATCTCAAGTCAGGGTGACTCAGACAGCCACTTAGCAGAAGTAGGACCCTACACATGTCATTTCACTTCTCTCTGTCTCTCCTTTATCCTCTCAGTGGAAAGGGATGATGCTAGCTAGCATCTTTTCATAGGATTGCTGCAAGTAAGATACGTGAAAGTGCTTGAAAGACTGTACACAGTGAGCGGTCACGACTATTCTTTGTCGTCATTGTTACAAGAAGTTATCCCCTTTCCAGAAACACAACGACAATCTGACATCTGCTCTGTTCATTTCTGCCAAGGGTAGCTTGGTCTTTGCCAGCGCTTGACCCCATTTCCTTGATGGTTCCTTTAGATGCTGTGTTAGGTGCTCCTGTCCCCCAGTACCTACACAACAGCCCACCTGTCCCACTTCAGATGCTCATAGTCTATGGCTCCACTTTCTTCCCTAGGAAGCTGCATCAACTCACGCAGATCCATGGGATCACACAGTGGGTAACTATGGGAGCAGGCAGTCGGTAACCGCAGAGCAGTCAGTTGGGAACCATAGGAGATTCTAGACAAGACCAACGTCCCAGCTTCCTGTCCTCCAGAGGCTCAATCCAGGTCCTGCTCTGAATGGTTCCTCAAAAGATCCTAGCTGAGCGCTGTGGTGTGCATCTCCAGTCCCAGCCACTGGGGAGGCTGAGGCAAGCAGATGTCTTGAATCTAAAGGTTAGAGATGTCCTGACCAACTTTGTCGGGTCCCTTTTCTTCAAAAACAAAACGAAACCCAAAAGTTAAACTTAGAAGAGTTTATTAGGATTGAGTCTCAACTGCCTCCAGCAGTAAAAACAGCCTTTGTTGCCTTTCCCTTTCCTTTCTCACTAGCTCCCATCCTTCTGCTTCCAGAATGCTTCTTTCTCCCAATGTCCCTTTTGGGGTAACCCAGACTGTGACACTTGTCACCCCTGACATGTAATTCTGGCCTGTCTTCCTCATCTTGAGACTGTCTCATCTTACAAGAAGCACCGCTAATCTCCACAAGCCCCAGTCAGCAGACCCATCAGCTCTTCAGCTCTAGAATCCTGCAGTTGGTCCATGCTCTCTGCTGGAGAAGTAGATGAGGTCTCTCACCCTGCTCAAGAAGTTGTCAGTCATGGGTTAGCAGGGATCCCTCCTTGAACGAGAAAGTTAGAATGATGTATCAGGCATCGCCTTCTCTGTAGAAGACCTGGTACTTGCTAATGTCAGTTAGTGAGACTTTGTGTCCTTGGTCCCAATACCAAGGACTTCAAGCAAGGCCGTATTTCTCAGAACCAAAGCTGTGGAGGCAGACAGTAGTCGCACATGTTGTCACTGTGATCCCGGTGGAGAGCTAGAACACTGGTGGATAGAAATCCCTTTCTCACTTGGGTGAGGCCAAGGGAAGACTGCAGTGTCCACATGGAAGCTTCAGCTGCCACTGCCTCACCTGCTCATGCTTCCTGTTGGCTGTCCAGATGCCCACCACCAGGCTGCTGGTTCCACTTCTTGGGAAAGATGAGCCTGCAAAGACCACACGTACCAGGCCTTTTCAGGAGGAGGGAGAGGACATTAGAGGACCACAGATAACCCAAGAATATCAGCAGCAGGATGACATTCAGGAAGACCTTTAGGACACTATATAAGTCACTTTCAGCAGGGTTTTGTCTAGTTAGAACTATAATACCTGACCTACTTTCTTCATGGAGATACAGTAAGCATTAAATGAAAGACTAGAAGCAAAATCATTATATAAACTATATGTAACTTAGAAGATTGTAAAATTCTACTCCTGTGAACAACAAGAAGAATCTCTCACATAGCACCCTAGTCATGGCTGCTGGCTCACACCCCCTTTTCAGACTTTGGTATACGACTCACAATTTCCAGAAGTTTGGATGTTATTATTTCTTATTTCTTGAAGGTGGATCCTGTCATAGCTAATATAAATGGCCCCTGCTGAACTTGTGCCTTCCATTTTCTTTATCATTTTCCTTTCTACAGGAAGGCCGAAATATCAATGACCATGGGAGATACACGTGTTCTGTCTAGCGCCGTTCTTTCAGCCATAGATAAAGACTCGCCCAGAGAGACAATTCACTATTTATTTGAAAGACTTCCCCAAAATGGGCAACTTCAGCTTAAGGTAAGTGGCCCTTGAACACGATTATCTAATTACTTATTATCATTATTTTTGTGGTGCTTTTGCATTTTAAAGATATATATATATATATATATATATATATATATATATATATATATATAGTGTTCCTCCTGCATGTATGTCTACAAGCCAGAAGAGGGCATCAGATCTCATTATAGGTGGTTGTGAGTCAGCATGTGGTTGCTAGGAATTGAACTCAAAACCTCTGGAAAAGCAATCAGTGCTCTTAATCTCTGAGCCACCTCACCAGCCCCTAATTAATTATTCTTTAAATGTGTGTGTGCCTGTGTGAATTTATATGCATATCATGTGTGTACAGGTGCCCATGGAGGTCAGGTTCTTTGGAGCTGGATTTATAGATGGTTGTGAACTACCTGATATGGGCTCTTAACCACTGAGCAATCTATCCAGCCCTAGAGTGGCCTTTTGGCCTTCATTTCCCAAAGCAGGAGTAAATTTTATTAACACATGCATTTATACAACTGAGTTTATTCTCCAATAGGCATATTTTTTCACTCAAAAGTAAAATATTTACATTTCCTTTACTAGGAATTTTCTTTATCAACATGTGATAAATTCAACCAATGCCAAGGCTCTTAATTACTTCCTTCTCCTGAGAATTGTCCCTGGGTCTGGAAGGAAGAACTTGCCTGGTTGGAACAAGCTGGCTTCTAAGGAGAAGCCAGCATATTTTGGGGTGCCTACATCCCACCAGACATTTTTCATGGTGCTCCATGTAATTTAGCTTTCTTCTTTTTCTTCTCCTCCTCCTCCTTCTCCTTCTTCCTCTTCCTCTTCCTCCTCCTCCTTTCTTCTTTTAAGTCTGTTGCCACTCCTCCTTTTCCTCCCTCCCTCCCTCCCTCTTCTCCCCTCACTCCTTCCTAATGTCCCTGCTCCCCCCTCCCATTCCTGTACCACTCTCTTTGCCGCTCTCATTTTCCCTGCTGTGTTCTATGGCATTCTCAGGAATGTTCCAACATTTAAAAATCTGTCTTTATTAGCGTCTTTATTTCCAAGTCTCTCTTCCCAGCCTCATGAGAATGTGTGAGAGGATAAAATCTCGAATCAGAAGCTGCACTAGCTCATGTGGTGGTCATCTCACTCCACTCACTGAGAACTGACAATGTCTTAGTAACTGCTGTATTCGAATCCGGAAAACTGCATAGCAGTAAATCAACATTCCTGGATTTGTATGTATTCCCAAACTTTAATAGAAAGTGAGAAATGTGGAACCATGAAGCATACGAAGGGTTAAATCGCAAGTCTGGTGCTAACTGTTCCAGCAGCTTGCTCAGGCCCTCTTGACTCCTTTCAGTCCTGTAATAGCAAATTTCCAATCTATTCAGATTGCAGGCATGATGCTTAATCATTAGTCCGACATGAATCACAGATCAGCCACTTGAGAAGGTCAGCTGACTCATGGGTCAAAATGTTTATTTGAATGGTGGCTAGAGACCAGCAACAACCTCTAGCCAGCCTCAGTGTGATTGCCTGAATGCTTGAGTCTTAATCTAACGCAGGCTCAGTTTAGAATAGAAAAAGCAGCGAGGATTCTTTCTGTGGGGAACAGCTTGATTGTCACAGAGTATGGGTACCACAGAGAGTCAGAGAGAAGAGCAATCACTGATTTAAATTGAGGTACAGCTGTGTCCTTATTTCATTTCAAAGCGTAATGAAGCAGAAACACAGTGAGAGAGCACACGTTTGGGTGGCTTGGGGCCCGAGTTGCTTCGGATATGAGATGATCCAGATGGGTCCAGGGTCCCAGCAGGCTGCACACCATTTTCTCACACCTCCCTCGGGCTCACTGAGGCTGGCTGTCTGAGGCTAGGGACTGGGCCTCCAGTCCTCTGGACTCTCAAGACTTCTTGTTTGCTTGTGAGTTTTGATGTTTTTTTTTCCCCAGTTTTTCTTGTTTTCCTCTTCTTCCTTTTTCTGGCATCAGATGATTCTGTCAAATCAAACTTATGTTTAAGAATGAAAATGAAGAATTAGAAACAAGAGAGCAAATGATGTCTTCCCCTGCATTTATTTTCTAGGACAATATTACCAAGAGGAGAAGATAAATAGGATCTTATGCTGCCTGGTTTAAAAGGGTCTATTTGAAAGTCTCTGCTTGCAAACAGACCTCATAAAAGAAGGGACCTAGCTTAACTACTGCAATATAAGTAGTTTTACCTGGTGGACCTGCAGTAGAACATAGGTCTGCAAATGTCCTGTGGGCAAAATATCAAAGAAGAAGACAAGTAGAACAGCTCAAGAGAGGGGATGATGTAGTGGGGGGAAGCCCAAGATTCGTTGGGAACTGGGGGTGGATGATCAGCAAAAAGAAAACACAAATGATTTAAATGTGTGTCTGTCAACCAGACAGGTAATTTATACTACACTACAGTGTAATTTATATTTTGAGTCCATGAAAATGACAGTTTCCTCAAGTTATATATAATGAATGACTTTTGTGAGCCATTCTTAGAAAAAGCCATGCTTGAAATAAAGTAGGGTTATTATACAACATAGGACTATTATTTTATTCCTTAATACTTTCTTAGTTCTTAGTCGGCTGCCATAAAAGCTTCTTCTAGCAGCAACAATAAGTCAAGTCACAATTTCTGTCCCAAACTATGCAAAGCACATACTTAATATCTAGGGTTGATGAGTTGGGCTTTGAAGATCCTGATGGAAAATGTGGATGATACTGAGTTTCTACTTTCTACTGACCATGTGTGTAAGTGAGAGAGTATGTGTGTGAGTGACAGAAAGAGAAAATGTGTGTGTGTGAGAGAGAGAGAGAGAGAATATGTGAGTGAGTGTGTGTGTGTGTGTGTGTGTATGTTGAGTGTGTATGAGAGAGAGACAGTGTGTGTGTAGGGGTATGATGGGAATCTGACAGCTTTCTTTAGGTTTTACTAAGACTAGACAGTGGGGTTGGGGGGAAATACCAGTGCATTCTGGTTTTGTTTTCCCTGCTGAGCTTGAAAACAAATAAGCCACTTTTAAAAAAATTAAACAAAAACCAAAAAAGGGGACTTTTATTAGTTGTACAAAAAATAAAAACTAAAATAGATAAAAAGGAAATTTTAAGCAGCCCATTCCAGCAGCTAATTGCCCACCTGCTCTTGTTGATTGGGCTATTTCATCAGCCATGATTACTGATGATAAATACCTCAGAAACACCAATGTTGTTGAATGACTTTGTCAAAAGTCCACTGGTTGAAGCTGTTTATCATCCAAGGTCTTAAAGTATTTTAATATATTTCTTTGAAAAGATAAAGATAATGTTCCTTTGAAAATAAAATATACTTAATATTATCTTAATATATTTGCTTGAAAAGAAAAACTTAAAAAACAGGCAGCACCTAGTGTAGAATTTCCCCCATGACTTCCTATTGGGGGGTTTCGGGACATAGGGGGAAATCTCCACTAACATAGCTGGGGAAGCCAGGGCGTCTGGCTCACTGTGCACTTTTCAGATAGGAAGGGACTGGGTCCCTCTCTCAGCTGGTATGCAGTGCACCCAGGAGGATGTGGACCTGAACTTGCTGAGATACACACACACTGCCAAGATGGGTTCCCAGGATGGAGACAGTTTCACCTTCTACCTCTGGGATGGGGATAACAGATCACCTGCGTTTGACTGTCACATCATCATTGAAGACTCAGGGAAAGGTAAGAATGCATTTACCCATGCTTCCTGGGACCAGGATTGTCAGTAAAAGTGTGTTAAGTACACACTGGTGTAAGTACACACATGTGTGTGCTATTAGGCCAAGAGCCTCTCCTGACTTCCACAGGCTTTGGGGACACACCTGGTGCATGCGCGCACGCACACACACATACACACACACACACACACACACACACACACACACACTACTCAGCTGCACTGCTCTATAATTTATGACTGTAATTTACACCAGGAGGTTAAGAATCATATCTTGTTCACAAACCCAGGGTCTCAATATTTTCAGATTAAACAGTCTTTGATCCTTATGTTTTCTTGACTGAATTTTCCTTGTTTTGTCTTGGTTGAGAATGCTCAGAATTAAATATAGTGATTTAAGTGTAATTTAAAAGAAAAAAAAACCTATTTGGTTTTGTGTGTGTGTGTGTGTGTGCTATAATTACAATTGTCCTGCATTAATTTTTCATCATATGATTTAATATTTCTTTGGGGGAATATTTTACATTTTATTTACGTGTTTCCCAGCTATAAAATGTGTTTCATGACTAAGGACAGTCAGATAGATAAGCTAGATGATTCTGAATACATATGTTCTTCTCTGTAAAAGTATCATTGTACTGGTTCAGTTTTGATAACAGCTGGGAGGAAGGGGCCTCATTTGTGAAATTGCCTCCATCAGATTGAACTGTAGGCAAGTCTGGAGGCATTTTCTTGATTGATGGCTGATGTGGGAGGGGCCAGCCCACTGTGAATGGTACCACCCCTGACCATGTGGTCCTGGGTTGTAAAAGAAAGCAGGTTGTGCAAGCCATGGAAGCAAGCCAGTAACTAGTGTCCTTCCATGGCTTCTGCTTCATTTCCTGCCTCCAGTTTCTATCTTGAGTTCCCTCAATGATGATAGACTGAGCTGTAGGCTGAAATCCTTTCCTTGCTCTAGTTGGTTTGGGTTAGTGTTTTATCCCTGCAACAGAAACCTAACTAGGACAATTGTGTACATAGGATATTCAGGCAAATGGAATACTACTAGCATTTTGGCATAGACAGGTGATAGTACAGGCTATCTTCTTACGGACTTAGCTTCACAGCACAGGAGAAGCCATTCCACAGGTACTTGGAGCATCTCCTGTCCTATCAGCTCCTCATCTCTTAGGCCACAGTCACTTAGGAAGCGAGAGGCCAAGGAAGAGCTTGTGGGCCAAGGTCTCAGCAACTCTTCTGGAAGGCAGCTCACCTTTCTTGTATGTCTTGCAGTGGCTGAAGCTTAGTCATAGGCTGTGTTCAGGGCAACTGGACAATAGAAGGAATGGCACTAGACTACTGAGAGCCTCACCACACTCTATCATAATTGATATGCAATTATTTATTAAAGGATTTATGAAAACCTGTAACAAGTAGACAGATATATTTGTCTATTAACATTTATAAAGCTCGTGTTTCTCTTGCCTTTTTGTATGGTGTTTTATCACTGTGCAACATTATAATCTGTTTTCCTGGTTTATATTACTTAATATGACAGTTATAAGTTGCTTGCTGTTTCTCATGTTTCTCATGACTTCCCAAGTATAACTTTTAAGATGTCTATATTTTGTATTTTTACTTTTTTATTGTAAGTGTATGAACTTTGTCAGCATGTATATGTATCACATGTGTGCCTGGTTCCCATGACTACCAGAAGAGGGCGCCAGATGCCCTGGAACTGGAGTTACAAATGGTTGTAAACTGCTATGTGGGTGTTGGGGACTGAACAGCCAGTGCTCCTAACTGTTGAGCCATCTCTCCAGTCCAAGAGTAACTTACTTCAAGTAGAAACATACTGAGTAGCTGGTAGTACTATCTCCTTTATACAGAATTATGTACTTATCTCTGTCTCGTGTCTATTATAAATAATCTTTAGCGTCCCAATTGTGATATTTGTGTTCTGATTTCCATAGTGGCAAAAAGGATGCCTTTAGGGGATGTTTAGGATGCACAGGTCTGCAGTCCCAATACTGAGGAGCTGGTGCCCTTCCTCCTCCTAGAGGTATCTATGCCTCTGGGAAAAGTGCCCTGGGACATTTTGACTTTCTCAGCAAACATTTGTTTCTCTTGCTGCCCTTGATGTGTTTCTTACCAATACCTCAGAGTATCTGCAACTTAGATTTTCATTTGCATTTAGTCCTTCATCTCAGTTGGAGATAAAGGCTCATATGCCCAAAATACCAGTTTGGTCATCTGAAACAGTATTCTGTAATCTTGTCACACCTGACATTTTGGAATGAATAATCTTTGTTGTAGAGAATTTTCTTGTGAATTTTGGTATGTTTAATAGCATAGCTGGCCTCTGGCCTCTGCCCAAAAGAAGCCAATAAGATCTTCATTTAATGACAAGCAAAGACACCTTCGATTTTGGTTGGACAGAGCTCAATGGTTAAGAGCATTTGTTGCTTTTGTAGAGGATCTGTGTTTGGTTTCCAGTATCTACATGATGGCTCATAGCCACCTGTAACTCAAGTTCCAGAGGATGTGACACCCTCTTTTGGCCTCTGTAAGAACTAGCTACACACACACACACACACACACACACACAGAGAGAGAGAGAGAGAGAGAGAGAGAGAGAGAGAGAGAGAGAGAGAGAGAGAGAATAAATAGATGTAAAAATACAATCTTGGCGTTTTATTTTCACTTTTGTTTGCTCAAGAGGTTTGTCTTAGTTGTTTTTCTATTGCTGTGAAGAAATACAGTGACCAAGGCCTGCTTTTTTATATTTGCTTTGGACATCATATTAATCACAGTCCCTGTTGCTTCAGTCAAATACTAAGAAGCAGCTGTGGGAAAGAAGGGTTTATCTTGGCTGATAACACTAAGGGGACAGCGTGTTATGGTGGAGGAAGGCATGGTGCTCATATTACTAAAAGGGATACAGAATTATTGCAGGGGAAAGCATGATGGTGTGAACTAGAGGCAGGTAGCTAGGAAATAGAGAATGAAGGCTGGTGATTAGCTTGCTTTCTGTTTTTATTTATTTTGGGCTCACTTCATTAATGATACTGTCTACATTCCAGGTGAGTCCTTAGCAGTTGCAATTTCTAGGAACACTGTAGTTAGACATACCTAGAGTTGTGTTTCCATGATGATCCTAAATCCAAACAAGTTAGCAATGGGGATTAACCATCTTCTTTTAATTTAAAAAGTTTTGAGAGTGTCACACACAAGGACTCCATTTGCAGCACGTCCACTCTTACTTCTCACCTCCGACTCCCTCCAGTTTTTCCATGCACCTCCCAGTCCCTCCCAAATTATTGGCCTCTCCTTCTTTATCTGCTATTGCTACACACATACACACAGATCCTGCTGAGTATCTATGTGTGTTTAGGTCTGACGGCTTGGGATTAGATAACCTCATCAGAGGCTCGTTCCTAGAGAAGACTGGTTCTCCGTCTTTCGACAGCCATTAATTGCCCATAGTTCTCCATCTAAGAGTTGATCCTGGCGAGATTTCCCACACACATATTGGCATGCCCACTGGTATTGTCGTTTGTCAGGCCTTGTTTATATTACCATAGTGTTAAGATTTCATGAGAGCAGCTTCCCTTTCATATATAGAAGACACTATCTCAGCAGATATTCGGATCCTCCAACTTACAGTGTTTCTGGCTCCTCTTCCGTTATGTTCCCTGAGCCTAGGTTGCAGTATAAATATATTGGGGCTGGGGTTGGATGCTCCCAAAGGCTGTTAGTTGTCCTCTGCATTTTGACCAGTTGTGGATTTCTGTGATTGTTTCATCTCCTGCCGAAAGAAGTATCTTTGATAATGGTTGAGAATTTTTATAGCTGGGTAACACCATTGACTGCTTTTCTCCCCAGGCAGCAAGCATGGCCTCTTTAACACACGGGGAGCCAGTGTTCAGGGAGGAGACTGGGGAAGCAGGATCCAGATCAGGTCCACCCAAGTTCCTCCAGGTCCTGAGTCTGAAGCGTGTGGTACCTTCCACAATAGGGCACCGAGTATTTTCAAATATGAATCTTAACCACAATTTCCTTGCCACACAGGTGATATTGTCATTCATGTAAGACCACTCGTGGTAGCCAAAGGTGACAGAGGTTTCTTAACGACTGCCACTCTCCTGGCTGTGGATGGAGCAGACAAGCCTGAGGAACTACTCTACCTCATCACTTCTCCACCACAGTATGGCCAGGTGGAGTACGCCCACTATCCCGGAGTCCCTATCACCAGCTTTAGCCAAATGGACATAGCAGCGCAGACAGTCTGCTATACACACAAGAGCAGGGCAACTGTCCCCGGTGACAGCTTCAGGTGAGCCCATTTTTCTGAATCCATCCTTATATTAATGCCTAGGAAGGCAAAAGGAGTGAAGTAAGAATATTAGCACTAGTCATTTTACTGTATGTTTCTCTAATTTCTTACATAGCTGAAGGATACATGAAGCAGCGTGATCCTCCAAAGGAAGGAACATTACATCTTCTTACAACTCTCCTTTAGCTGTGTTTTCTTCTGTTTCCTGACTGTACGAAAGGTGGAAACACACTATTAAAATTACAGAAGCAATGCAAATAACCACGGCCCATGGCTAAAAACTAAGCAGTTATGTGCTCAAGCTCTTCTCTGAAAGGAACACAAAGAAACAAGAAGAGACTCTCTCCAGAAAGACAGAAATGTAATTTCCCCTTTCCGAGTGCATTTTTCTATCTGAGGAAAAGGCACATATTAGCATAATAAATTTGGCATGAGCAGACACTGCCTTTTGACACAACATGTTCCTGTAACTATATCATAAATCACGTTGTCACAAAGTGGATCATATTTCCCCATAGAAACCGTGTTATAATTGGGGACTGTGCACCTGCTCAAGGATTCAGCATCAAATAAATCATTGGGATGAATAACGATCAGGGGTGAAAAGGCAAAGATACAACACTAATGCAAATCTGCAGTCATTTAAAAATGTGGAAATTTGTTTCTAGTCTCACAAAGCAGGAGAAATTCTGAGGGCTCTGTCTAGCAATGGGAAAGCCAGCTGGATTTGTGGTCCTTGATAAAACTGGAGGTCCAGGCCAGGTGTAAGGACTGGACAATTGTGGATTCGCTAGTGCGTACATGATCCAACCCTTGCTTTCACCAGTTAGAGACCATTAACTTATCTGCCATATATACAGGACTTCTGACCCCAGTAAGATGTTTCCCATGTCCATTTAACCTTCTGGATTGCACTACAAAGTAACACGGGCATAGCAGACTCCCGTATTATCCAATGGGTTATAAACTTCCATGAACACCCACCAGCCAGAAAGGCTCCCACATTCAAAGACTTCTCTTCTCGGTCATATTTTACCTTTTTAAATTCCTGCTGTGGGGAATAGTGTAAACATCAGTAGGGATGATGTTGCTTGCTATTTGAGCTTTAGACGTGATTTCTGAGGAATGGGCTAGATTCAGTCCAGTGTTAAACAACAACAACAAAAATACTAATGGATATGATGAGCTAATATTTCCTTTTACCACTCTCTCCTCGTCCTTCCCTCTCTCTTGCATGTGAGAGTGGTGCATGTGTGTGCTAGTTCATGTACATGTGGGATGCAGAGAACAAGCCTGGGTGTTGTTCCTCAAATGCTATCCCATCTTGTTTTTGAAGTCTCTTATTGGCCTTGATCTTACCCAGCAAGCCACAGGCTGGCTGGCCTGTGAGCCCCGAAAGCCTCCTGCCTCTGCCTCCAGCACTGAATAACCATGCACACCAGCATACCCAGCTTTTTAAATGCGGGTTTTAGGGCTCAAATTTAAGTCCTTATGCTTTCGAATCAAGCCCTTTGCTTGCCGATCCATCTCTCCTGCCCCCTCTGTCTCTTTACTGATGTCCTAAAACAGGAAGATAATTCTTTAGCTGAGCATCTCTGTTCTGAGTCTGTGCTTGAGCAATGTTGGGTGTTAATGAAACCACCAGAAGAGAACAGTCCTCTTTCTAGCTGGCTCTTGTGTTTAAGTGGTATGTTGCCACTGTGAAAATAGAGGCTCAGGGCCGCGTATTGCCTTTGTGACGCACACTTCATCAAGTTACACAGCCACTTGTAGTGTTGCTCCTTCTATGGGCCTGGATGGTGCTCATCATACTTGTCAAACAGGGTCATGGTGGCAGGGGGGGTGGAGGTGGGGGAATAGCAAGTGGATTAGGCATGTGAAGTGCATACAATATCTGGCACATAGAAAAAACTGAATTAGCACTATCTGCCATTGTTGTTATATGGTGTTGCCATCGTTGTTTATTAGATATTCTTTCTATGGCCACTGTCTCACCTTATTCTTGGAGAATAAGGAAGGTTCAGACAGGAGTGGTGTTTGCTCATTCCTGTGTTTGCTAAGACAAGCAGGTGCGCCTTGGTCTAACACATGCCTATAAGAACCAGGGCTTTTGATTTTGTATGCATTTCTGGGGCCTCTAGCTTTTCTCCATTCCTGCTTCTCTAGTCAGTGCCCACAGGACCGTCAGCTTTGGACATGATGGCTGCCTGAGGAACCAGTGAGCAAGTGAATGCACACAGATGTAAGGAAGTGAAGGTCAGGTGCTAAGATGGCAAAAACCTAAACCCAAGTCGCTCACTTGTGTACCAGTGATCCTATGAAATGTTTGATTCCTATCGGCAAAAGCCAACTTAGCTGGCAGTTTACAGCTAGTTCTCCTAGGAGCATCTACTTTCCTTAGCTCCTCGGAGAGTTACCTGCGAGCAAAATCCAAATTCTTGGGCCTTGTGCCAGTTTGGGCAACTCCAGTCCCAGCTGGAATCTGTCTTTGAAGGGCTCTTCAAAAATCTGACTCCTCGGGACCATCATTCCCTGAGCTGGCCTAGTCCATTACTCTGAGTGTATTCTGAACCTCTGGGAGAATTTCCAGAAGGCCCCCCAGGCCCTCCTGGAGACAAAGAGAACTAGGGGCTGCTTCTAAAGGGCTCTAGGATCCTAGCTTCAACATACTGATTAGACTTCACGTTGTTTTGTTTCTTGGCATTCTGTTTTCTACTTGGTTTTCACCCTGGGTCTCTTTGTGGGTTTTCTTGGACAGAAATCTGTGGCCTGACCTCCTAGGGCCACAGGAGGTCCTTTTCTCATACAAAGGTGTGAAACTGTGTGGGTTGATGGAGGAAGGAGCTGCATGGGAACAAAGGCCTGGGGAGTGAGCCAGCGGCTGGCTCACTCACCCATCAGTGTGGTTCCCAGGGAGATCCCCGGTTGGTGTGGGTGTGCTTTAGCAGTTCTCCATACTTAGCTTCCTCTCTTTAACAAAGAATATAAGCTCTAGTCTCTATGACCTTGAGGAACATCTATCTACCCAGGATTTAATAAATTGTTTTCTTGTTTATATTTTTATGGCATTTATGGAATTGAGATTTTTAATATGTCTTTCTGACTTTAGAGTCAGATGGTTTCTTTCTAAATACATTTACCTAAATAGAAAGATAGGCTAAGCAAAAACAAATAATTAGAGCAAAGCAGCAACTTCCAAGAGTGGGGGTTGTGAACACCCACATCACCCAGGGCAGGGCTTCCAGACACTTAACTCTACGTCTTTCCTCTAGGCCTCCAACCACCATCTTGAGAATGGTGCACTTGTTACCAGCTTGTGGACAGAACCCTAATTTTCCAAGAGGCAAAGGAAGTCGCCCCACTGATGTAACAACTGGGAGCTTATTTCAAGTGGAATATTCTTTGCGCTATACCTTTCTTGCATCAAAAATTTGTGGAGACTCTGTTTGTGCAAAGGAAGCTCCTCAATGTGTCATTCTGATCTGGGGCCAGCAGTTTTACATATTTATAATGGAAGAGCCTCGCATCTGCCCAAGATCCACATTTTAATCTTGTCATTTCGCTCACCCAATCACAGGCTGCTGTGCTGTTTGTCAGGTGGCTCGAAACCAAAGCTGAGCGCCTGTTTTAATGAAAGCGTGATCATGGCGCTTTTTAAAAATTAAATATATGCAACCAATCTAATCACCTAAATTTATGTTGCTTGCTGTTAAATTTGGCAAGGAATTTGGCTGGGTAAAAGAGATGAATTCTATGGTAGAGAATTTTTCCCCCTTTTCTCTTTTTAATGTAAGATGTGGCAGCATTAATTAAATGGGGTCTAATGGTTGGATTTTTACCTTCTGCAAAAATATTTTGTGAATCATAAATTTCCCCTGCATTGTTTGGTGCTGCTGGCCTGGAAGAGAGATTTGGCAGCCCACGCTAGGACAGATGACATGGAGCGATTAGCAAGCTGACTTCAGCTGCTGGGGGCTGGGTCCTGAAAGAGCATGTTAATGTCCTCCATTTTGACATGCCGGCTGGACTTTTTTTTTTTTTTTTTTTTTTTTCCTGAGGAGCTGGCGCTATTTATGATTCCATTTTTATCTTTTAAATGCCATGACAGATGGCAGATTCTTCAGCCAACTCTATTGCCAGGAAATGCAGGAAGCTTGACAGCATTGTGGTGATGGTAAAATCAGACCAGGCAGGCACCCCCAGACAAATTCGAAGTCATTCCCCAAATTTCATGAGAATGCTGGTCATCCTGGCGGCATCTTTTCCCTGGGAGGTGGGGAACAAGGGAAATCAAACAAAATGGACCCACAGAAGGAGCTAATGCCTCCATATGGCCAGTCTCCTCACCTCAGAATGGACACTATTGACTTACAGAATGTGTTTGCAGGGTTTTGAGCAGAGACTTGGGTGAATGTCTTCGCTCGCCTTTTGCAGGCGGAGGCTGTGTTGACCTTGTTTCGTTGCTGTGCTAGTTTTATTCTGATGGAAATCCAAGCAGAACCGCTCACACTCTCTCTGTCTCTCTCGCCCTCTCTCTCTCCTTCTCTCTCTCTCTCTCTCAGTCTCTCCCCCACCCCTTCTCAATGCTTCTTTGCCAGTGAGTAGCTTTCATCATTACTCACAAAAATGGAATGATGTATTTGATTCAGTCATGTTTAGAAATTGCATCTTTTTTCACCCCTGACTTATTAGCTTTAGGTCAATGCAGACAGCTGCTTCGGTGTCCCAGCTGGGAGCACTGGCCTCAGTAAATGTATTTCTGACTCTTCCATGGTCCCTGGCCTGCTCACCCCCATTCCCATCTGTCAGATGGCACATTGCCTATTTCCCAGGTGGTCAGATTCCCCAGCATCAGGAGGGGAGGTGTGTGAGAAGGACAGCATGGCTCAGGAGACAATTCCAGTACCCTCACAGAGGTCATGTTTGGCCTTGACACTGAACTTTGAAAAACCTGTCTTCAAAAGACATTTTTCAGAACCGAGTCTCAAGTCAAATATTAAAAATGGCCACCCCAGAGGAGCCAGTCACTCGTTGTGGCTCATACTGAAACTTGTTCATCCCAATGCGTTTCACCTTTTCTTTTTTCTATCTTCTTCCTTTTTAGCTAATATTTAACAGCCTTTTAACGGGGCACAGACTCTTTAACTCTACAAGTCATGCTAATATTCAATATGCATATCATGAGGCTGAGGATATGGCTCAGTTGGTAAGGCTCTTGCTACACAGACATGAGGACCTGAGTAAAAGCCCAGTATGATGACACACATCTGTAATTCCAGAGCAGAGTAGGAAGAGACAGGCAGATCCCTGGAGCTCAGTGTCTGCCCAGTGTTGCCCAATTCATGAGCTCCAAATTCAGTAAAAGCCTTATCCTAATCAAACAAACAAACAAACAAACAGCATGGAGAGCCATTAAGGAAAATACCCGATGTCAGCCTCTGGCCTCCACACACATGTTCACCCACATACAAAAGTGCACACACCCACAGATACACGGAATAAAATTTAAGAAAATTATAAAACTGGACGTGTTGATGCAGAAAGCACATTTGCTGCTGGCATGTGATAGGGAGTAGAGAGCCATTTCATTTCAGAAAGGGGGTGGGCGTAATGAAAGGTGAAAGGCATGTTTCAGAGGGGTGAAGCGAGGAAAGAGGTCTTGGGGGCACAAAGGGGATGCCTCACTTCTTTCTTGCATCACTTTGGGATGTTGGGTAGACCCAGAAGAGGGGAGCATGTGCTAAAGGGATGGGAAGGAGGGAATGAAGTGGTCCTATGAGAGAGCTCGCCAGAGACACAGAGCTCAGCACTTACGCCTCACCATGCTCCCCCCTTGACCTATGAAGCCGTTGGGCCCAAAGAACACGCAGATATTTTTCTAGGTGCACTTGATTTTCATCAAATTTATTCGTCGATCAAAGGTTTATGTTCACTAAGGAAACATGATTGCCGAGTTTTTGATGTATAATTCACAGAGAAACTCAGTGTCTTTCTTCAAATTGTGCACACTGGTGCTTCAAAGGAAATTGCATCCTTTATAAACTCAGATTGGAGAAACATGAAATTTTTATTTTATTTCATTTAGCTAGTTTAACTTTGGGGACATAGACTGTTTCTCCTATGTGTCGCATCACATTTTCCTTGTAGGTAGTCTTTGTGGCTAGCTAATTAAAAGAAAACTCAAAATCTTTAGCCTTCCCTGAACATGGAAGCTACAGTAACATCTAGCCTATCAAGAAATGTCCACAGGCACAGCAGTGGCACAAATGTTATGGAAATAGCCAGTTGCTTTCTGGTTGGATTTAAGTCCCATGCCATGAGATGAAACTCATGTTCAGTATAAGTAATGGAGGCCAAAATCATGGCTGGCCAGGTCATAGGCCCTAGGGGAAAACCTACTACAATTATTCTGCTGAAGGGACATAGTCATAAACCTTCCCCTAAGTTCTCATCTTATTGTTGATGGCTGATTTATCTGCTCAGAAAGCACTTTTATATGCAATCTGTTAGGGAACAGAGAGCCATTTCACTTGAGAAATGGCAGAATGGACAACTAGTGTATCTTTGAGTTCTTTTAGAGAGCGCTCCCTTCCCATCCCCAGTAGACGGTTACTAATACAGGCCCGCAACTGGTCAATGTGTGGGAAATAAAGTACTGTGGAGTTCTCAGTGCCAAATAGGACATTGGCATCATTCCCCTCACCCTAAGTCTCAGGCTCTAGTTTCACAGAATGGGGGTGGTGGGGCAGAAAGATGGTGAGAGCCAGAGGTAGTGGAAGACTGCAGCAACACAGTATCTGCTGGGCATGGCAGGCCCATTGTGCAGAGGGACTCACAGCAGCCATGACTGCAAACACAAGCCCAAGCTAGCCGTAATGTTGGTACGGATGAGGGGGGCTCAAGGAGCCCCATCCCTAGCTAAGGAGCCATTAGGAGTTGATGGCTGCTAAAGGATAGACAGTCACTTTTTATCAGGGATGTTGACCCTTAAGAAGCTATCCATTCTCTGCTATAGTATCCTACATCCATGAACATATAGGTAGCAGTAAGTGAACTTGCTTATTAAAAAATAGCACAAGAAGTTGGGAGAGAAAAATAGTGGAGGGTTAGTGGGAAAACTGGAGAAGAGGGAAGGAGTAGATTTGTTCAAAACACATTGTAGGTGTGTGTGTGTGAAATTATCAATTTAACAAAACCTTTTAGTGTAGCTTTCAAAGCAAAGTCTGTACTCAGCCAACCCTGTGTGCCTTGATTTTTTGCTAAGTATGCTTCTTGCCCCAGGAAGGCTGGTTTCACAACCTGATTTCAGGTTCCTCCATGCTCCAAAAGAAATTATCTACCCTAGGATCCTGAAGCACAAGAACCAGTTCATGGAGGAAACAGAATTTCCTACTCAAATATGTCATACTGGTATAATAAATGCCGCACTTTTTCTAGTTAAAACAAAGAGATATTTATGATTTAATGCTATATTCCAGTAAAATTCATTATTATGAATGTTCACATCCATGTGATAACACTCCACATGTTTTTGCCTCAGTGGAGTATGCATCCTGCGTATATATTCCAGCAACCATCAGTAGAGAGAAATTGCTAAGGAGCGCCTCTGAGTAACTTAGCACATTCATTCCTTTGGTCTGTGAGAAACTGTCAATCTCATTTGACAGTAGGAAATTTCTAACTTTTGGGGATTTTAATATTGTATCTTACTTTCGTAAGTTCACAGTCTCCTTTCCCTTCAAACACCATGAGCAAACGCAGTTTAGAGGAAAGGACTTATTTGGAATGTGCCCATGGTTGAGGGAAGTCGAGGCAGAAACCCAATCAGGAATGTGAAGTGGAAACCATGCTCGATTGCTACTTCCTTTACTGGCTTGCTCTCACGGACTCACGCTTAGCTGGCTCTATTATGCAGCCTTGGATCACCTACTCAGGGAATGATGCTGCCCACAGTGGGCTAGACAATTTACAATTTACAATCAAGCCCACCCCCCTCAAACGTGCTCCCTGGACAGTTCCTCAGTGGAGACTCCCTTTCTCAGGTGATTTCAGACTACCTCATGTTGGCAGTTAAAGCCAACTAGTATAGTTTGTGCTAGTCTTAAATTTCTTTAAAATGGAAACAATATGTTGAATTTTCACCAGAATCTAGTGTTACTGTGTGACTGACTGAAGTGAATAGAATAGACTTAGTGATTGATATAAGGCAAGCATATACCCAAGATTGTATGAGTGGTCATTGTAAGAGAATGTGTTTCTTTTTAACTGTCCTTTTCAAAGTGGCCATTGATACTTAGGGACTACAAGTCTTGATTTTGTGTGTTGTGTGTGTGTGTGTTGCGGGGGGCAGGGGAGGGGGAGTGTTGAGCTATTGACAGAAAACTCTGTAAGAGCATAGTGTGTGTAGACAGATAGTCTGGATTCCTGCACTAACTGCAGCTTCCTGCTGCCCCCCCCCCCAACCAGATGTCTAAACTTCTCTTTTCAGCAGGGAAAGGACCCTTGTCTATTGCGAACCCTACATACCTCAAATGAAACACGTGTAGACTCTCCAAGGTTAGAGTCTCACATAATCCCGTGATATTGGGTGGTGTCCAGTGTTGATGTGACTTACCCTCTCATCAGTGTACAAAAGCATGACAAGAGGCCCACAAAGGAGACTGGGCTAGAATAGAATGCTGTTGAATAACGTGATCTGTTTTTTTACAAACATTACCATTAGCCAGGCCCTGATGATACAGGCCTGCCTTCCCTGCTACTTAGGAGACCCAGGCAGGCAGATTCAAAGTTCAAGGCTGGACTAAGCTGCATAGTGAGTTCAAGGCCAGTCTGGGCAAGTTAGTGAGTCTATGTCTCAAAAAGTGAAAAACAAACAAAAAACTGTTTGGCTCAGTTAGTGGGTCAAGTGCTTACAAGGCAAGCTGGAGGCTCCGAGTCCAGATACCCAGAATGTATGTGGTGTCAGATAGAGTAGAACACATCTGCAGCCCCAGCACTCCTATGGGAAGATGGGAGACAGAGACAGAAGAATCCCTAGAAGCTTGGAGGTGGGGCTGCTAGCCTGGTAAACATAGCTGTGAACAACAGGCCTTGTTTCAAATAAAGTGGAAGGCATGATCTGACACTGACATGGAGATTGTCTGCTGGCTCCACACATGTGCTGTGGTGTGCATGCATACACAGACAGACAGACAGACAGACAGACAGACAGACAGACAGAGAATTTTTTCTTTTCTAAAGTAAAACAAAAACAAAACAAGTTTGGCCATGTAGTACAGTGATAGGGCACCAGACTAGCATATGTGAATCCCTGGGTTAAATACCCACTACTACAAAAACATGAAAACCCATACATTAGAATGAGTTAGTCTACTGAGTATTTTATTTTGCTGGGGTCCCAATAACCAATCTTTAAAGTTAAGTTTTCTGCATTCCATGAAAAGATATTATTGCAAAAATATATGAGTACATGTTAGCTACTCACACATTCTTTCCAGCTGGGCAGGAATCCCTTTTGGTACAAAAGATAGCACCGAGATTGTCTGCCTCACATAGGAGGGGCATCAGTGGTGTTGGGGAAATACTCCTGGCCTTAGGATGTTCACCTTGTATACTGCCCAGCAACTGGTTCAAAATCAGAAGGGCATTCTTCTGAAAGTCTGTCCTTGCCTTTTCCTTTGAGTCTCAAATCAGCATGTCCCTTAGTAAAGGTTTGTATGTTATCGTTTCATTCCAGTCGATGGTGACACAAGAGCCCATGCTGAAGGCTGCCTTGCCTCTCTTTGCCAGATTTACCATCAGCAATGGACTGCAGACCCAGCATGGGGTGTTTGAGATCACACTGGAGACTGTGGACAGAGCCTTGCCTGTGGTGTCTAGGAACAAAGGGCTGAGGCTGGCTGAAGGGGCCGTGGGTCTACTCTCTGCTGATCACCTTCAGCTGACTGACTCTGACACACCTCCAGCGAACCTAACCTTCCTTCTGGCCCAGCTCCCACGCCATGGGTACCTCTCCCTGAGGGGGAAAGTGCTTCGGCATAATTTTACTCAGCAAGATGTGGACAGCAGGGGTGTGTCCTATCAGCACTCAGGAGGCCGCTCCCAGGCAGACTGCTTTACTTTCCGGGCCACCGATGGGAAGAACCAAGGCTTTGTGGTGGATGGGAAAATCTGGAAAGAGCCTGTTTTCTTCACCATCCAGGCAAGTATGGCAGGCATATAGTTTGTGCCAGAGATGAGGAGGAGAGTTTGTGCCAGGAAGTGGTAGTTCCTTACTTCCATCCCCCCTGGCATTAAGAGTCAGGTTGCAGCAGACCAGGCTGTCAGGAAGACTGTGCAAGGGGCTGACCCCAACAACTGGTGAAGTGTGGGAAGGAGCAAAAACATGGGCCTTAGAGTCAGCAGGCTTAGGTTTGAATTTCTGTTTTACCGTTTATTGTCTGGGAAAACTAAAATGAACTCTTCAGCTCCTCCTGCCTTAGTTATAGTCCATGATCAAGGAAGCGTATAGAAGGCATCTGATTAGGGCCTTGCTTACAGTTTCAGAGGGCTAGTCCATGACCATCATGGGACGGAGCATGGCAACAGGAGGCATGGCACTTGAGCAGTAGCTGAGAGCTCACATCCTGATCCACAAGCCCAAGGTAGATAGAAAGAGACTGGGCCTGGCATGCACTTTTGAAACCTAAAAGCCTACCCCTTCAACAAAGCCATACCTCCTAATCCTCCCTAAACAGCCTACCAACTAGGGAGTTAGCGTTCAAACACGTGAGCCTATAGGGCCCTTCTCCTCCATACCCGCCATACCTCCTAGTCTTTGAAAAGTATGCCTGCAGAATTGTGGCATACAGAATAAAATTAAGTATCCAAGGCACTTGCACACTGCCTGAAACAGATCGAAGGTACATGCTAGACATTTGTAGCTACAACGATGCCATTAAGGACTCTGCTTAGTGAGGCATATCATCGTGTGGCACTTTAGAGATTTTCAAACAATCACGTAAGTGTGGGAACTTACAAGGCTGCATCAGTGTCACCCAGGCAATAATAGTAGCAGCAGCTACAAATATTTTTCTACCTTTAATTCTTAGACTGTGTCATGTACCTATAGAACACATCTTAATTATTTGCATTCCCCATGCCCCCCTTTTATCACCCTCCCCTGCCCGCTGAAACCATTCCCCAACAACCCCCCTCCAACACTTTCATATCTTTTTGTGTGCGTGTGAGCCACTGAATTTAATTAGTGTTGCTTTCATGAGCATGGGTAGGAGGTTATTCATTGGAGCATGGGGAACTTACTAACAGCTACACCACTGAAGAAAACGATGCTGTCTCTCCCCCAGCAACCATTAACTGCCAATGGGCCCATAGGGAGTAGTGGTGGTGTCTTGTGCTCCTTCCCCCACCAGTGATGAAGTGAACATGGGCACAGTCTTGTGCAGATAACCAGCTGCCTTGTGTTTTCGAGGGCTGTGACCCTGTCATGTCTAGATGTCTTTTTTTTTTTATATAGAATATCTCTTCCCCATCCTCTAGCTCTTACATGCTTCACAGCCAAAGGCTTTTTAAAATTGTTATCTAAAGAGCAGACCTACTTGGCATAAATCTCAGTTGATTTTCATAAACATTTTATGCGGTAAGCTTTATTGTCTACATTTTATACATAAAGAAACTGAATATCAGAAGCTAAATAATTTGATCAAAGACATCAAGTCTGTTTGATTCCAAATTCTGTGTCCTTCCTGTGGCTCCATACCGCCACATTTGTTGACGCTCAATGATTCTTGGAGGGCAGAGTGTTTTTCCTCTTCTAGTCAAAACACATCAAGTATGTTCTGGCTCTCAGAACTCTTAAATCTACTCTTCTTGGATGGAGTTCACCCTGTTCCACACACTTCAACCAACACCAACAAAGATGCGATCTTGTCTCTACTTCAGGATATTCTGACTAGTGAGATAATCATATTTTCTCCTTGCTCTTTAGCCTTTGTTAGGTTTCCCCAGAGAAATGTATGTCTGCACATGTTGTGAACAGTATCCATGTATCTGTGTAGACAGACCATACAGATTGATAGAGTGTGATAGAAAGTGTGGGTGTATGAAAGACAGAGAGGCACATAGGAGACATTAGTTATAGAATTGTCTCATGCTATTATGGGCCCAGACATGCTCAAGATATGTTGTGTAGGCAAGCCAATAGACTAACACTTGTAACTAAGGTGGTTCTGAAAGGAGTGGAGAGACAAAGCTGTTGTTTCTTTGGGGAACCCGGGTCTTTTCTCTTCAGGCTGGCAATGGTCTAGGTAAGGCAACAGTCTACATTACCAAATCCATGGAGTTAAATGTTGGCTGAAACACTCATCTGTAGACCACCTAGGTCTATGGCCTAGAACACTTGGCTCAGAATTGACCTTCGGAGTCTCTGGGTGTGGGTGATTCTTTGGCACTATGAAGGCTGAGGAAATGTAATGAGTTGCATATACCCAGGGAGATGGTGTTGATGTCACTGATATACAGTCACTGAGGTGTCTACCAAAAAATATCTTTCTGGATTTGTTTTCTGGAAATTTCTAAGAGCTACAAATTCTACATGCAGACCCAGCTGCTTCCTGTACTTCCAGAGATGGAAATGAGGGTGGAGTAGAGAGAATGTGCTAGAATTGAAACAGATCTCTGCAACAGAGTGCTCCTCTAAGAACAAAGCTATTCTAAGAGTCTCTTTACTCCCTGAAATTGTGGAAACTGTTTGCTGGGTATAGTAACTGCAAGATGTCCATTGCAGAAACAAACAAACAAACATTGTGTTAAACACTTACAGGGAAAGCCTAAGATTTTTGTCTGAGTATTTCCTTGACCCCCCCCCCAGTCCCTTAGAGCAAAGGGGTCCAGCAGCTTTTTATGAAGCAACAGGCTCTGCCAGCAATGTAGGAGAGAAGACAGCCTCAGTGTCCTGCTTCCAAGAGCTATTTTCGTCAAAGCAATACAGGATTTATTGATCACCTCATATATGCACTGGCCCATATATGTGACTCAAGCATAGACGAATGGGTTTTGTGTGGTTACATGAGCAACCAAGGGCAAAGCTCATGGATCTAAAAAGTAAAAATAAATAAGTAAACGAAGGATGTACTTGACCAGTAGCAGCAAGCACACTTGACCTCCATTCTGTATGAACTCACAAAGGCCTAAGATTGTGGAAATCTGTAGTTCTCCTGTGAAGGTGACAAGACTGTGTGGAGATCAAAGGACCTACCATTGTTTTCTATGGGACTAACCTGTCTGGGAGAATTTCCACTGAATTCAACTCCAGTTACCATAAGATAGACAGAGCCTTCCTTAAAAATAAAATGTCTTCCCCAGTAACATCTCATAACCTTCTGGTATACCAAGTCAAAGACCTGCTGTCATAGGAGCAAACTGTTTTAATATATCTGAGCACGCTGGTCTGGCCACAGGCACAACAGAGGACAGAGGTGACTGGAGTTTATATAGTGATACATTTTTTAAACCATTGACCACAACAGGCAGTTGTTAGTTTTGTAACACTTGGGTTTATAAGAAAAATATGACATCAAAAGTAAAAATAACAGCCCTACATTCAGCTGCCTCATGTTCCAGGGGATCCTAATATGGTTTTGTATAGTTTCCTTTTCCCTCTTCCACACTGCCATGGCTGGAGAGAGTCTCTCCCTAGGAGCTCATCAGGACATTCACACCTTACTCCCTGCCGAGCCCCAAAGTGCTGAAAGTCCCAGCATACAAATTTCAGATCCAAATCGATTAAGATTTTTTTTTAATAACCAAAATAAATCCAAAAAAACATAAATATACCTTTTTTGCATTCATATGTGTGTGGCATGTATAATGCATATTGTAAATGTGGAAGCATGTTTGTGTGCCCCTGTGTGCATGCATGCCCATCTGGTGGCTAGAGGCTAACTTGGGGTGTCTTCTTGGTCACCCTATTTTACAAAGGCAGGGTCTTTCTTGTTGAACATGGAGTTTACTGATTCAGCTAATCTGGCTAGCCAGCTTGCCCTAGGGATTCCATCTCTGCCACAGCCTTACCTGGCCATCCAGCACTCTCAAAAATCTAGTCCCGTTGCTGAGTCACCTGATCTTCAGCTTCAGTAAAACAATCCACAGTCTAAAGATAATTACTTATGGTTTTTGTCATAAATGTTTTCCCTTTTTCTATTCAACATTTTTGCCATTTAGACAAAGGCGTGTACAAAACAAAGCAAAAACAAAATGAAAGAAGGGAAGAAAGGAAGGAAGGAAAGGAAGGAAGGAAAGGAAGGAAGGAAGGAAGGAAGGAAAGAAAGAAAGAAAAAAAAAAGTGAGTTCCAAGACAACCAAGGCTACACAGAGAAACCCTGTCTTGAAAAACTCAAAATCAATAAAACAAGCAAACAAATACTGAAAAGGAGGCATGTAAAAAGTCTATGGCATTTGTAAATAGTTATGATTCTATTTATATAGTTCATTAAACACAGCAATTCTTTCTGTGATGCTATCACTGGATTTGCTATGTAATTCATGGATCAGTTTTAGCACATTCCACCTGCTTTTGTTATGGTTTAGACATCCTGCCGGGTGCTGGAGTGGGCATTGGGGTGGGAGATACAGTATTTCCCTTCATAAAACTAGTATTGTGTGGAGAATCAGACACCAGACAAACCATAAAGCTGGGTGAAGGTTTGTGGTGGAAACTAAGCCTCTACCTGAGTCTCTGTATTTGTTAGGACTGGTTGAACGAGACAGGCTTTAGCAGAAACCAACAGATGAAGACATCAGGTAATCTGTAAATTGAGGAGTTGCCATTGTTGAACTATGAGAGCCCTACATAGCATAGGGAGAGAAGTCCTTGAGCAGTGTCACCTTATGATTCAGGTGGACCAGCTGGACAAAGAGGCACCCCGGATCACACGCCTGCACTCCCCTTCTCAAGTGGGGCTCTTGAAAAATGGCTGTTACGGGATTTACATCACTTCCCATGTGCTGAAGGCGTCAGACCCAGACACGGAGGATGACCAGATCATCTTTAAGATTTTACACGGCCCATTGCATGGACGTCTAGAGAACACAACCACAGGTACCCTCCATCTTAATCCTTGCAATCCTCCTTTTAAACTACTGGCTGCTGGCAGGACTAGAGAGTAACTCAATTAAGTGCAGGCCCGTTTGGTGAGTGTTCTCCAGGACTTGCTGATAGATTCAGCTTCTAAACCAATATTGTTGCTAATGGGGATCTGAAGCAGCACCTTCTACATTCATCTTCATAAGGAGAAACAAATCCCCACCCACAGAACTCAACTGGTCACCATTTTGTTGTTATTTTTGTTTGTTTTTCATGTTGTTTTCTATCCAGAACACAGTGCCAAGGCCAGATTGATATTGAAGACTAATTTCTTTCTTCTACTATGAATCTTAAATGATATTGGCTCCTTTTTTAAAAAAATCTGTGTTTTTTTTTTCCTAATGGTTTCGCTACATTATATGTTATTTTTTCCTTCAGGAAGGCAATGGTCACAATACCTCATTAAATGGGATAGCACAGAGGTGACAGGTTTTATTCATTTCCTATTTTCTTTCTCTTTAGTACTGTAAGGCAAATATCTTTGAAGGAAAGCAAATTTAAAGATGAATTTGAGTTCACTGCATTTGAATTTTAATATAGCTGCAATAATGCCAATTTCTTTCTTTCTTTTTTTTGTAAATAGACTTTTGCTGTTTCGTTTTGAAACAATGTCTCATGTAGCCCTGGGTGGCCTCAATCTTGTTATGTAGCTGAGGATGATTTTGAACTTGTGATCATTCTCTTTCTACCTGTGTCACAATGTGGGATTTTAGGTGTGTTCCGTGCATGCTAGGCAAGCACTCTACCAACTGAGCCACATCTCCAGTCCTGAACTGTTCCTTAAAAGCTGTGTTTCAAAACAAAAGAGCTGTGTGATTTTATTAATTCTTAAGTGACTTTGATTCAGTGACCTGTGAGATTCATTTAGATTTTTGCTTGTAGGTGAATTAATCCGTGAGCAATTTAGCCAGAAGGACTTAAGGAGTAAGACCATTCTTTACATCATAAACACATCTTTGCAAGTGGATACAGATATCCTGGAGTTTCAGATCATGGACCCCACAGGGAACACTGCCACTCCTCAAAGGTGAATTCAATTATACACTGGTTCTACGTGTCATGTTTAAAATGGATCCCATTAAGAAAGTAAAACAATCTTTTCCAGATCAGACATAACAGTAAACTGGCAGACTATTTTATATGCTCATACAATTATTTTTTTCAGAAAAGATCGCTGTTGCATTATTTCTAGATGATGGAAAAGCCAGTAGCTTTCCAGATTATTAAGACACTAAAAGGTTAATCGAACCATATCTTTTATATCGTGCCTTTCTCACACTGAGAAGTTGCTGCCTGCGGGCTTTCAGGACTTGAGCTCAAAGCCCGTGTGTACATGCGGCAGCCAGAGGTCACTCTAGGACCGTGTTAGCCACCACTAGCTCCTGAACTATTGGGTGGGTGGCGGTGGGATGAACTAGGAAGGAGCAGCCAAATATATTCTCTTACAAAAAAAGAAAGAAAGAAAATATGCGGGTGCTTCTGCAAGTTGACAAGCCCTATAGGCAAGATGAAGGTAGTATAAACAAAGAGTAGACTTGAGATTTAAGGAGATACTGAGTGGTTTAAAGACATAAATATATGTATGTGATGTTGAATACTCAATACCGCAATATTAACGAGACTGGCAGAGCAGAGTGATTTCAGTGTCTGCACCTCCTTTCCAGATGCTTCTCGGGGATAGACCTTTAATAATTTACTGGCTGGCAGATGGTCAGAGTGAAGGCCCAGCCGTCCGTTTCTTGCTCTACATTAGTTTTCTTTATTCACTGCCTTTCCCAGACTTCTCTCTCCTTAGAGAGAGAAGTTACTCATTTCTTCTAAATCTTAAATTCACCATATCTGAAGCGTATAAAATAGCATAAACGAGCACCCCACCCACTATGCTCCCTCTATGATGAAATGTGGATGGGGGAAGAGAAATGTGATGAGGAAATGTCCTCAGTACAACTGCTTTTCTTCCCTCGTCCTGTAGTGTAGTTTCACTATTGGCCAGCAGAGGCTGCTATAGTCGTTGTTAGCAAAGACTGGCATCCTGTAGCTGAAATCTGTTCCGTCCCTGCCTCCACTGCCTGATCAAGGGCACTCCTTCACCCAGGTCTATAAACTGACCCAAGAGACTTTGGTCCTGTGGCTGCCACATGCCAGGCTCATAGCACCAGGACTTAGGAAACAGGTAAGAGCAAGGAAGACCGAGCTATAAACTAAAACAAATGCTCCCCACCCATTAGACTGCCTCTACCCAAGGGGACTGATTCCTGGGCACCACAGTCCTCGAGTGGATGGATAGCAATGATTTGCTTTTTCAAACAAATATCTCTGTTTTCATGAAAAAAAAATTAAACTTGGATTCTAAAAATATTCATGAATTGACTTCACTCAGCTTTATAGTCTTTTTAAAAATTATTCTACTCAAATGTATAGTATTGATCAGACTTGCTAGTGCAAACCTGTGGTCCCCCACATGCCAGCATGGTGTGGGTGACAGCATGTCCCCCCCAGCGGTGACACTAGGTTTCCTTGCACACATACCCTTTTTTTGCTTTATTATTGTCATGGACTTCGCTTCGTGAAGATGCTTTATGTCTTTAGGTAACCATGAAAGTTACTTTAAAAAGTCACAGCAGAATTTACTTCACGTTGGATAGCAGAGTTATCACTTCTCTGGAGGCTGTTTTGGATTGGCATCCCGGCTTCTGAAAGGATCACTTTTCACAAGCTCATGCTGGAGATGTTCCTATCACCTCGAAATGGCTAGAACCCGTGAAGAAAAAAATGCCTGCAGACTGCTAATACAAAAATAACTCAGATTTGGTTCCAACATGCTTTATGTTATTTTCTTTTGAGTGGGTGGGGAAGTAGAAATTGCTCAGCATTTATCTCAGCATTTGAGTGGAATAGTTGTGCCCAAGTAGATTTTTTCCCCCTGAAACTATTCACACATTTTTCTGATAACAAATAAAGGAAGGTGGCCCAACTCAGAGGTGAATGTTTAGGCCTGATCCTCTGAGCTTATTCCTTGGGTCTAACTCTCAAGAGTTGTCTTCCGACTTCTACAAAAGAATGGTAGCATTCTTGTGCCTGCACATACACACACACACACACACACACACACACACACACAGAGAGAGAGAGAGAGAGAGAGAGAGAGAGAGAGAGAGAGAGAGAGAGATTAAAAAAAGAAAAAAATCTAAATAGTGATTTGTCTTCACAAATCATAGGCGTTTGGAATTTCATTATTTTTAGCTCTATTTGATGTTATTCATTTAATCACCAAAACCATGTATAGTTGGGTCCCATCATATTCTAGGGTTTGCAGGCAAAGAAACAGGCACAGATCTGGAAGAGACTTCCATACTTATTATGCAGCTGCTTAGTGTGGGAACTGGGGTTCAGTCCTCATTGGCCCAGGTGGCCTGCCACTCTGCTCTGTCCCCCTTGCCCTTCCTTAATGCTGGCTTAGCCCTTCTTTCCCTGTAGGCATTACACATCTAAGTTATAAGGAAAAGGGAATATTTACCCATCAAGGACCTTAAGGTTTAACTGGGTTTTTGTGAAAATGTGAATAATTGCAACATTAGTATGGCCTCCATATCTAAAGCCCCTGGAATTATAGGATAGATAGTTGTCCTTTGGACATGAAGTGAAATGCATTTTGGTCCCACCAGTTAGTGATCGTTGACAACAGCTTTCTGACTTTTCCAATGGGGGAATACTAGAGTTACTTTAGTTAAACAAATAAGGTCCAACAACAGAAGAATCTTGTATTTGAGTTCTTAGCAGCCCTTACTGCTAGTGTTAACTCCCCTGAGTATTTATGTTAATTCCACTGACTGTTTGAAGAAGTTTCCTGAAATATTTGGTGGATTAAAGCCTGTCTCTAACTGGATATTGATTTTAGGGTGATTCACAAAGCTAACAGTCCATACGGTTATATTCACAATAAGCTAAAAGCTGTGTTTTGCTATTGTACTTTCCATGCATTATCAGTCTTGAAGGAAGGATAGATGGTCTATTTCATCAAACATAGGAAATTTTGTTGTGGGTGAGATTAATCAAGTTACTGGCAGCTGGCTAGTTGGTGAGTGTGTTTAATAATGTCACATCAAAATTCATCAAGCTGATCATGTGATTGGGAGTCTATGAGAAATGGCCCCCTGCGCAGCACATCTCACCTTAACAGGCTACAGGGAGACCTCTCTTCGCTTCCCCTCCCCCATCCAGGTTAGTGCAGCTGACAATTTGTCAAGGACCACATTTGGGAGACGCTGTCATAAACAGAAGCTACTTTATAGCACTTAACATCCATGGATGTTTGTCTCAAGACTTAGACTTGGCTAAGTGCCTAAATTCTAGGCGATGTGTTAGGTGCTTGAAACACAATCCTCCAAAGATAATAAGGAAATTAGACTCAAAGCATTGAAGTAATTCTCTCCAAGCCAGCGGAAGAGTGGCAGCTGGGTGTGAACCCTGACCACCAGGTCTCAGAAAGCTCATCTCTTATTGGTTCTGGCCTTGGCGTGACTCACTCACAAGCTTGTTCTCTTCTCTGGCTCAAGTTGCCTCTCCAAATGAAGTGCAGAAGCAAGGCCCACAGGGCCCACAGCACTCATTGAAAACATCTTTGTAGACCAGAAAATGAAGCCAACTTACACCAGTGTAATTTTCTTAGTACGTGTTCCATGTGGACGTCTTTATTGTGCCCTACCAAGCCCCCCCCCCAAAAAAGAAAAAGAATTAACTTCAAAAGAAAAGTTGGTCCCCATGGACCCTCCTGGTCCAGCGGCCCCTCCATAGCACTGCATCTTGTACTCTTCAGCAACTGCACCCAGCTGTTCTGTTAGAGTCCTGGCCTCAAAAGAGAAAAGTCAAAAGGGATGTAAAAGGAAAGGAATTTCTATCAGGCAAACTTTAAAACAGTTAAACAGCTTTTATGAAACACCTTGTAGGGGGAGAGGTTGAAGCCATTTGCTCACTAATGCCTGCACGGTGTCTCCAGCCCAGAGTTTGCACATTTATCCCCAGTCTAGAGCTAAGAAAAGCACAGAGGAAGGGAAAGAAAATGGCACTTATTAAGCACCCACTGTGTACAGGTGCTTTGCACACATTAACTAGTTTTGATTTTAATGGTTTGACGTGAGTGTGGTTATTCTCATTTTAAGATAATGAAATCTGAAGCCTAGAGAGACAGGGGAACTGACCGCGTTCCCACACTAATGAACAGCGGCAAGTGTGACTCGGAAGAGCTCGTTTTCTCCGCTCTCCCTGCTGCTCTCGGCTAACCGCTCCCCACTAACTGGGAAACACAGGTGTTCAGAGTCTGAGGTTATCAGGCTTAATAGCCCCGTCTCTGAACTGACAAACCTTAGATAGAATGCTTGGAAAAATACTTCTTAGCATATTTTTCTGAAGTCATACGCTACCTGATTATAAGTGAAGATCTAGTTGTAGGAATAATGACTTAATCATAATTTCAGCTTCTATGAGACCTTTTAACTGAGAAGCTCGCCATAGCTAATGAGCACTCCTGGAAGTTCATTTAACCCCTTTGATGTGTGACTTGTCTTTAGCATGCTTTGAGAAATGGGGAAACCGAGGCAGGGAGAGACCGAAGCACTCTTATTAACCTAGATTGATGTCCCAGATCCCAAACTAATGTTCTAACCCTGAGTGTTTCTTTCTGTTTATTGTTCCTTCATATGCATGAATCAAATAGCTACAAGATAAAATATCAAAAAGCATAGATTTAAAAAAAAAAAAGTGAAACAAGCCCTCTCAGCGTTGACACTGTCAGTGTGCAGGGAAACAGAATTCTTTGTCATAAGCCATAGCTGTCCTGTGCACAGCTGGTGAGTAGCATCCCTAGGCTCCACTCACTAAGTGCCTGGACCACCCTTCTGCCACTGCGACAGTCATCACCATCTCCAGATATGCCTGGTGTTGAGAACTGCAGTATGCTTCAGAGAGTAACATCGGTGCCTGGTTAATAAGCCACGCTTGGCTGCTAAATACCTCTATTGGTGCTGTCTTTTCTCTCTAACGAGGTCAGAAGAGTAGTCAAAGAGTACAGAGTAAGTCGAGGTGATAAAGGGCATGTGAGACTTTCCTGGCCCAGAATTATTTTCAAGGTGTATGAAAGAAGCTAACCCTGCTGGGAAAGAGCATTGCTGGCAGTCTCTCAGCTCAGGAAACAGCAACAGTATGATGGACAGGTAATCGTCCAGTACTCTGTGACACTGTGTGTCTTCCACACTCTGCAGTGAGTTGTCACACACAAGGAAGTAAAGGCTGTTCCCAAGGACAATGTGTTATACACGAAAACGTAAGTCAGGGTAAAGGCAATTGATGAAAATTAGACTTTGGCAAAGAATATGCAATGTCCATGAGATGTCCAAACACTTTTTCTTGTGTCTGACTGCTTCAAGTCACTGAATGGCAGAGGGACCAGAAGCCTCAGAACATGTGATCCAGTCTCATTGTCTTCTGTTTCCAAAAGTGGTTGTTGGTGGCCAAAATGTATTTCATTTAGAATCACCCCTCTGCTGTGCTGAGTGTCCAGTGTGGTGGCTCTCAGCTGAAGGTGTCTTTCTTCCCAGGGACACCTGCCAGTCTACAAATAGTTTTGATGGCTGGGAGCATGGGAAAGTGAGAAACAGTATCCACTGTGGAAAGATAGAAGGTGCAGCTAGACCTTCAGAGTCTAGGCTGCCTGGTGTGGTGGTGCATGCCTTTGATCCCAGCACTCGGAGGCAGAGCCAGGAGGATCTCTGTGAGCTTGAGGCCAGGATAGTCTACAGAGAGGGGAACTGACCGCGTTCCCACACTAATGAACAGCGGCAAGGTGTGACTCGGAAGAGCTCGTTTTCTCCGCTCTCCCTGCTGCTCTCGGGGGAGAGAGAGAGAGAGAGAGAGAGAGAGAGAGAGAGAGAGAGAGTTAGTTCCAGGATAGCCAGGGATGTTGCACAGAGAAACCCTGTCTTTAAAAAAGAAAGGAGGGAAGAAAGAAAGAAAGAAAGGAAGGAAGGAAGGAAGGAAGGAAGAAAGGAAGAAAGAAAGAAAGGAAGGAAGGAAGGAAGGAAGGAAGGAAGGAAGGAAGGAAGCCGTAACTCTAATGTCCACAGTGTAAGATGTAAAAGGCCCTGGCCTAGGGGCTCCTGCCAATCGGCTTGAGAAGTTCACCAGATGTGTTTCACACAGGGTACATTGCTAGCTTTCATGTCTTCCCAGAAGAGGGTCTATTAGATGTGAAGACATCTATCCAACCTTATCTATACAATATCTACATACACAGAACTTCCAGATTGTTCTTATAGATCCGGCATCTAAGTGTCTACCTAATACCAAACCTACAGTCATGTAGATTCTTGCAGAGAGACTTTGAAAGTGGTTGGCTACATCTTTTCTCTTTTTTTCCAGATATTTTTGTAGATTTTAAGATTAGAAGGAGCTTTGCAAATACATTACTGCAAAACAACTAAAATCACACTCAGTACATATTGCATATACCCTGAGGGTATAGGAGACTTTTCTTAAAGAATTTTTTTTTCTCTCAAAAGTATATAGCCTGGGTTAAGTTTCATGGCTTTCAATAGATTGTTTATAGTAAATAATTAAAGAAGATAGAAATAGAACATAACATTGTTTGATGACAGCCTTAACCTATAGGCATTAAACTAATCCAGACAATGCATCCAGAAAACACATATACGCACTCCCAAACACTAAGGCACTCTGTGCTCTGGAGTGAACTGTCCCCTAAATTGTCCCCTTCTTGATCTAGATCAGCAATCAAATTGCATTTAGTGTTAGTCCATGAGTCATGGGGGCCTGTACAGTGGTGCTGATTCCTGCTTACAATGGTTAGCATCAGCGATGCGTGGATCTGGAGAACTCAGCTTTGGAACTCACTTGACTCTCAGGAGTCAGCTCAAACCACTCCGCATATATGCATGTATCGGTTTCCCATTTATTCCTCTGCCCTCTCACTCAATCACTTTTTTGCTTTCTTGTTTTCCTGGGTCCTTTAGGAATTCTTTGCAACCTATCATTTCTACTGGCATTTGAATTGTCCTTATTGACTGTTATTTTATTACTTTTTCAGCATAGTTTTCTTTTATTTCTCGATCTATTTCATGCTAGACTTAAATTCTTTTGCATCAAATACCAGTAAGTGAACCAGTTATTTTTTAGTATAATGGTGCTTTTTAAGTCATTTTTATGAAATCCAGGATGTACTAACAGCATTTCATAATTATTGAATAAGCACATTATGTGTACAGTGTACATATCTTATCATGAGTCCCTATGTTCTCTATGCCATGGCATTACTCCAGCCCTGTCATCCTCAAGTAAGAACCAGTGTGGCTGCATTTATTTTGTGGGTGAAACTTGTATGATGTGACAGTGACCTGTGACCCTTCAAGGAGGATAAACTAGTTGTTGAAACTTCCTGACCTTAGTCTTCATATATATATGACACACATATATATATATGACAATTTCCATCAAGTGTCAGATTTATTCATTGTATATCAGAAGTATTCATGAATCACATTCAGCTGTATGTAGTTGGCCCCTTGTGTCCTAGGGATTTTCCAGATATAACCAATCATAATTCAAAATTATTTATTAAAGAATTACATCATATTGAACATGCACAGACCCTTCTCTTGTCATTAGTCTCTAAACAATATAGTAAATCAGCTATTTTCCCTGTACTGTAAGTCATCTAGAGATGAAGTAAGGTACAAAGAGGGATATGTGTGTGACGTGAATGTCTATCCATGTCAGCATGTGGGGTCCTTGACCCACTCTTTGGTGGACACTGAGGGATGACTGGGGGTGCACCCAAACTGCACGTTATGGTATCCCTTTCACAATCACAGAAAGAGAAGTGGGTGTTAGATACAAAGCATGTAGACACAAGCACATCCTGAGGATAACTTTCTGTTCAAGTGAGCCCAAGCTCAGAGACCTCCATAAAATGAATGGACTCTTGAGCTTCATGCCTGTAGGTTCCTTCCTTTCACACACTCTACCTAGTCACCAATGACTGGCGGACTTTTGGAAACCTTTTAATCTTACTTATTTCATTGCTATAATTCCTGACGCCTTCTCTGTTTCCTCACAAGGTCATTATAAGGATCAAATAAGATAATGCAAAAGTTAGTTATGAACAAACACTGCAAATGAGTGTGAGCAATTTCTGTCACTGGCATGGGTTAGCCAAACTCCTTTGCTGCCATGATGGAACTCAGTGCTCAGTCACCCATCTAGCTGACCATACTGAGGGGCATACATACAAGTACCTTATGGTCACCTTTTTCCTTTTCTTCATGCACAGCTTGGAGCTGAAGTGGTCTTATATTGAATGGTTCCAGACTGAATATGAGGTTTGTGAGGATGTGGGCTTATTGCCCTTGGAAGTTACCAGAAGGGGATATTCCGTGGAGTCAGCCTTTGTGGGCATAGAGGTAACAACTCTAAAATGTAAATTGTCAAGACAGTACTTAGTGTTGTTGGTTAGTTCCTTTGATGATTTTCATAGAAAAACTCAAGGAAACGAAACTACAGGAGTATCACTATATGCCAGAGCTCTCAAAGTTTGATTTCACAGAGAGATGTGCCCAGCTTAGTGAATCTGTATTAAACTCCACCTTGAAAGGTGTGTACAGCCTGTATGAGGTGACTAAAGCAAGTATCGGTCACCCATTGTCCCCTAAGAATGGAATAGGACCACTGTCTATGCCTCAATAGATAAGGTAAAACAGGTGACATAAACCTATCTTGAGATGTATCTGTGTCGTGCAGAAGTCAAAGGGCACTTTGGGACAGTCACCAGCTATGGAAAGAGTCTTCACTTTGTCTCTTCTCGACAGAGTTGTTGTCCTTTCCCTAGGCTGGAGCACAACCTGTGGCCTGTAGAGTTGAAGGAGTTTGAGAATGTCCTCTCAGAAAGGCTTGCAGGGCCAGTTTATACGCTTCAGTGGAGAACCAGAAAAGACTCTACAGAGTGTGATGGGATGAGCCTCTGGGTGAGAGAGCATCTCTGATAGTTGCAGTTTTAAGAGTTAAAAGTGCCTCAATTCCCTGTGGACCTAAACCTGACCACACCCAGACTCAATGTGTATCTTTCTAGTGGATATAGGTCTCTGTGTCCTGGCCCTGCTGGTGTTTTATCAACTAAGTAGAAAAGCTGGCATTTTCCGTAACTCCAGGGAAGGGCCATGGGAAAGAAGAGAATTAGCCTCGCGGAGCTTTTTACCAATCCCCTAGTCCTTCACAGGAAGTGTTGCATATTTGAGTGAAACATTTAGGTCTATGTTACCACTCACCTTGACATGCGAAAAGAACCTTCATGGGACCTTAGTCTACATAAGTTGTATGAACCTGACAGCTACGTGTGCAGGCCTTTGTTAAGTACAATCCCTGAGGCTTCGGGGGCAGCTCCACATAGCGTATAACCTGCCATTTTACATAAGCTCTTATGGCCTACTTGGCTGAGAAGAGAGAGAAGATACATTTTGCCCTGCGCTGTTTGCCCTCTGAATTGTCCCACTTACCCGACCTGCCTTTCCAAACGCCTTGATTCAGACATGCTTTTCTGACTTAGGATTCTGTAAACTCGGTGGTGGTAAATACCAGGCAATTGCATGTGTGAGAAACATGCAGACAAATGTAACTCCGGCATATGGTGGATGCAGGTGTACAATGGGCTGCCTTTTCCCAGCAAAAGCTGGTGCAGGGGGCGCCTTGGCATGGAAGACAAAGAGCAAATGGAAGCTGGGAGGTAATCCCTTCTTCCGCAAGATGTTTCTAGATAGAACCATTAACCTGTTAGCATCTTGCCTGAGACCACAGGAATGGGCATTTCAGAGCTTCAAGTAGTATACTCTGTTTCTTTCACTGTCTTGACCGTCTTCGTCATCTTAAAAATGTACAAAGCTAACAACTGCCTGTGATGTTCACCCATGGTCTCGTTTGATGACCTTTTCCAAACTCACCACAGGCATTTTTTGTTTTTAACTGACATGATGGCTTCCCTTCGGGGCCTAAGACCATCATTTCAGAATCCTAAACTTGCCTCTTTAGATTTTAGTCCTGGATCACAGACCCAGTGGAGCTTTAGAATGGGGTAGTTTCTCTTTTCACAGCTTGCATGACAAGGTCTCTAAGGCTGTGGGTCCTGAGTGAAGAGTGCCTTCACGTAGCTTCTTACCAGGTCTGTCCGGCCCACAAAGCTCTCATTCATGTTGGCACAGAGTGATGGTTTCATCCTAACAGGAAAACAATGCTTGGGACTTGTTTGGTTAATGTGGCCTAAGGGCTCTCAGTTCCATGGAGCTTGCAGGAACCCTCAGAGTTGGCTAACAGTACACAGGCTCTCAGGGCTGCCCACTTCTCTCCACCCCATCCTTTCTTCATTTTAAAACCAAAAGGGGTAATGGAATAAAACGGTGCTCGCAACAAAGAGAACAATAAGATTTTAAACTTCATTTTACTTTTCCCAATAACTGGATACTTTTAAAAGGAGAAGCAACCAGTTAACTTAAAATAAATAAAAGAGGCATACCATATAGCCTGGACCCAAAATGGTTTATTATCATTTTAAAATCTTGCCTAACATTAAAAACAGACTTGAGACCGTGAATTTAGTCTGGTATGGTGAGAGAATAAATGTTTCTCTAGTGTAGAATATTTACTTTTATTATTTAAATGACATTTTTTTTCCACTAAGGTCAACCAAGTGTCAGCTGTAGTTGGAAAAGATTTTATTGTCACGCCATCCAAACTGATCCAGTTTGACCCAGGTACGTTTTGTGTTTACAGTTTGTTCCATGTTCTATAAGCAGTCTGGAGACTGCTGGGAAGACAGGATATTATGCAATTTCAGCCAAGTGGAGGAAAATAAGGAAGCTGTACCACTCTATTCTCAATAGACAAGTTTGGCCTTAAGTTCTGCCCTGTTATTTTTTTTATTACAAGTGAATATTTATTGAAATAGAAAAAAGGTCATAGCAAATCATAAACATAAAAAAAATAAAAGGAAATATACAAAACAATCCAGAAAAATAAGGTAATTTAAATATTATTGTAATATAATGGTAAATTAATAACCACGTATTTTAGTAGAAAAATTTCAAATGTTATGATTATATAGGTTCCTACTGACCTAAATGATCTCTTTTGAAATAAGTTGGTATAAGGTGCTTTCAGGGCAAATTATCAATTAATCGAATAGCACTTTGACTGATATCTGTAGAAAAATTCACTAGGTACAAAATGTAAAATATGAAAGTGTGGCTTCTTCTCCTGAAGACATGCTATTGTGTGCAAAGCACAGACATAAAAATATTAGTCAATAGCATAAGCAATGGTTCTAGGTAAAGACAATGCTGAAAGACATCCTGGGGAGGCAGCATTCTAGTGGGCAGGAGGGGGAGGAAGAGGAGCAGAAGAGGAAGGCTGAAGCACAAATACAAAAGCACACTTCCCTGGGGAATCTGCCTTAAAACAGGGAGGCTGGACACTGTCCTTCCAGGCTCGCTCCTGTAGATGGGCCCATCTGCCTCCTTGCTCTGCATGGCTCTCCCGCATTCCCTGTGGTCTGTGAAGTACCTGGACCACTCATCTATGAACAAATGGGAAAGCATTAGAGAATGAGCCAGGACTTGTGGGTTTGTGCTGTGCTGCAGAGGTGTTTGGCACCACGACGACCATCTACTGAGTATATAAGCTCATTTGACATCAAGATGACGAATGTCATTGTCTCCACATTGACAGTCTTACTGTTAAGAATGTGGTTGTGCTGTTCACAACAAGAAGCAAAACATATGAAGATTATATTGTTTTTCCATAACGAAGTATCAGAAACTGCCTTGCAGTTTCAGAAGCTGTTTAGTTCTAGTCTGACATGTGTGTCTGTGAGGGAGAATCTAGCCTGTTCCTTTCTTTTGTGCTTTTTGTGGTTTGCTGGTCCTGGCTCCTGCTGTACCATCCTGGCCCTTGTCTTAACCTTCCCATGATGCTCTCCTTGTGGATAAATCCTCCCTTGTCATAAAGACACAAATGAGCTTAAGTTAAGAGCTCTGTTCCACAATGACCTCGTGCTAACTCACTACTCCTGCCATTACCCCATTTACAAATAGGGTCCCATTCCGAGGTCCTGGCAGTTAGGTTAAGAAGACCTCAAAATAAAAGCTTTGGAAGTTTACAACTGGGACTGTTAGCAGGAACAGTAAATTTGACTGTAGCAGCTCAGATACTGTGGTCAGCCTCCTTCTCGGGTTATTTAGCTTGCTAACTTGGATGAAGTGATTTTCTAGGCTGACCACATTATCACTGGCTGCTCCAAATCTGATGTTTATCCTCAGGCTTCTGCAGCTTCTTCTGCCCTCAGCTCTACAGTGAAAGGGTTAGTGTTTTTCTTGTCTTCATTCTTTAAAGGACTTATGTGAAAGTCCATCATTCTTAAAGCATGTCCTTTGTATTATCTGTAGCCATTTGTTGCAAGTTAGGTTTGCAGTACCCTCCCCCCCCCCACCCCACACACACTGTTTGGGTTGAGAGGAACTAGAATGTATCACACCAGGGGAGACTCAGAAATTCATCTCTTGGGAGTCCACTGCATAAGATAAATGCCTGTTTGTCTAGAAGAGTTTACATGCTCTTTTGATAGCTACTAATGACTGGGAGGGCGGGGGCAGCTCCAAATGGTCTTGGGATTTTAGGGATTGCTTATACACTGAAAAATAATATAAGCATATTTTATACAATTATTAAAAGACACATGCTTGATTGTTTGTGATTTTGGAATGTATTAAGCCAGAAATAATTTCTTATCATGAAGCCTTACTTTAGAGAATTAAAAATTGCCCACATCCACAGGTCCTGTAAATATTTACATACTTTCATATTGTGAACCCTTCCTCTTTTAGATGTTCCCTGCTCCATTCTTTCCCTTTTGCTGAGAGCAATCTATTTCTCTGGAAATACCAGCTTTCCTGATGCTAGAGAAACAGAACAGGCCATCCTGTGCATGGCTTCCTGTGTTGGAGAACTCTGCCTGGGATCGGGTGAAGGCTTGTCCTGTAGCACTTCACAAGATCTTGCAAACAGGAATCCTGAGAATGCTTCCTGCTGTTGTGACTAACCTGAAGTGTTTAAGTGCCTGTGCAAATACTCTAAAGCAAATGGGTGCTTTTCTTTAGCGCTTGGGTCGCTGAAGGATTTGATGCATTCTTAATCAAATCTTCATCATTCTGAAAAGTCAAAATGTTTTCCAAAGGAACAGCTCTCTAATGTGGCATTTTCTAAAAAATATTGAGAAAATGTCTCTCAACAGAGAAATCTGCTTTGTAGGAAAATATCCAGTAATCCACTTCCTCTATAAATCAGGGTATGTTTATAAGAAAGGAACCTCTTCTCAACCCCAGCACCTTTTGTTTTCTGGAAACAGGGCAGGGACAGTTCAAGCCACCTGAAGACCCAGGTGTTTCTCAGGGAATTAAGGAACACTTTGCACCTGCAAAGTGGAGAAAGCAGGGGACCAAACAACATGAAATTTCTACTCGAATCTCGTTAACCTGAGATGGTGACCCCCACACCTGGGAGGCTTGAATCAAATGTATGCTAACAAATCAGATGCTCTTAAAAAACTCAGAAGAAAGCTCTTTCAACTATTTGGTTCTGTTCCATAAGATGCAGCAAATACTTTTAAGGCCCTTTTGGGGTTTTTGTTGGTTGGCTGGTTGGTTTCTTTGAAAATGATACTATCGTTTTTGTAAAATAAATTTTCAAACAGGTAGACAACTGCTTGAGACTTGGAAATATGTTTCTGTGGATTGGATATTTTTAAAAATTGTACTTAACATTATGAGGCTTGATGGTCAGTTCTCTGATTATTAATAATTAGTATTCACAAACTGTCTTCATTGTCCACCCCTTTTTCTGTTCATTTCATTTCCATAGCTACCTCTAAAGCCCCTGAGTGTCCAGGTACCCAGCCTTCACATAGACACTCTCAAAATTGGTTTGCTAAAGCATTCACTTTCAGAATGTCCGTGAAGTCCTCCTTCATTAACCATTGTCTAAAGCCTGAATCTGGCCACCTGGTGTCCAGGGTTCTCTGTAGTGTGGCTACAGAATCAGCCTGCAGCCCATGGCCTCTTTTCCCCAGATGTGATGTCTCCATTCAGCTGATCTACCTTATACTGCTCTGATCTGATCCTCAACTTTGCTAAGATTGCTTCTTTCCCTAATCTGGGTATGTGGGGCCTAGCCTACAGGCATCTACTACACATGCTCCATTCTGTATGTTTTATCAGCTGACCACATATAGCTTTAAATAGTTATTTGACTTTCCTGTATATCTGTAGAAGGCTAGAGAAGTTCTACATACAACTATCCAGACAAGCACAAATCAAAGCATAATCAGGAAAACCATTCTGCCTGTACTGACTTAAAAACCTTTGATTTTTCTTGTCATTTTGTCTGGGACAGTCCTGTACTGACTTAAAAACCTTTGATTTTTCTTGTCATTTTGTCTGGGACAGTACAGTAGTAACATGGTGTTCATTATATTGGTATTAAAAACAATCTAGAGATGGTCTAAAGTTTACAAAGGCTATGTACAAGGGACTCGAGCATCTACTTCAGCTATTTCCATCCAATTGGAGTCCTGGAACAAATTCTCCTGGATACCCCAATACAACTGCATTTATTTTGTTTCCTCTAAGAAATTTCAAACTCCTTTAAGTCAAAGCTTGGCTAAAGCTGCTCTTTTGGTGTTCCCCATAGCTTCTAATGCAAAAGTAAGAACTTATGGATAAAAGATGCATTTTGGTGGACAGATTCATCCATCCATGAAATGGGAATTAATTCATATTTTATCTTAGATAGTTCAACTTCTGATTTTGCAAAGACTATAAAAAATTAATCTGAGAACACAGTTGATTGGCCATCAACTTATTCTGTTTACCAAAATTATTGCAGATGCCTCTATTTTCCCCCTCTAAAAGCAGCTGAATACAGAAGTGAACAATTTCAACTTTCCATTGAATGCCACAGGGGTTAATGAGACACCGATTCAGTCATAAAATATTATAAGACATACCTTCAAAAAGGTGGTTGTCAAGTGGATGGCAGAGTTAGAGATGTGTCAATCTGTAGGAAGAAAAGTCAATTCTCAGAAGAGGAGGCTAGGAAATAGTCCTTAACTACCTTATAGAGCTTTCTCCATAGGTACCCATAGTCAGGGGAGGCAGGCCAGACTTCAAACTTTGCTCTAGAGGCTAAACTGTCCTCTTACTGCCCTTTGTCCCCTCTAGCTGGTCCATCTCTACACACACCTTTCCTAAATAAACCCAGGAAGATGTTCTACAGTTCCCATCATAGAAACTGCAGAGGATTGGGCCATTTCAGAAGTGTCTTCCAGCCTGAGTATTTTTATGACTGAGCTTGGTTTGCCTTCTATTCCGATGGGACAGCTTGGCTGGGATATGTTAGTAAATTAAAACTTACATTAAGTTCAGAAGATTATATGGAATAAACTTGTTCGTACTCCACAATAGAGGTAGAAAGGGAGTCTAGGCCAGTCTATAATCCTCAGCCCATACATTCTTTCTAGGAGAGTATCCAACTGCTGAACATTGCATCATCAGGAAAAGCAGCCATGGGCTAGAAGATATGGGGAGGGAGAGCAGCCGATGCAAGCAGCTGTTGGTGGAAATGAATCACTTCAAGGATTCTGTGAGGTGCCTGAAGTACCATCCAATAATCACTTCTGCCTGCTGCAACATCTTAAGAATTTTTTTGCAACTATTAAGATTTTCAGATTGTAGTAACTATTTATTTCTGAAGAACGGAGGGGATGGGTTGAGAGAAAAATGAATGTCTGGGATTTTGTCTACTAACCATTTTTTTCCCCTATAATGCAGCTTACTTTTTGTTACAGTGTTTGCATTGAGGCGATCATCATTGTCCAGGAACAAATGCGGTCTCTTTATATTATTTGGGAGAACAGCAGGGCCTCAGTGAGTTGGTGGCAGTACAATAGCTCACTCGGGCTACTGCAGTCTAGCTGTAGACATGTTAATTAATATATTTCTCTGACACCTAGGTGATTGAAATAGCAATTAAAGAGTAATTAAAATGTTTACTTCTTGTAGGAATGTCAACTAAGATGTGGAATATAGCAATTACCTATGACGGATTAGAGGAAGATGATGAGGTCTTTGAAGTAATTCTGAACTCCCCTGTGAATGCGGTTCTTGGCACAAAGACAAAAGCTGCAGTGAAAATTTTGGACTCAAAAGGAGGTATTCTTTTGATCCTGGTCTTGAAATCAGGAGCGGTCCTGGCGCCATGGCTGCTGGCTTGCAGCAGCCAAAGTGCTTGATAGCACCTTCAAATCAAAATGCGTAATTTCTTGTCAAGAAAGCTGCCTCCATCCTGACGCTGGTTTCTTTATTCTGGTTTTCGCTTCATGTGGTTTTCCCCCTGCTAAGAGCAATGGCTGCAGAAAAGCAACAAGTCAATGGCCTGGTTGCTTTTTTTCTAAGCGTTTGTTGTTCTCACCAAGGGGGAAACAATGTTGGTGAGAATCTATCGACAATTATTTTCCCCCAGAGTTTGCAGGGCTGTAATTATCTTCCTCTGTTAAAGAGCACTCTTGGAGCCTAACATGGGAGCCCCCACTGTAGTGTGACCAGGGAAATTCTAAGAAGGGAAGAAATTGGAGAAAAATAGATGCGAAGATGCAGCTGGCTGGGGGTTTGGGGGCAGCTGGAGAATACTAATGAATGACTTGGTGATGCTGATGTGGAGCCAAACCATCCTAGGAAGGGTATGCTACAGAGCAACCTGCAAATAAAATAAAAAGCAAAGCCCTTCCTTGGCACTCTGAGGTTCTGTTCTGCCAAAGTCCTTCTGCTTCTGGTTTCCTAACTCTGTGGCATTTGATGTGTCTGGCGGCGTGACATTCCATTTTAAGCCTTTATTTTTGTGCTTGTCATGCCCCGTGATCTGCATTTTTTTTTCTCACCTGTATTCTGCTGTTTCCCTACTCACTCTGTAATAAAAATGGGTGCTGTCTCCCATGCTTTGTAGGCCCACATTTCCACCTCTTATCCCACCTTTCTCCTCACCACGTGTGCCTCTTTTCCAGCAGAACTGTCTGGTCACATTAAGTGCATGAAATCTACAAATACAAAAATGTCCCGGGCTGGGAGCGTACCTCTATGGTAGAGTGCTTGCTTAGCTGATGAAAGGCTCTGTACTCAATCTCAGAGTGGCTAAAACTAAAATAAATATCCAGACAGGACCTGTCTGTGGGTTGTTTTTGTTTTCTTTTTGGTTGAGGTTTGTTACTGTACTTTAATTTTTAGTTACTTTTTACTTATGGTGTTGTGGGGGGGGGGAGTGGTCAGAGAACAACCTGTGGGAATCTGTTCTCTCCTATTATGCCGTTCCCAGGATCAAACTCTGATAGTCAGGCATCTATCTTCACCTGCTGAGCCATTTCGCCAGCCTGGTTCCTTTTTTCTTTATCTTCTTCTTCTTCTTTTTTTTTTCTGCCTTCCCAGACATACTGATTATTGAGGTTTCGTGCTAGGGTTTTGTTTCATTATAACTGATTGCAAATTTTTATAGCTGCTGTTATATCATATGACATCTTTAAACAATTCCAGTTTCTACCTCTAAAAAAACTGGAGGAAAACTGAATACTTTCAAAGTGTGTGTGGGGTGGTACTTGAATAAACCTTCCATATTGATGAGAATCACAGGAGGGAAGTGAGCCGGTTTCCTAAGTGTCTGGAATGATTATAAAACCATGACGATGATTTTCATCTATGATTTGTGGGATGGATTTCATGACTTTATAATCACCCCATCCATGTGCAGAAGGATACTGCTTTCCCAGGTGGAAACTGATGAAGAGAGAAGGAGTTTCTGGCAAATGGGAAAAAGGCAACATCTGGTGGGAAATTCATCCGTCTAGGTTTAATGACAAGCTGTTCCAGGAACTGTGTCAATGCCATCACTTATGTGTTTGTGTAGTATACTGATCGCCTGCCATCTTGCATGCCTCCAGGACGGTGCCATCCTTCAAATTCCTTCAACCAAAGCAAGCACAGCACATGGGGGAAGGGCACTTGGCATCCACCGCCCCCAGGGTCATCCTCACTCAACACTGCTGGTTCTCCTCATCTGGAAAGGGGACCTCCTCCATCTTCCACCAAAGGAGATGCCCTTCAGGACTTTGATCCCACAGACCTCTCTCAAAGGATGATGAGGACCCATGGGAATGGAAAATCAGTAAGGATGGGGGAGTTCTGGGAGTGGATGTTTGGCTATATAGTGGTAAGTGTCTGAGACACTACAGAGACTGGATTCTCATAGCGAGTTCTTCCCAGAGTCATGTGGTGCCTTTCTGTGTGCAAATATTATGCGGACCCACTCCACTAACTATGCCAACTGAAGGGATAGGTACATTCATTCAGCCATATGAATCCTGCTTAGGTTCTTTTTAGACCAAGACAGATAGGGAGAAATCAGTGATCCTAGAATGGAAGCACATTTAAGTGACCTCTTGGGTGTGGGATCGATGACTCCAATGAAGCATGTTCTTGTGTGTTGTGTGCACATGTGTGTGTGTGTGTGTGTGTGCTCTCTTTATTTTTTTTTCTGTGCCATAGATGCACTGAAAACCTAAAGCCACCTCCTCTTCCCAGCCAGTACAGTAGATGTAGATAGAAAACAACACAACAGTAAACTGATCTAGACATGACAGTTTAAAAAATTCTATTCAACTTGACATAAAAAAAAAAAAACAGGAAATACTCTTTTAAATTTTCAATTTTGTACAGGACCTTAACAGAATATACTGCCAATTGTCTTTTTAAGTCAGTTTTGCATACATACTGCCCTTTGTTGATTTCAGGTTCCTCCATCCTCTGTCTGTAGAAATGGAACAGACACCATCTACAATGTAAGCACAGACAATTGCTAAATGTCATGTTCATGGATGAAAACACTTAGTGAGATTATCATATCTTTTCTCTTTGTCTGCTTATTTGAATTGTTTTGTTTGTTTATTTGTCTGAAATCTGTTTTAGAAAATTGGATGATCAAGAAAAACCCTCTTGCCTCTGTGTTGATACAATCATTGAAATGCTGATTATTAGAACAAAATTTTTTGTTTGCTGTCTCTTTTTCTTCTCATTGTTTTTGTTTGTTGGTTTCCTCAAGTATCACGGCATAGTTTCCTTGAAACTAGACAGTGGTAGTTTCTCAGCTCACAAAGGGAAGGCCAAGATATCCATTATCAGTCAACCACAGAAGACAATCAAGGTGGCAGAGAGGCCTCCAGCTGATGTGGTGGAATCCACAACTGACTCACACTTCCCCAGACAGGTACAGAATTCTTTCTTCCTTCCAGTTTGCCTTCTAGCAAGCTGCTCCCTGGACTACAAACACACCTAATGTCACAAAATGGATCACTCATTTTTTGGGGTACTTTGTTCAATGCCTATGCTGCCTTGTAGGTAAAGATCCAAGTGTGTTATCAACTTAACATTAAATCCTTCTAAACTACTGCTCTTCCCTGCAGGGTCAGCTGCCCCTGTTTCCAAAGAACTGTTCTGTGGAATTAAAGGGACTGTTTCATTTTGAAGAAAGCATCCACAGATTGTATCTATGTGATGGGATCACCTGGAAAGCCTGGAGTCCCCAAACCAAGGTGGGGGCAGGGTAGCCAAGTATCTTCAGTGTTAATATGCCCTGTGAGGAGCTTATCTGATGAAAAGTAATCTGTCATGTAATTCTTAACTCATACTATATCTGTTCTTACCACACTGGGAAGCCATGAGGAAAAAAAAAAAAAGTACAAAGTGGCTTTTTTTAAAATCCCAAATATAGCATTAATCAGTCAATTTTGTTTAGTTACTATTATGTCAGCATTATAAAATTGAACCATTTCTGACTGTGCTGGTGCTTTCTGTAGTAAGTCATTTGTCTCCTAAATGGGGAATTGCGATGAGGGCCCACTGACATAGGGGTTCCTATTGTGAGGCAGACTCCAGATTATAAGTCCACTCAGATGTGAACACTAACAACTGCTTTGCAGGGGCTGGAGGGCAAATCCTGCCCAGCTGGATGGCATCTTCACTCAGGCTACTGTCACACCTTGGTCACACAGAGGAAAGGCACGTGGACCATGGCTACCCGAGCTTGCAGAGAACAGTAAGGAATCCTATGTCACACGTACCTAATGCTTTCTTTCTTTCACGGGGGGGGGCGGCGGGGGGGGGAGGGCTGTATGTTTGCATCAGTCATGGGATAAGTATTGTCTAAGGTCTGTCCAGCTTTGTCTAAGGTGCCTAAGGGCAGTTTGTGGTTCAAAATGGATTTGATGCTTCATGTCTGCTGTGGTCTTTTTTCTGTTATGGCTGTACTAGTGGCACGTTCTTTTCCCTTTTTCCTCCACCTTTAAAAGGCCAAAGAATTTCCCTGAGTCAGCAGCACTGTAGGTTCTGATCTTTGCCTCTTGTCCCTCCCACTCTGCAGAGGATAGACATCCATGTCTATTGACTTTAAAATACCTGGTAATGAAAGGCCTTGGCATCCAGCCTCTGGCAATGTAGGACGTACTGATGCCCATAAAGCCAGGCAAGTGGGACAAAGGCTCATTGGGTAATATTCAATAAAGGATGACCTGTGGTCAGAAAAATGACAACAAAATTCATCTGATCCAGAAGGATTTTTAAAATGCATATGTAGCAATCCTTGACCACACTTTTTATTTGATAGCCTGGATATTATCCAAACAATATAATTACACTAATATGCATTCTTGCTGAAATCCGGGCTACAGTAATTTCTAGTTACTATTGATCATATCTTATACTTTATTAAATTTAAAAGGGTATGCTCATCTAAAGACCATTAGGAAAATGAAAGGGTAAACCACAAGCAGGAAAGGCTGTTCTTAAACCACATATCTGATAAAGGCTTGCAATGGAGGACAAAGCTCCTATAGATTAATAACAAAAATACAATTGAAATAATAGCAAATGAGGATGACTCCACAAACATCCTCTGCCATTCACCCACAGGTAGTAGCATGTGTACATCAATGCACACACATTATATATACAACTAAAACAAAATTTGATAAATGACTTAGAGACTTCACAAGAAAAAAGTAGACAGTTGGTTCATTAGTAACTGGAAAGATTCTCAACACCATTAGAGATGCGGTAAGTGAAGACGAAAATACTTTACAGCCACTAAATGATTAAAAATCATAAAATGACAAGGCCAGTGTTGACAAGGGCATAAAGCAATGATAGTTCTCATGGGTGTTATACATGGAACCACACAAAGGTGCATACATTTCGTGGGACTGTCTGACAGTTTTTGGTTTTTTTTTTTTTTTTTAAATAAAGCCATGTGCCCTGTGACTTAGTAATCCTACCCCTGGCTACTTTACCAGGAGATTAAGACATATGCTAGAAAATACAAAAGAATTTTCTAAGTTTATTCATAGTGATAATAATTTGGGTCAATTTCTTTACTGGTTTGTAAAAGTACTAGCTGTGTACTCCATCACTGAGATAACACATTTATATACATAAAGACTGAACCTCTGAAACCTCCAACAATGTGGATACATTATGGATAAGTAACATAGAGTGTATATGCAGCCTTACATAATAGAATACACATTTCGTGACTCCATGTATATGTGTTGGAGAATCTAACCTACGCAGCTTCAATAATAAAGGGCTTTCACAGACTGTGAGAGGACTAGGAATAGCACCAAGGACTTTTCCAGTTCAAAGGATGGAAAGTTTCTGTGTCTTCATCTGCATAGTTATTATGTAGATGTAATACTGTTGTCAAAACCCATCAAATTAAAGCTCTCTGCTTATTTGTATATTTACCTGTTTGGTTTCTGTTTTGTTTTACTTTTGAGACAGAGTCTCACTATGTTGCCCAGGCTGGCCTCTAAACCCTGGGCTCAACTCTCCTGCCTCAGCTTTTTGAATACCAGAGATTACAGGGCTGTGCTGCCACACCCAGCTTTCCTTCCAGATTATTTTTACTTTTCAGGTTTTCGAGACAGGGTTTCTGTGTGTAGCAGTGCTGGCTGTCCTGGAACTCACTTTGTAGACCAGGCTGGCCTCAAAATCACTGAGATCCACTTGCCTGTGCCTCCTAAGTGCTGGGACCAAAGGCCACCACCACCAGCACCACCCGGCTAGTTTTTTTTTTTTTTTTTTTTTTTTTTAACTAATAAAGTATTTAAAACCTGGGAGAGTCAACCATATTTTTTGTTAGTGGCATATTTTATTTCTTAACTGTAAATAGAGTCATGATAGAGGTTAGTGAGTGCCTTCAGGTGGGGGAGGGAGGCATTGGTAAATTGGTAATATAATGACATTTAAAACTCTTAAAAATTAGTTAACTTTATGTTGCTACAATGCTGCATGCTGAAGAATAAGTAAGACACCCTTTCACTGAAACAGCCAGATATCCTACTTCTATTTGAAGTTCATCTAGGGGATGTAAAGCTGGGGCAGCTACAATTGTCTTGCTCCTTCACTCCTTGAGAGATCTGGGGTCCAGGCTAGTCAGGAAAAGGCTGCTATCAGATGGAGAGAACCATGGATCTTACTGGCAAAAGGCAGGGCGGTGGATGTACCCTGCTGCCCAGATTGCCAAGCGTGGGAATTTCTTGATAAAATGTAGGCAAACAAAATGGAACTTCCCAAGTTCATACTTGAAAGCTGCTTTTTTTGGTTATCTTCCATTCGACTGTGGCTAGCTCTCAACAGCCAGAGCCTGCCCTGTGCTTTCAGTCACTTTCTTCCAGTGAGGTCCAAAGGACACAGCGAGCCCGCCCCTAGTAAGCTTTTGCAGTCTCTTTTTAAGATAAATTTATTAGTTGGGGGTTGGTGAGAGGGCTGTTTGTATATTCCTCTGGAGGCTAGAGGTTCAGGTTTGGTTTCAACCTCTGTCACTACCTTAGTTTTTTTAATATAGGCTGTGTCTATATAAACACCTAGAGGTCTCAGACTTGCTGGCTAGGAGACACCAAGGACCCACCTGTCTCTCTCTCTCTGTCTTCCCAGCACTGGGACTGGAGAAACAGCTTGTATGTTCACCCCGGGAATCCGAACTCAGGTCCTCAAGTTTGCACAGGAGCCACTTCATTGACTATGCTGTCTTCCGAACAGCCACTTTTCTGTTAGAACCTTTATTTATTTATTCACTTAGCAGTCTCTCTCTCTCTCTCTCTCTCTCTGTGTGTGTGTGTGTGTGTGTGTGTGTGTGTGTGTGTGTGTGTGTACTGGATAAATTCTGGTCACATGTTCTACTACTGGGTTATACCCCAGATTCTCATGGATTGTTAATATGGTGAGAAAATGAGGTAACAAGCACTGGGAATTGTCTTTACATCCATACAAAGATGTTGGTGTAAAGATAGACAGGCATTTTTTTTGTTTTTTGTTTTCATTGGAATATCTATTCTTGATTCTGAAATCATGATCTTGTAATTTCTTAGTGTGACAAATCCTTTTTATAAAACACTGCCCATTTAGAGTAGTACTACCGGTGTCTTCCCCTTGGTAATCCCAAGTCAGTCTCCCAATATCTTTTAAAGTTTTGGTTGTTTCCATACATTTTATTACAGCTAGCTTTTAATGGTTAGTAGCCTACTAGTTACAGAGTTCCTTCATAGTTCTGTTAATACTGTCTGATTTACTCATGCTCATCATAAACACAAGGCTGAAATTAACTTAAAGTCCGGCCTACTTCCTCATGCACTTACTGTAAGATGTCATCTGCAATTTGATGTTAAGCATCATCACCCCGACCTTGACTAGCCTGACCTAGTTCTTTGTGCTGCCTTGTTAATGGTGCCTTACTTTCTTATTGTACTTGGTCATCTATGGAATTCCGTCACATATAGAACTTATTTGAAACGCATCACTGCTGCAAGGAAAGCCAGTGTCAATATCTACAATTTACAGATTTTAAGACAGGTTTAAGGAAGCAAAAATCAGTTGCTCATTGTCATCCAAGCAAGGAAAGAGAAAGGACTTTTCTATTACGCTCCCTAAAAGAGCTCCAAAGTGTAGGGGACTTCTCACCACATATGCATTGACAAGTGCGTCTATTTTAACTTTGTGTTAGGCAAATCTAACACAAGCCTTCAAAATCATGTATTTTAAAGTCTTGTATCTCTCACAGCAAAGAAATAAAACTTTAAAAATGGATCCAACTAACCCTTTTGGGGAAAACCAAAAGTGTTAATCAGGTTTTGGATTTATAGATTCATGTTTTAACTTTTTGTACTGTAATAAAGTGAGTCTAGACTAGAACATACCTTAAAATACTGTTTTTTTTGTTTTTTGTTTTTTTTTTTTTTTTAGTATTGTTCTCACAGACCACCACCTAAATAATTCTTCATATGTTAGGGAATAGACACTTAGCTCAGTGCAATTGTCTTACATGGCAAGATGTATTTTACACTGGTAATGACACAGACTTCAGATCATCTCTTTCTCATAAAGCTCTATTAAGAATGTAGATATTTCTGAATTTAAGTGCCTAGATTTAATAGTTACTGAGTTCATGTCTTACTACAAGTTAAATTAAGAATTCATCTGGCATAAATACAAGTTTCCAGTAATATATGTTCATTACATGTAGCAGAACATGATTAACATTTGGGAATACAGTAAATGGAAGCTTTTTGCCCTGAGAAATGTCCATCTTCTTTGGTGATTCCAAAGTGTGTGTGTGGGGGGGTAATCAGAGAGACCACACTCTCAATTCCAACATGATTCATAGGTAGCTTTAGAACCACTGTTGTTCAAGTTATTTCCAAGTTAGTAGGCTCTAGTCTTGGGGAATAGTTCTAGAAACATATTTTAAGAAAGCAATAAAATAAACTCAAGTTGCATGTTATCTTTTCACCTTTTCACCTGGGAAACTAAACTGCTTATCAGATACCATCTTAATGGTATTCTCGGGCATGGAAGGTAATGTGACATTTTCGCACTTCCAATTTTAGTTGAAATATTAAGTATTGTATTTGATTGCATTTGCATGGTGCTTGAGCATGCATTTGATTTCAGAAGGACAAGGAGGTTGATTAGAGATGTACACACTGGTTTCAGTCACTCTTTAAAAGGCCACTAGGAGATTTAAACAAATTATCTGATATCGGGGGTGGGGGGACATTTGGGGGTAGTAAAGCCCCTTCTCCAACATGTGCTGTCTCTGAGCCCCAGGCCCCCCTCTGCTGTTCATCTTTAGCCAGGCCCTGGGCCTCCTGCTTCCTTCACCCAATACTTTCTGGATCATTTTTATCTTGTTTGCCAGTCCTGTTGGCTTGAAAAATGGGTATTTCTCTAGGGATTGTCAAGCCCTTTCATGAAGTTAAAGTCACATGTTTACATTTTGTAACTTGAAGCTTTACTTTATCCTTAGCTATTTTAGAAGATGGCTTTAGATTCTACTGTTAGAATTAGCATGCATACAGAATGTGTTTTGATTGGACTTGAGGGACTGTCATTTTTATGCTGTGCTGTTTCCTTGGCTTCTCCCTAGTATGTGTCTGACTTTCTGCTTTTTTCTTTTTCTTTTTTCTTTTTAATTTCCAGAGGGTCATTTACAATGCCTGTGTTTCAATGAGAACAGTAAATTGCATGTTATCCCTTGTCCCTAATCAGATTACCAACTCAACTCAATCTTTATCTCTCATCTCTTTGCCTCTCCATTGGTGTTTTATTATTTTTCTAACCCAAAGGAGCCAGACTGCTAGATTAGGCATTTCTTGGATTTACATATTGTAATCTCATCTGCTCATTTCCTAAGGCAGTCATTGTATGTTTGGTAATTCTATTATTATAGATCATTATCTATGATGCCATTTCCCTGTCCCACAGGAGTGTCTGGGACTCCTGCTGGTCTGTCCTTAAGGAGTTTCCCTGAAATATCAGTACTTAGGCAAAATCTTTTGAAGGTGTTTGTTTTTATAGCCAGAGAAAGTGAAGCCTGTTTCCACTCCTGGATTTTGAACCCTTCACATTTCAGAATTTCCAAAGGGTTTTCACTTATATGTTACCCATATATTTCAATTTTATACTATAAACACATGTCTATACAGATAGTATAGGCCATGTTTTATAAGTAATTGAGCAAAATGAACAGGAAGTTTTGTTTTATTTTTTTTTTTACTTAAAACCACCATATACATGCCAAAACATTAGTTTTGTGGATTGCTTTAATATTCTGCAAAGGTGAGGCATAGTTATTTTTCTGCCTGTTTTTCGTTCGTTTTTGAAGGGGGAACTTCTCGTTTTTGTGGGGAATTAAACAGAAAACTGGAACTGTATTTAAGCATCTAAAATGCATTTTACAAAGTCTGTTTTAAAGATAGTTTCAAAATTTTTCAAGCAGGGTAGATTCTAAGTTACCAGGAATAAACCTACATCCATTCTAGTGATGGCTATGAGGTTGGTGGCAGTCAGTAAGAAAATTACTGGGGAGGGGACAGAGGTGTCAAGCAAGAAGTGGATCCTGACTCTTCCGTTCTTAGTCCAGCACTCCACAGTGATGGGATAGCCCAAGCCCATCCAGCACATGTCTAATATTGTGTGTCCTGAGAGCAGAGCACAAAGAACGGCCTCACTAGATACGAGGAGACATCTCATTACAGTGGCTGTGCCTGTCAGACACGAGCCACAGTAAATGATGGGTTCAAAACCAAGTCATAAAGCTCCAACCCAGCAGCTCGAAGCTATCCAGCACTCTTACAGATCTCAGGAGGCCTGTAAGACACCATTGGATTACAGAGCAGCAAATCCTGTGTCAGTGGAAGGAAAAAAAGCATTAAGAAACATATTACAGTTACTGACTTTTGGAAAGACATTGACAAATAGAATGAAGTTTCATTTAGTAGTTATTTAACTCTGTATGTGTTACTATTTTATTTTCCCTTGTCTTCATGTCAACAAATACTGATCAGGCGAGAAAATCATTGTGATTTTATTTTCTTGTCATTTGACTTAAAATTTTTTAAATTCCATTTTGTCTTCCTTCATTTACGGGTATGAGTACTGTGGTACATATGAAGGTATGAGGGCAACTTAGAAGAGAGTTGGGTCCCTGCTTCCATGATGTGGGTCCCAAGTCTTAAGTCACCAGGCATGGCATCACCCACTGGGCAATCTCACCAGTCCTTAACATTTTAAATTCCCCCTTTACCTTTATGAATTGGAATAACTGTGCTGTTATGATAAGTCATGTGCATGAATTGCATATTATTTCAAGATGAAAATAACCTACAAGCTTTGATTTGAGTGTTTTTAAAGAACTTTGAGTAAGCTCCATCAGAGAATTCAGATAATAAACTGCTACTTATAGGAAGAACTCGGTTAGCTTCAATGTAATTCATCAAGAATTCTATTTTGAGGGAAAATGGCGTGTGCTGGCAGAAAGAGCTTCTCCAACTTCTGTAAAATGGATGAGGTTTGACAATGGAGCTAGTCTCCTTCCACTGACACATGGAAAGGGTTGTGTTTATTGCGTTATTTGAGTAAACACACCAAGCTCAAAATTTAGACTTCAAATCATCGTATCGGGGAAGAAAATAGGGGTGCCTTATTGATCAAATTAAGTGGTGACTATCAAATTTATACCAGCTAGAAAAAAAAAATTCTCTAAGAGGATCAGAAATCTAAGCTTATTTTTGGCTATGTATGAAGTTTGGGATTAGCCTCAGTTACACAAGACCCTGTCTCCAAGAAGGAGGAGAAGGATGATAATCTTTATAATATTTTTGTATTAAGTAATTTATCTAATTAATCCTTACAAGCAGACAGTTGTTGATTTCCAAAAAGATATTCTAATTACATCGAACTGTGATGTAAATAGAGCCAAGTAATACGATAACACTTCCCTTGCTGTTGCCCATCCCCTACTCCATAGACTAACCAAAGCTAAACTAGAGCACTAAAATAATGAGAAGCAGTTCCTATATATCTTCTAATTTATTTTTTATTTCTATTATGCACATCAGATGAGCAGCAATATAGACTCCCTGGTATTGAGATTCTTATTTTTCTTTGTGCTTGTGCAGGCATCAAGGCAACCTAGTGACAGTCTTCTCCAGGAGGCATATGCAGTGGTTATGGGATATCGGTGGGAGAAAGCCCTTCTGGATTGGTAAGTATCTGCATTTTCCTGAGCGGGGAGCAAGCACAGAGACAGCAAAGGCACTGACCCCTGCCATGCCCTTCTAATAATGACATGCAATAGTTAGCTGGCCAGTCAGCTAACAGCATCTTAAGGCTAGCAGTATGGTCCAGTGACAGAACATGTTTTGAGCCTATGCAAGACCCTGGGTTCAGTACCTAGCAGCAAAAAAAAAAAAAAAAAAAAAAAGCAAAACAAAACCAAAACCAGAAGACACTTTGGCTTTTTGAAAGAGTACTTTTATTCTTGAACATTTATTTCAAAGATATAATTAGGGATGTGGTTAGACTCCTATAAAAATTGAATATAATGGTATTTCTAAAATTTACAACTTTAGAAATATCTATAGAGTCAGTTATATTACAACATGTCAATATGAAAGTGTAGATTATATTTATTGTTCTTACATTATCTAGTAAAGCTGTAAAAATTTCTTATGTGTGTATATTAGTTGATTCAACAATTATATGTTATATTATTATAGGTGACATATATGTATATATACATATACATACATTAGTTTTTCAAGACAGGGTTTCTCTGTATTGCTTTGGAGCCTGTCCTGGAACTCACTCTGTAGACCAGACTGGCCTTGAACTCACAGCAATCCACTATCTCTGCCTTCCGAGTGCTGGAATTAAAGGTATGCATCACCTTTACCTGGATAGATGATATATATTACATTGTATTTGTGACCCAGTACTAAGTGAAAAAAAGTAGGTGCATAGCCATGTGAGACATGGAATAATTTAGAATAAAAAAGAAATGTATGTATAAGTAGAATATATATATATATATATGCCAAAGTTAAAAATGATTTAACACTAATCATCAATTCTATGTACTTTGAATCTTGTTTTCTCTAATTTTGACAGTTATAGCAAATCTTTACAAGTTATTTCAGAGGCAGAATTCTCAAGGCGTACCAGAGTCAATGTTCCCACTGCTCCTCTGAGAAGCATTGCATTTGGAGTAACAATTATACAGGATAGTCTTTGGTTCTCAATTTCTTCTGTAAGCTTCATTGGCTCTTTAAATCCAGACATGGGCTAAGAGTGTTGAGTTAGTCTGGAACACAACTTTTCTGTACTTCTCTAATGATCCTAAGACTCTGTGTTCCCAAAGCATGCATTATCTGATCAAGAGTCCCAGGAAGTAATCCAGTGCCAGATAGGGTGCTCCTGGCTGAAATTTCAGTGGAGGAAGGCAGCATGCTGGCAACTAGAACTGTTGTCGTGGTCAAGTCTGAGTGGCAAGATTTCAAACTACCCTCTGATTTTAAAGAGTTCCTTTCTTGTGCTTTTTCTTTTTAAAATTTCTATTATGAGAATTAGGGAAAAAAGCTTCTTTAAGCAAATATTACAGATACTTACAATATTTTAATCTAATTTTCAGAAATTGCCAGTGGGAGTAGACTGGCAAGAGAGGAAAAGTGATTTTCATTAGAATTGTAGCAGATTAAAACATTGTAAGCTCAAGACTAGAAATTATATCTCATAAACTACTTCTGAATGAAAATGAAGGCTGTCTCAGTTAAGATTGCTGACCACAGCAACTCTTATAAAGGAAAACATTTCACTGGGCTGGCTTGCAGTTTCAGAGATTTAGTCCATTATCATTATAGTAGGAAATAAGGCAGTGTACAAGGAGATATGGTGCTAGAGAGGTATTCGAGAGTTCTACATCTGGATCTATAGGCAGCAGGAAAAGAGAATGCCACGCTGGGCGTGGCTAAAACATCTGAGACCTCAAAGCCTGCCCCCAGTGACACACTTCCTCCAACAATGCCAGACCTATTCCAACAAGGCCACATTTCCCAATAGTACCAGACCCTATGAACCTATGGGGCCACGATCATTCCAATGACCTCAAAGGCTTTTAAAGAATAGGAAGGAGAAATAATGGGCAACAAAATATCTGTTTCCCTGTGATAGGAGCTTTGTGGGTAGGGCTCAGAGATGATAATAATGGCTTCTGGGACTGGAGAGATGGCTCAACAGGTTAAGAACATTATCAGCTCTTGCAGAGAAGGTGGGCTTGTTCCCAGCACCCAAATGGCAGCTTACAACCATCTGTAACTCCAATTCTAAAGGACTTTATGCCCTTTTTTAGCCTCTTCTGGCACTGCACAAACATGATGTATAGACCTACATGTAAGTAAAATACTTATACACATAAAATAAAAATAAATATAAATTCAAAAATAGTAACAGCTGCCATTAAGTAGACACTAAGATATATTTAAAGTTTTTTTTAATCTTAAGTTAAAATATAATTACAACATTTGCTCCTTTTCTTTAACAAAGTGGTCTGTCTCAACCTATGGTCACGACCCTTTAGGAGTTGAATCTATCACAGGGGTCATCTAAGACCATCAGAAAAAAGATATTAACATTATAATCCAAAACAGTAGCAAAGTTACAGTTACAAAGTAGCAGTGGAAATAATGTTATGATGGGGCGAGGGGAGATGTCACCACAACATGAGAAATTGTATTAAAGGGGCACAGCATTAGGGAGGTTGAGAACCTCTGCACAACACTCCCCTACCCCCCCCCACTTGCTCTTTCTCAAATTCATGGCCTCTATTTCTTTAAATATATATATATATACACACACTACAATTATATAATTACACAATTATATATAGTCTTGAATATACAACCCTCTCGGTCCATATAACATTAAGTTGTATGTGTATAAACTCAGGGTTGACCAGTTGGTGTCAGATAACCACCTGAGTGTGTCTTCGCTGGAAACACTGTTTCTCCCACTCTCAGCATTCTTCAGTTGCTTTGTCTAGGGTAAGAGTTTTACATGGGCTGCCATCTTTAATCTTCAACGGAACTACATATACTGTTTTTACGACCATTCTTTAAATGGTCTAAAACTCAGAAAGGGTGAGTAACTACCCAAAGAGCACAGACTCTGCTTGGCTCCAAAGTCTAATGCTCCTAAGTGTGTCATGTTGTAACCCCAAGTCCTAGTCTTGGATCTAGAACTGGGACTCACATTTATAACTATGCTTAGTGCCATGGACTAAGACAGGTCTGGTGGTACACACCTGTAGTTATAACTGTTTAGAGGTCTGGGGTAGGAAGACCATATGTTCAAACCTAACTGGGGAATGTAATGAAACCATACTCAAAAAGTGAAGAAAAAAAAAAAAAAAACAGAGCAGAGTAGGGGACCTAGCCCAGTAGAAAGGCACTTGCCTGGCATGTGTAAAGAAATAAATTCAATACCAGTACTGAAAGGAGGGGTAGAAAAAGAAAAGGGATGGGATAGCCATGGTTCCTAAATTTAAATGTAATAAAAATATTTGGTGTGTTCTCTTGGCTCACATTAGGCTTGAAGAACCAAGAAGGCACTGGCCTCTGGGAGTGGATTGGAGGTGAACCTGTTGCATTTACTAACTGGAGGAGAGGGCCCCCTCAGCATCCAAGGCCTGGAAAGAGCTGTGTTTTGGTTCACAAAAGAGGACAATGGCAATCAAAGAACTGTAGTAAAGGCAAGGCTCACAATTTTGTGTGCTCAAGGAAACTCTGAATGACATTTCTCACCTGTCTATTTACAAGATCTATTTGCTCATTAGAAATGCATTGTTGTGACTGGATGGGTATGTCTTTGTGGGCCTACCAAATAAACATGGAAGCTAGAGCAACAGTCCTAGAAAGGTGGGTGTAGGAATGTGTCTTTCAAAATGAGATATAATTTCTGCATCTCAATATTTTTCTAAATAAACACCTGCAGTATTATAGACTATAATATTTACTTCTTCTAGAAGATTCATACTTCTTCCTATGCCAACTCTCAGGTAGTACAAATTTCCTCGGACGTTAGATACTTTTGTTCCTAGACCTCAGTTGAGTCCATCCAGAAAGATCAGTGTTTCCGGTGCTCCTATCAGAGTCTGGTTTCTGAAGCTAGCACTGCAGATCCATTAAACTAAGGTTGAGTGCCAAAGGTTGGTTTGTATCCTTGGGCTCTTTTAATGTTAAACTTAAAATTATAGGCTGTGGGTAGACAAGGGAGCTCTCTTTTGAATAGAAGAGTCTTTAAGGAGGACACTCAACTGCACAGGTCTGGTGAGGTGGAGGCAGGGACCTGCCTCTATTGCAGAGCCCAGATGGAGGTAGGGATCTGTCTCTACTGTAGAGACCAGACCATAGAGCTCATGAAACATGTTCTGCCCCAATGCAATCATGGCAGTGTGCCATTCCTTGGTTGAATATTGGGTTTCCCTGACTTCCAAGGTCATGTGAATTTTGAAGTAGCAGGATCTCCATCTCCAATTACTGTGCTGACTAATATTTTTAGATGACCTTTGGAATACTGAGTAAATATGCAAATTGGTTGACCCACACAAAAAAATTCTATTCCCTCTGAAGAACCCCCATGAACTATGCTTTTGAATAAAGGAGAACAATGGTGGACACAGACCCTTTGAAACCCCACAGTCTTGGGAAGGATGCTGATGTGACCTTGAGCCTTTAAATCTGTAATATTTGCAGAGATGCTCTGCTAACTAGATTCTTTAATTGAAGGATCCTTATTAATTTATAAACTCAACTGAGTGAAATGTTTTTGTAGCAATGAAGCATGCTGTGCATCTCTCAACAATCCCTTCTGGAACCCAGGGTTAATTATAGGAAGTCAGAACGTCCTTTTTGAAATGTTTCTTAAAATTTTTCTTTTCATGATCACTAAAAAGTATGGCTGTGCCAAATATAACTTGTCATATGAGCACCAGTGTAACTTTAGAATTAAATGAGGTGTTCATGTAGACTAGAGCTTTAGGGCAGACTTTTAAAAATAGAATAATAATATCTCAAGTGTTATAGACACTAAAAATGGCTTAAGAAAGTCTTTCCAGTTCCTGGATATAAAACATGACAGGCTTGCTTCATTTCTGCCCATTTATCAAAGTTTCAGTTCATAGAAAATTTTACCTAAAGAGGGCAGGATAAGACTCAGACATTCTGTCTCTTACTGAAATCCAGATGTAATTGCAGGTCTGGAGTCCTCGGTAGACAGTAAAATGCAAAGATATGTGTAACATAAGGACCCTCCGGTGTTTAACCAAAACAGGCCAAACCCTTCCTCCACTCTGGCTCCAGCCAAGTTCCTTGTCACTGACTGGCTTCTGTCTTATGCAAAGGTGGGATTCAGGGTAAAATGAAGAGGATGGATCAGCCAGTTCAGATAGTGAGGAATTCATTCTCAAGCTGTGTACACTATATAAAGCTGGAAAGACAGAAGTATGCCAACCATGCTCAATCTGGCTGGCATGGCCGGTTTATTACACGTTACTTCAGTGAAAGTGGCATGGCTGTAATTGCAAATGTTTAGCATAGAGGGAGAATGGTTTGATTTTTTTTTAATCAATCAGGAATAGACCATTTTGAAACTTTCCTGATCATAAAAACTTTATCTAATTGAGAAATCAGGTCTAAGTGATTGAAAGAACATGCAAATTCAGGCACGCTTGGATTCTGGGTATGACAGGACTGTCAGGGTTGAGTAGGAATGGCTGAAGATGAGAGAACCCAGGAAGGACATGAGGAGGTGCCATCAGACTGTCCCTAGCCCTTCTCCTCTAACTGGAACGTCCACTCCGGAACTTCCTATGTGCAAGGATGTACGTGCAGCTCAATAGTATATAACTTGTCAAAATGTTCTGAAATTTGATCTTTAAATAACACATAGTGTATATTTACTAATGATAAATCAAAAACTGGAGTTTATCATTTCCTCTCTTTCCCTGCAGTGGTAAAAGCAAACTGAGTAACATTTATTTGTATTTCTATTTTTTTTTAAAATCAAATACGTATGTACTTTAACAAACACTATGGTTCTGTATAATTTAAACCATCAACTGGTGCTAATTTCTGTAATAAAGTAGCATATTCAATGTACTGTACTAGTGTTGTATCAAAATCAATAAAATAAATGTCTAATTGTCAGATGTTATACCTTTAGTTTTTCATGTTTTACATTTTTATGGTGCCTCACAGCTATTATTTTATTTCTGTCATAGTATTTGCTTTTTAAAGACAGTCTCTCACTGAGATCCTCTGATCTCACAATGTGAAACCAGCATCAGGACTGACATCTTAGAAATGATAGGCAGCAGGATGGAGACATAGTTCAATGAGTAACATCTTTCTATGACTATGAGGACCAGTGTTCTTCTTTAATGATAATATTTATTTAAATTTGAAATGCTTGTTTTACATGTCAATCTTAGTTCCCTCACCTTCCTCACCTACCCTGTCTCCCTCCCAACCCCCATCCCATCCCCTTCTACTCCACAGGGAAGGTGAGTCCTTCCACAGGGGATCTTCAAAATCTGTCATATCATTTGGAGCAGGGCCCAGGCCCTCTCCCATGTGTCTAGGCTGAGAAAGTATCCCTCTATGAGGAGTGGTCTCCTAAAGTCCATTCGTATACTAGGGATAAATATTGGTCCATTACTAGAGGCCCCATAGATTTCCCATTCCTCCTAACTAACACCCATGTTCAGGGGGTCTGAATCGGTTCTATGCTGGTTTTCTAGCTGTCAGACTGGGGTCCATAAGCTCACTCTCGTTCAGGTCAGCTGATTCTGTGGATTTCCCCAGCCTGGTCTAGACCCTTTGCTTATCACTCTTTTCTCTCTGCAACTGGATTCCAGGAGTTCGACTCAGTATTTAGCTGTGGTTGTCTGCTTCTGCTTCCATCAGCTACTGGATGAAGGCTCTAGGGTGGCATATAAGTTAGTCATCAATCTCAATATCAGGGAAGGGCATTTAAGGTAGCCTCTTCACTATTGCTCAGATTGTTACTTGGGGTCATCCTTGTAGGTCTCTGGCCATTTCCCTCGTGGCAGATTTCTCTTTAAACCTATAATGGTTCCCTCTGTTATGGTATCTCTTTTCTTGCTCCCCTATTCTTTACCTGACTCAACCTTCCTGTTCCCTCATGCCCTCCTCTCCCCTCCTCTTTTTCCTTTCTCTTTCAAGGACCAGTGTTCTTAACCAGCACCCAAGTAACAAGCCAGAGTGGGGGCTTATGCTTATAACCCAGTCCTTGGAAGGTGGAGACTGGAATGTCCCTGGGCTCTCTGGCAAGGCCAGTCTAATGGATAAGACTAGGTCCAAGTGAGAGGCACTGTCTCAAAATAAGGTGGACAACTCCTGAACAACTCTGGCCTCTATGCATGCAGACACACAGACACACACACACACAGACACAGACAAACACACACACACACACACACACACACACACACACTGGCCATTTTCTATTTCGTACTGGCCTCTATGTGTATGTGCATACATTCTCTCTCTCTCTCTCTATCTCTCTCTCTCTCTCTCTCTCCCTCCCTCTCTCTCTCTCTCTCACACACACACACACAAATAATAGGCATAATCTCTTCCAATAGTATTTCAGTTGGCTTTATTGTATTCTAGTACAATGTCTTTCAATAGTGTTATAAAATTTATGAAAAACACACCCTAAATCATTTATTGTATGATCCTATTTATATGAAATGCCCAAAATAGGCGAATCCATAAACCCAAAGTGGGCCAGAGGGTAGAGGACTTGAGGGGTTGATACTGATTAACAATAGGTAAAGAATTTCCTCTGAGGGGATGGAAATACTCAGGATTAGGTAGTGTTGACAATTACACAATACCAGAATACAATAAAAACTATTGAAGTGAATATTTTATTTTATAATTTGTTGAGGTGCTGAAAATTAAAACCAGCAGGCATTAGATAAGCACACTGTTACTGACCTACATCCTCAGCCTAAAAGAGAAACCCTAAGTCGATGAATTCCAAACTGAAATGCTATGAAAAATCTCCACATAAAATTCATTTTCAAGAGCTGGAAATGGGATGTGGGATTTGCTATGTGTTTATCTGACTTACTCAGTTATACCTTCCGTTGTATTGCCTGACTGACGCTCAGCCAGATTTTGTTTGCTTGTTTGTATCATTGGTTCATGGGCTAAATTTGACATCATTCTAGATTGGCAAGGTTGCCTTGCTGATCTCCTTCTCTTCCCTCCCCATTAATTGTGGCAAAGAACACTACTAACAGCAGAGTGTATCTGGATGTCTGCAATGTCCAGAACACCATGATTTTCATGAAGTTAATTTTACAAGCCTTTGGAGTAAGTTCGTGCAGGAAATGAATATACTGTCCTCATAACTTACACGTAACTATTCATTTTGAACAGTGTTTATAGGTCCCAAACTCTGCTAGGTAATAAAAGTTAGTTTATCTTAAGACAGAAAGGAACAAAGATCAACCAACTCTTCTATCTGTGGCCTTGTGGTACCTGCAACAGTTTCCAAGGAGCGGAACAGTTTCCAAGGAGCACGGCACAGTGCTCCTCCCCCTCTTCTCTCCATCTGCATTTTCCCTTCAAAAGGCAGTCTGGCTCAACTTGCTGTATAGAAAAACATGTTCAGACCCAACTACATGCTGCCTTTAAGACACTCAAAACCATGGAAAGTAAAAGAGTTGAAAAAGATATGCCACCTTAAACCAGTCAAAGTAGGAGTGGCATGTGTGTGTGTGTGTGTGTGTGTGCGTGTGCGCATAAATTTTAGAGCAAATTATATTGCCAAGGATAACAAAGATTAGTTCATAATGATAAGGGATCAATCATTAAGGAAGCCTTGTGATCTGAAACAAATATGCATTTGGCAACAAAGTTGGAAAATATGTAAAGCAAAAGTTGGCAGAAGAGAAATGAATATGTCTATATTCACATGTCAGATATGTCAATACACCTTTCGTTAAAATTAATAGAATGAGTAGTGAGGATATCAATGACGGTGCAGAAATGTGGACACCGCTAACTACACTAACAAAACCGAGATTTCTGGAACCATCCAGAAG